TTTGAGTTGTGATCGAGTTTGACACGCAAACTAAATATTTGTCTAATTTTTGCGCTTCTTGAATAAACGGTGTTGAGTCGTTGTTTGCGCTTTGCATATATTCATTTCACGTGTGTTTCTTTCTTTTGTTATAATCGTTGTAGCAGACGCATTCACTCAAAATCAACAAATGTTTGATCGTTTTAAGGAGTGATTGTATTGTTACCAAGCACGTTTTGCGGAAACATCTTCAATAACCATCCGATTGTCTTTAAACGGTAACCTGTACCCGCATGCCGACCTGTACTTGAAATTTATTTACCTTTTTAATCGGATGTTGGGAAATTTTTCATAATTCCACACATGTGGTAATCGAAGACAATCCGGCCCCTAATTAAAATTGGGAAATGATTTTGTTTTGTGTGTGAGAGACTCTCGGTCAATAAAAGCGGGCCATGCACGAATCGATGGTTATTTAATTGCTCGTCTATAGGATAACAATCAACGCTAGATTTAGCCTTCATGTTCATCTCATTTTGATTTAATTGAATATTGACTTTCACAATTTGAGTGACACGATGATTACATGTAATATCTCGATGTAACAGGTTATACAAGCATAATTCATGCCTATGTGATGAGAAAAGCATGAAATCCTGTGACGAACTGAACTTGTTCAAGACTAGTGATGAAGTAATTTGGATGGTATAACAATGATAAAATATAAATGACTATTAAAACAAAAAATTGTTATAAACTGTAATGTACTCGATTACTTCACGTCACCTTCCCTAAAATAATCAATATAATGTAAAACGAAAGTTTTTGACATAATCACTAATATTGGTGCAGTGGAGTATTATGGTACATTGTCTTATCAGGATACCGAATGTTCCAGTTTCTATTTTTTGCGACGGAGCAAAAATATTGAAATTATCTTGTAGTAAAATGTGATTCCGTCATCAAAATATGTTAGATAGGATAAGAAAATTACTGAGGGGGCTAGAAGCCAACTACATTGCTGTCCGAATACTGGTAATTTCAAAATTCTTTGGAGGAAGGGGGGGGGGCTGCGGGATCCCATCCTCTACCTCGTATAAAAGCCTTTGTATTCATCCTTATTCATTACCGTCATAAATCTGAATCGTGCTGACAAATTGTTGCAGCTGCATGTTCTCATAACTTTCGTCATCTTCGCTTATAAGCAAATTCCCACAATGATGTAACTTTTGTGAAATATATTTGATTAAAATCATTCGTATCATAACCTGTTATACTAAAAAAAAAGCTTCTTCTGTAAAAAAAAAAAAAAAACAGATAATAAGTTTGGCTACAATCATATTTGCCCCTTCTTTATTCCACCCTGACATTCAGATGAAAAATGAATATTCCCGTATTTTCAACATAATTATATAGCTTTAGAGTATTTGTTGAAAATGTATGTAATATCATTTTGGAGCTATTATAAACGTGATGAAAACTCACTCTTCATTGTCTTTCTTTCTGGGTCGAAATCAAGACATAAACCTAGCGTTTCTGGAATTTTGCTTCATTTTCACATAATAGGGGAATTTTGGAGGGGGAAACAAGCTAGTTTGTGTATACCCTCTCCGCCCGCCCTATCCCCCCCCCCTCTCTCTCTGTCTCTCTCTCTTTGCATCTCTTCCCTATCGTTCTTTATTTCTGTCAGTCTATCTGCCTCTCAATCTAGCTCGCTCTCTGTCTGTCTCTTTCTATCTCTACTTCTCTCTTTCTTTCTTTCTGCCTGCCCCATCTCTTCCTCTCTTCTTTCTTTCTGTCAGCATATCTGCCTGCCTCTCTCCCTCTCTCTCTCTTTCTCTCTCTCTCTCTCTCTCTCCCTCCCTCTACTTCTTACTTTTCTTTCTGTGTGCCCCCCCCCTCTCTCTCTCTCTCTCTCTCTCTCTCTCTCTCTCCTTTCTCTCCCCCTAATCCCTATCCTTCCATCTTTTTGCCTGTCTGCCTCTCCACTGACTTTCTCTCTCCATCTCTCCCTCTCTCTCTCTCTCTCTCTCTCTCTCTCTCTCTCTCTCTCTCTCTCTTTCACCTCCCCCCGTCTCTCTCTCTCTCTCTCTCTCTCTCTCTCTCTCTCTCTTACAGTCTCTTTTTCTCACCCTCCTCCTACCTCGTTTATTTCAGCATTTAATCTCATTCACAAAATCCTTTAAAAGCCCCGTTACCGTAAATCTGTATTGCAAGATACAACGTACAGTGAAAATGTAATTCCTTTTCATGGCAGTTTTTATTTACATCTTCTATCCTCGAAATGATATAGAATGCAGGAGGCAAATGGACGTCTATATAGACTGACGCACTTCAGTCTATATAAACATATGAATAATCATGATAATAGCAAATGTTTCAGGAATTGCTTTGAAATTTTACTACATTAATATAATCTACCACATGTATGTTGGACTAATTTTGTTTTAAGCCCAAAAAATAATGAAACTGTTTCCATCTGTACGAATCATACTGCTATTACTGCATTCCAAGAAGCGATACAATGATAATCCTTTTACTAGTAACTCTACAAATTATTCTAGACCTTTAGCTCTATAAGATCTGCTATTAAAGCATATTGCAACGAACCCGTCATCACCGTATTTTACACAATTCACATGAAATTGACGCAAGTGCACTATAAGTTACAAAAAATTCTATGCAATCTAACCCATGAAATCATAAGTTTTTGTACCGTCATGCATGCGGAACATAACCTGATGACAACCTCTTTTTAGATAAATCTATTCTTCACAAACAGACAAATTAATATAGAGCACACATCAATGTTACATTTTTGTACCTTAACCGTTATCATTCCAAAAGTGAATTTAGATCCTCTTCGAAATCTTTTGTAAGTCCATATGGACAAATATGTTGTTTTTTTCTTCGTACATGTAGATATGCCTTATAACATTATCAAACTTGTTGGAATTAGATTACTTCAAGTTTTATGTAAGATCTAAAGGCAGTTTAAAAGTTTATTCGAGTTCGAATCAAGTTCTTTTGACCTTAGTCTCTCGTCACCGTATTCGTGTATTCAATATCACGCGAACCCTCCGTTCGACGGATGCTTGACATCAATCGGAGATGGGAAGCGCTGGACAACGAACTCGACGACGACAACGGCAACGATGATTGCACCATGTTTCTGCGGCAGAGCCTCATCGCTAGGCGCTCTTCGACCTTCTTCACCTCTAACTGCAACGCGGCCGAGAAGTTGGCGGTGGAGGAAGGAGTGTCATTCGACGAGGACGGCGATGTTCGGTCCGTGTCACGATGGTTGAATTCGTCGCTGAAATCGTTGACGATGCCGGTGATCGTGCTGGTGGTCGTCGCCGCATCGCTGTTTGCGACTCCCGCTGATCCGACTCGGATTCGAGCGTCGTCTCGAACCATGGCAGAGGAAAAGGACGGGACGCGGTCGTTGACTTGCTCGTCGTCCTCTTCGCTGCTTGGATCACTTTCGTGTCGGCTCTCCTGCACAGCACGGATGTGGGCGAGGTGGACCTGCTGTTTCTCGAAGTTCTGTTTTCGCCATTTGATGCGTCGATTCTGAAACCAGACTTTTACCTGAAATTAAAGAAAAAATGCCTTCATTATAAAAACAGAATACTATTGATAAACAAAATAAAGTTGGTATATTTATCGACATGTTATTATTTTTGGATCGACGCATTATTTTTGGATCGACGCGTTATTTCACTTTTAAATCAATCATATAAGTATGCACACAAATATTGATTTATTCACCTGTAAATTGAAAATAATTATATCAGCTTTTAGCTGTGGTGTCGAATTACTGTTAAACATTATCTTATCAAATGAAATAAAAATTAAACCAATTCTACAAAACCACCGATATAAACAATGACGGAAATTCTTCTCACCTGAGATTCTGAAAGATTGAGCTCGGCGGCAAGGTAGAGTCGCTCGCTACCGACCATGTACTGCTGGCGATCAAACTCCTGCTCAAGTCGCTCCAGTTGCTCTTGCGTGAAGATGGTGCGCACTCGTTTAGCTCTTGGGTTCCACTCGCTCTCATCGCAGCGAAGACGCTTCAGGTTTTTATCTGTAAAAGAGAAGGAATTAAAAAAGGGTTAATGATATTGTTATCAACACTTGGTTCTGTGAAAAAGTTAGATATGAAAAATGGCGCTATGCAATGCACTTAAATGACTTATCTTGATTTTGCTTAATAATTTCATAAGTGAGGATAATTTTCGTATACTCTTCTACGAAAAAAAGAATAAACAATGCACCACGTCTCTCACGACGTATGTTTACATGTTAAACATTTCTTTTAGATTTGTGCGCTTTTTGTAATGACACTAAGAGGATAACATTAATGAAAAATCTCCGACAGTGAACAAGTTCCTGATTGCTTACTAATAAGGAAAACCGGAGAAGAAACATTGTTTTTAAGGATAACTGAACACCTGGCCAAGTGTCTTAATTGCTTTTTCTTTACCATGTTATTAAGGGCATGGGCCCATTAATAGCGGCTAAGTCACAAATCAGTAAATAATCCTCGAGGGTTGATTAAAGCCAGTGAGTGATGGAACGCTGTTATGTGAAGTGCTAAGCCGGTGTGTTAATCTTTTCACAAGTGGATGTATAAATTGGTCTTGTTTGAGGACCTTCGCCGTGTCAAAGGATCGGGGCACTCTCTCCAGACACCTTAATGAAGATTAAAGAACCCCCGCTTTACTCCCAGAATGGGTACATTGTTACCCCCATGACCACCACCTTTGAAATGCATGTACCCTTTATTGTGACGTCACTGAACAGGTGCGCAAGGTTTGGAGCGGTGAGCGTAATACACCAGTTTACAGTTGTGTGCGCCATTTTAAACAAGGCCAATGACCTAGAGGTCATGTATTTATGCGTAAATTAAGATTGCGCCCATGCAAATTATGATGATATCACTGCCTGCGCGCTGCGTTGTGCGCGCATATCATCATTTGCATGGGCGCAATCTTAATTTACGCATAAATACCAGAGGTCAGAGGTTATTGGCCCCAATTTTTGGGCCAATAACCTCTGACCTCTGTCTGCGCATGCGCACTGATACAACTGTAAACTGGTGTATTCAGTTTTCGAAATTTGCTTCATGAAAAAAAAATGGCGCATGGCTTTAAAATAGAAACTTGTAAAGAGAATGTAAATCTACGGAGAAAAGAGAGAAACCGTGGGTTCTATTTTTTTTTTAAATATTATGTTGTAAAGTAGTAGTGTATATGATTCAATGTTATGAATATATCATTAGTAATTGCATTGTTTCGATACAAAATTTCAATACAAAATTTATCTTATTAAACGAAAGAGTTGCATTAATTTCATTGAACGACGATGGCGGCTGTTATGAGTTGTTTTGAGATGGGGCCTAATTGATCCATCTCGAATCTTTGAAAGTAGGAGCGTATCGATCCGTTGTCGAAGATTCAATTAACTAGGTCCGACTGCCTTTCAACCCGACGATCGAACCACTTTAAGAACTAGATTTTCGATCATTGTAATCAAATGATCAAAACACTCAAATATTGCTCAGGCAACCTTGGGACGTGTAAAAACCCGGTGCTACTTTTCGCGCAAAACATCAATACACCCCTGTCGCGAGGCCTGTTTACCTTCAATTAAAACCCTCTTTGGACGCTCTTGAAAAGTCCCATCCCTTTTGTTAATCACTTAAGAATGGATGAAAAAGGCGAGGTGTGCATTGGGAGGGGGGCTGGTCGAGTCCGAATTACCCCCTTTTGTAACGGAGGACTCTCCGTGTTGGGAGCCGGGTGGACCCGAGTTAGCCACGCCCCATTAGGCGCGGTCCGATTTTTTTTTTTCAGACAGCGATGACCGAATTAGTGTCGATTTAATACTTGATTGTGGGTGAAATGTATCAAATTTTGTCCGCATCCTATTATGATTTGATTTGCTTTAAGTTAACCTTCGTACAGAATCTTTATGAAATATTATATTTGATTCGATACTGTGATCATGATTAAATTACGGCCTGCTTCAATGCCTTGAAATTTGTTACTTTAAAACGAGAGTCTAAAGAATCTTGCAAATATTGGGTGATAAAAATTAGTCATTGTTTCCTTCTGTGTTCATATCAATTAGAACGACTTTTGAATCGTATGAAAGTATATCATTGATGGTTGAGGTGTAAAAACAAATCTTTTAACAAAAGAGTGGCAAATCATTTTCAACCTTGATGCATTAAACTTAGTTAACATTACTTAGTTAACAATTTAGTTCACTTAAATCCCTGACGAGTAAAAGAAAATCCCCGAAGGAAAACATTTAAGTTTCACAAAACAAGACAATCAACATGTAGCCAATCGGAAAACAACTACTAACGGCATGTTTTCTATCAGAGATTACTCCATCTCGAATCAACCACCGGCCGGCCGGCCAGACCACCTAATGAAGTTATATCCGTTTGATATCATCTATTTACTTCGGAATGAGAGCTTAACTGTTTCATTAAGGTGTCTCGAAACGGACATAGCGGGATGAGAGAATAGCTGATAAACCCTCTTATTCGATTCATCATCTTTCATTGAAACCACCAGGCCGTCTAATCAACTCGTATCAAAGAATACACGGTGGCAGGTTGTAAGAGAAAAAACAATGGGAGCATTTAAAAAGGGTTACACTCGAGCGCGGACGATATAAAGTGGGATTTCGGTGGTGGTTTGTATTGAGAGCGCGTAACATAAAGAAGATAGACGCGGCGATCTAATTTTTCAAAGATAAAGCATGGGTACGCAATTGAATGGCGGGATTAATGAATTGGCCCTAATGAACTACGCTGGAGATGATCAACTGGTACCCATTTTTATCTCCATGCTCTCCTCCTGACAGTCAGTCAGATTGATTGGAGGGGGGTTAATGAAGTGATAAAGTGAGGCGATTCGAGACATTCTAATTGAGACTGGGGAAGTGCCGGGTAGAACAAAAATTGTTCAGGCTGGTGTCTTTTAAGCATGATTTTCGTCTGGCAATAGTTTTCGTAGATATTTTCTGACTCAACATACGAAAAAAACATGAGAAAAACCAAAATACGCCTGACAACATTAAATTTTGACAACTAAAATGATATATTTTACTGGATTCGTTAAAAGAAGCTACTTTTTTTTTTACTGCAACAGTAGGATGAACCCCTTAAATGCAACATATTTAAACAGGAATTAGAGAAATTTGACGAAGGGCCCAATAGTATTCTTTTTTGTTTTTGTTCTAGAAATCCAAATCGGCCGCCAACAAAATTAATAAAATAAAAATTATATGAAGATGTAGGAAGTGTGAGGCAACAATTTAACATTTTATTAACATTACAAATTATAAATGGGAACAAAATAATGACACAATGTTTTTTTTTGTGGGGGAAATGATGAGTTCATGACGACTCTGAATGTTTTCAGAAAAATATAAATTCGATTTCTTACCAGTATTGGAATCGGTGTTCCTCATAGAGTCAAACGCATTCGAGATCAGATGTTCTCCATGACTGCCGAGGTTCGTTGCAGAGGTCGTTGATGTCAGTTTGGAATCACGATGATCATCGAAGTGTAATTCGCTTGCGTTCTTTCCCCCATCATTAGCACACCTGAAGTCGGCTGCCTGAAAACGGGGCGCGTTCCAAATCTTCGAAGGCGAGTTCGATTTCGGAGAAACGAAGTTGTACGAATCCGGCGACGGCGTCGAACCTCGGTCGCTGCCGTAGCCCGACCGCGAGCTACTCGAATGGGAGGATGATGAGGGTGAGCGTTTGTTCGTTGACAGGATGGCGTCGATCGTGAAGGCGGTCTTCTCTCCTCCGCTGCTGCTCGAAGCGGAGTCGGGGCTACACGGCGGCGACGGTGAACTTCTGACGCACAGTGATCGCGGACTCTTCGTCGCGAGAGGCGATGACGAACCGGGAGAATGACCGGGGAACGTGGGTGGTGACGACATCAAACCGTGGGGTTTGAGCGGGGGTGATGTTGGCGGATAACCAAGTGCTGTCTTCCAAGGATTGGGTAGCACACTGTAGGATGATGGCGGAGGGGGCATGGCGGGGAAGAGCTGGGATGGATGGAACATGAGGGCTGGCGGATACATCCCCAGGGGGAACGGAGATTGTTGAAACATGGGAGCTGGTCGAGGCATCATGACAGACATCAAGTTGGAACTCATCATAGTGATAAAGATATATTTCTGTAACACAGACGGATAGAGATTGAACACATTAAAAACTGAAGCAACATCAAATCGAAATACACCCTCCATCTCTTTCTCAGATTTCGAAATATATAGCCCAAAGTGGAATTTTGTTCAATATGAATAGTCCTGCATAAAATGTTTGGATTAAGAGGGAGTTAAACTCACAACTCCCTGGGTTAATATTAAACCGATTTTAGAACTCATATATTTGACAGGAATCTTTGAAATTTCTTTGAAAATTACTATCGAATATCTAAAGTAACAAAGTAAAACATAAGATGGGATTGTACAGAATGATAATATAAATGTTTACAGTTAAACAAAATAATGATGAATATAATTACATATAATTTGAGATATCAATATCCCACATCAATGATAATTATATTGCAATCACATAGATATACAATAACACTTTGGTGGAAAAACTGGACGATGTACAAAATGTAGAGAGGTTTGGTAAAACTCACCTGCTTGGGGGTTGTGATTCCAGACAGACTGGCGCCTAGGAGCTGGCAGGTGGGGCTTAAAACCCTCCAAATCGTCTACTTCTGATCGAGTCCTCAACCCACCACCCTAGACAATAGCATCAAATCTACCCTTCAAAGGAAACAATGGTGGAAGAACGAAATCCTCTGGGTAAGCAAAGGAAAGAATAAACCTCTGATGAGTTGCAATTTATTGGAGGAGCTTAGCCATACAATGGTCTTTGTAAAGCGAAGGTGTTGGGTATTAGCCGGCTTATGTCAGTTTTTTGTAAATCGGAAGTCTTTTACGAACTCTCTTTATATAGACTCGTCGGTTTTGGGCGAAGAGTGTGTTTATGTGTGCACCACTATGGGCAATGTTAATAGGGGGTGTATGATGAAGAAGAGATGGGAGTTGGAGAGGGGGTGATGAAGGCGTTGTGAAAGAATGGAGAAGGGCATACTGTTAGTCTACCGTACACAGAGATGCAGACCCTGTTAGCAGGAATGGCGATGCCTTCTACTCACTTCTCAAATATAATAAGGCTTAGAAATATCTAGAAATATGTTTAATTGCACAGTCCTTCTCGGCCTTTGGAATAAAATACATTGATATATCAAGATATTATATGAGAACAATAATGATCCTGAATATCTAACAAGTTTACTGAATATACAGACTAAGTTAGTCTGAAGTTTGTCTCAATCATCCAAAAGAGCACGCACAGTGATTGGCTGAATTGTTGATAATAGTCACGCCTCTTTTTATACGTAACACTACGACACGGTAGAGGAGCAACGTCAATCAAACATCGTAATGAGAATCAGAAGACTTGTAAATTAATTGGCGAGAAGTCGCGTCAGCTGCAAGTGCGTACACCAAGACTGTGGGACCATGATTTACCCTCATTTTGTTTTATGTAACACGTGTAATTCCCACGAACTATACAAGAGAGCAGTAAACATTTCGTAGACTCAATAATGACTGGGTACCTGGGCCCGACTCCCCTTCATCGTGTTCATACCCGGTTCATATACAGTGCCTTTTGTTTTCGTACTCTGTAATCCTGAACTGTCTAGTCGCTCTTCAGTATTTCAATGGACTGTCGAATTTTACACAGTTTCTTATTTAAATATATCCACGCATTAAACCTACATGTATGTAATATTACGAACGCCGTCAATGTTCATTTAGAAGGGTTTATATTGTTTATATTGGTAATTCATTAACTCAGTCTTGCTCGTTTTTAGTATATTGTTTAGATTATTTTCATATATTGTCAGATTCTGTGTTTTTAATGAAATATCTCTGTACAGGAAGCGCATACGACGGAGACGTTAATTTGAACAAGAATATCGATTTGTTATATTAAAAAAAAATGAAATGAATGGTTCTCAGGCGTATACGACTTGCTGTATCGGTTTATAATTCTTGTAAGTCGTAAACGTGTATTAATTATTGTACTATTTATGTCAACCTTATTAAATCTTCGTTTAATATGGTATAATTAAGATATGCTGTTTATTGTTCAACCAATGTAAAAAATAGTTTGTGTTGTACGAAAAATGAATCAATAAATTCAAATTCAATTTTCAATTTTATTACTGAAAAAGCGATTTATCCATCCTAATAAAAATCAATAATAGAACTTTCAATTACAACAAACCCCATATCTAGGCCTATTAGGCCTTATACTGTACTTGTTTTCCGATGAAATGTTTTAAACACCACAACGTTATTTCCTGATGTTATATTTTGTGACAGGCAATTTGATTTTATTCATTCTTTATAATTACTTAGTCGTTTGTCGAGTTCTATTAACTTCCTTTACTTTCCACGTGCCTGTCTTGATATGTTAGGTATTTAGGAGTGGTTAGATAAAAAATACATACACAAAATAATTTCCTTTTCATAATAGTTCACCATATTCATACAAATAGTGAGATCAATACCAACCATAAAGTATGCGTTTAAACGAAAACTTAAGTAAAAATCAAAATTGAAAATGAATATTAAAGAAGAAAAATATCAAATACGAGTCCTAAATTCGTAATTCTGATTGGTTGCTTGAACGATATAAGTATAAGCAAAACTTCTTTTTTTTGTAAGCGAAAAGTTCGGGGGAGGGCCGGGGGTGGGGAGGGGGGGGGGGGGGGGGGGTGACGGAAAGTATTACGCTTACAACATTTGCACCGGGCTTTATTTCTTCAAAGAATTACCATTAGGTTAATATAAGTGTTTACCTGTTTGGCCTGGGGTTGAAGTTAGACAATCATTAGCTGTAAGAAATTGGCCGCGAAACAAAAATTGTCACCAGAGCATATTATGTCTCAGGGAACACCGTTGTCATGGTTCTGCAAAATGAAATAAAACTGCAAACCTAAAATTAAACATTTTATCATAAGATATCTACTTCACAATCTCTGAATTCACTTTTTAAGTAATTTTATGAAAAGGGGTGTCCTCACAACATGCTTTAATATCAGGCAATATCAAGAAAACATTATATATACAATATCTATTGCAACATGTATATCAAATTAGATCTTAATTATTATCACAGTTTGCTTCACCCCTAAACGAGTGACCGCGAGACTCCAATTAAGGACGGCAACTGTATCCAATTTCAGAAAGAAATCATGTTTACGTTTGTTAAAAATGCATGAAGAATATATTGATTTTGATCATATATCAATTTAAATCGCAACAAGTGTGTGTGCAAAATCTGTGGCATGGGAAATTAGCCAGACAAAGCGGACATAATTCAGGATTAAGGGCACGTTTATTGAATAAAGGGGTAATGAGAGCACTTAAGTGTTGAAATTGGTGCAGATATCCGTGAACCGTGCGAGTGTGGACGGTGGACCCGAATTGTAAAGCGAACCCCATGTTACGAATTGCTTCTGCTCTATTTGATCTCAACAGGGAGCTGGTGATTGCATGATGATACGCGAAAAACGATTCATTAATGAAACAGTTTCTGACTTTTGTCTTTTGTCCGTCTGGGCATGAATTTGTTATGGGCAATTTCTCAAAACATAGTTTCCCAGCATGCCACGAACAAACATTCCGCGCCGCAATGCAGTACATGCTCGAAGCATGGATTCGTGACAATGACCTGGCAGGCGCCATGTTAGACACCCACGTCATATACCCAACATCAGAGACGTGTTATCAGTCAAGCTGACTGTTATAAGTGCGTCCCAGAAAAAAAAACGAAACCGAGATTTTTCGATGTTTTATCATAACTTAATCACGATTATAATTGATAAATGACGCATATTTTGTAATGTTTAGACCCCCTCTTTCATTCGATGCAACCCCAAATGATGCGAATTTCACGCATGAGTGATTAAAAGCAATTTTTAAGAAAGTGTACCAAAACGTCATTATGCGAACGGTATCTGAATTTCAAAGAGAAAATCACATTTCCAGAAAGTTCATTTTCTGCCCTTTCATATAACACCTCAATCAGGAAAAATGAGCCAGGAATAACAAAGTTCTGTTCGTTGAAAGTAATACTTGCATTTCCATAATTTTATTACACGAATTTGTTTTCACTGGCTGCCTGCCGTAGCAACAAACAACAAACTCCTTTCATCTTCTTTATAGGGCAGGGAGCCAGTGGAACGGATTCGTTTAATAAAATTAAGGAAATGAAAGTATACTTGAAACAGGGATTAAAAACAGAACTTTGTTATTACTGGCCCATTTTTCTCATATAAGTTGCATCAAATGAAAGTGGAGGATCTAAGCTTTACAAAATGTGTCATTTATTAATAATAATAAGAAGAAAAACGGTGCTTATAAAGCACTTACCACCGAATTATAATTATAATTGTGAGTAAGTTATGATAAAACATCGATAATTATCGGTTTCGGTTTTTTTTTCTGGCACGCACTGTTATAACCAAGTCCATGTTTGCTCACCCGATTTGAATAAATCATACAAGAAACGAAATACTGACTATTATGTTCGTAATCAAATAAGTTTACAGAGTATATTTAAGTTTGAGAATAAGACAACATATTTTATATTGCTTGATTTAACTAAGAGGGGGGGGGGGGGGAGGGAATCTCAGAAAAGCTAGGCTTGTTGAGCGACATTCCCAGTATAAATTAAATAATGGACCATCAACAACGTGCATCAAATCCTGCACATGTCCGCTCCCAGAGAGACCAGAGACGCGCGAACCCACCTGCCCGCGCCAGATACCTGGGTCTCCCCCGCCAAGGCCCATTCAGCGTACATCAGTCTGCCGTTGCCAGGTCGAACAAGCTCAAGGTTTGTCCGACCTAGCAACGAGCAACATAAAATATTGCGCACCGAACAAGCCCCGACAAAAGAAACACAAGGACCCGGTATAGGCAGCCATTGTGGTGGATGGGGATGGGGGGGGGGGGTGACACAAAGAGCATTTGCTCTCGGTAGATCTTTGGTATATCTATAAATAAACTAAACGAACCATTTTTGAAACCGAACAGGTAGAGATATCAGATGAAGAATGAAAAGTTAATAAAGAATGAAGAATATTATAGTACCCCCCCCCCCCCCCGACTCATCCTCCCATGCCGGTGCGAGTTAGAGTGGGTCTGCGGGTTGATCGGATACATAATAAGATTAAAACATATTTGTAAATCTTCCCTTCCCTTTCCTTCAAAATAGATTAATCATGGAACTGCTTTTAACTGCTGGATTTAAACCTGCAAATTGTAAAAGACGCTTCTATGCACGCTGCAAAGAACCCGGAACCTTTAAAAGAACCGTATAACAATTTTAAAATGCAGAAAATTAGAGATGGAGACTGCTGAAGGTTGAACGAAATCGGACAAAAAAATAGAAATTTATGAATTTTTGACAGATGTAATATTATACGCATGGGCACGTCAATTTGACGTTGTGTGGGATAGTATCCCATTAGTTTCAACACACAAAGTGACTAAATTAAATGCAGTGTTAACTTTTGAAATGTGTAACTCAAGAGAGTTTTTTTTATACGAGGACATTATTCTATACATGATTATATATTTTTGAGAAGTGCCCAAAGTGAGATGAAATTTAGGAGAAAAATATAAATAAATAATATTCTTTTTATAGACGACAGACGGGAGAGTACTGTTGTCCATGACTACATCACAATCCACTAACCAAACTGCTCATTTGAGATTCGCATAGAATTAGCGATCTATATTTTAAACATCCAAATCTTTTATCTTGCGATTTATTTCAAACTTTCGCCAATTGTTTCTATTATTTTTCTCCTTTCATACAAATGAACTTATTCAAAAGACTGGATTTCCTTCATAGTTTACTTGATTTAGGAATTTTTCCTTGTCTCATGCATAAACCATACACGTTTTTAACACGGAATCGAAAGAAAAAAGAAATGCTATTGTGACGGTCAGCGTAAAATCTAACTTGTTCATTTTTATAAAACTGACTTGAAACACCAAAATATATATGTGGGACTGATTTTTCGATCTTTTCATATATTTTTGTCTATTTCACTTGTTTAATTGCTGAGTTATACTGTCAGGCTGACTTACCATTATTCTAAATGTCTGTACTCTCGGAATAAGGCTCTTACTTTATTTTGATCAATATATTTCTCTTTGTATAAAGGTTACAAATTATTTGATGTAATCGCACTTACTTTGAAATAGTTATTGCGAAGATTTATGAATATTCATGTGCGTACATATTCGCGTGGTTAAAGCATACGCGCATAGCGCATGGTAGTGCGCTGATATGTGATAGCCGAGTTTGATCGATGTGGCTAGGCTGTACACTTTGGCATTAGATGCGCTGTGAAACTGACCTGTCTGTGAACCTTGTTGAACCGAGATTTACGGTAATTATTCCTTTCGTTTCCGCCCATTGCTATTCATATGCAGATTAGCTGATTTGCATTGCACCAACAACAAATGTTGATCAATCTATTGGACTTTGTACCAAAATTGATGTTTTAATGTTTATTTTAGAGTTAAATGTGTATTTTCATGGTTTTTAAGGCCGAATCGAATACAGGCCAGAAGCAGATTGGCCAAAATCTAGCCAAAATGGGATGGCCCAAAACTAGCCAAAATGGGATGGCCCAAAACTAGCCAAATTGGTATTGTGCATATGATTAGTATGACTGCTGTGTATATGGATGCTTGTTATATTGGTATTCATTTATCAGATAATAGTTATCAATATGTATGCTTGGAACTGAAACAGAATACACAAAATGGACATGAATTCTTGGATTTTATATTACTGTGCCAGTAATTATTTATTGAATAATGCAACACTTAATAAAATGTCTTTACAATTATATTGCATTACAGAGATGTCAGTTCAGAAATCACAGTCACTGTTAAGAAATGAGCATTGGAAGTGGTGAACATATTCCCTTTATTTATTACTTTTGGTTGAGAGATTTTACTCTTTGTAGCTAATAAATCATTAGCTACGCTGAAATTAGGTGTACTTCAGGTCGCTGGATAGTTTGACTAACTGATCCTTTGCGGGTATACCTAAAGGTCTAACCAATTCCAATCTGGTTTCTGTGACAAGTAGTTCTAAGAATGTTTATACATGTACAAACTTTTATCTATTTGTGAGATATTGAATATTAGTGCTACTGCTTATTATTCAATGGAGGACTGATTATTTAATTGGTCATTGGAACATTTTCTCTTTTATTATCGATTTTTACTCTAGACTATAGACCATATCTGCTGTGTGACCTAATACATTACTAGTAATATGAATTTCTGGAGGACGAGGCTGAGGGCCTCAGTAACTTAGTCTGTCACCTGTACCTAGTAGTTTAAGAATATATCTATCTACATGTAAAGCAGTTGTAACTTATATATATTGAACATTTGTATATTTAATAATTGTATTCTATATAGTTGTACTTTAAATATATTCGTCATATTTATGAACAAAGTAAATACGATCTGATGCTATTACTTGCATAAGATTTAGTCACTTGTAAATAGATTCACAATTCAACAATTAATGATGTACAAATTAATATAAGTAGCTTATGTATTTATGGAGCTGTAACTTACATGTATATTTTATCTTAGTAACACTTATTGATAATGATCCCTTAATAAGCACTGAATTACAGAGAGCAAGGAACGAATCCCTAGACAAACCGGTTGTCTTAAGATTGAAGTACGTTTAGAACTGATTAGTAATTCTGGAAGTTAGCAATAGGATAGGAATTGGAAATTTGAGGCTATAACCTATTGTAAAGACCTAAGGATTAAAGATCGCATGGTTATGCCGACAGAGTGAGCTGCCATGACGAGATTAGGGGTGGATAGACCAGTAAGTAAAATACCCGTTGAGCGGTGAATCCGAATACCATAAGTTGATTATGCCTAGGCAATAAGAAGGAAGGCAGTTAAGTATTTGTACTTGAACTTGGAATGAAGTAATTATTGGATGGCTGCTGGTCAGCCTAGATTGACCGTAAGATGAAGTGGCTATGTTGTGCCCGGAATAGAATTACTTTCTCATGTTTTAGAAGGAAAGAAAAGGTACACTTTGGAATAGAATTCAGTTGCTAATGATCTATTATTGTAACATCTTAAACCTGTCCCTATAGAACTCTTTAACATAATACTGCATCTACTATTATAGTCTATACAATTAAGTTAGTATCACTTAGGTAAATGATTGGTTGTCTGACAAAAGTGACAACACATCTGTATATAATGTACATTTGAACTCTTATACTTAGTAATTGCATTGCATACATTTTCGAGTTGAATTACGTCAACGTTGAATTAGGCATGAAAGCCTCACTGTTAATTGAAATCCATTAATAAAGTGTTACTTGTTATTTGTTCACCTGAACAATTAGGCTGACAGATTCATTCTTATAAGTTACAGTAATACATGTCTGGTTACACATTAGTTACAGTAGTTAGTTAAGTGTGAATGGTGATTGGTACTTTTACATCTTCTTTAGATAGCGCGATTGAGAACTTGAAGAACGAAATCATTGTCTGGTTCTATTCAGACACTTATCCATGTCATTGTGCCTTTAGATTGCTCGCTACCTTATGGGAGGATTGGGATAGAGGACGTGAGAGAAAGTGCCCCAAGATACGAGTGCGAATAATGTGTGTGTTTTAACTGCGTGTACAGGACACCCAGTGTGCCCTGTCACATGTTTGCAGTGTGTTGTGCAGAACGTTAGAGAATCTGAGCTGTACAAGTCTGATACAAATATTAGGATTAAATCATGCTTACAGAGTACTGACAGAATTATTCAGATCTTATGATGATGCTTTAACTCACCTAAATGAAGAAATACAAGCTACTTGAAGTGTGGAACAGTGTGGAGATGAGCCAGGCTGCTCGTGGCACGAGTTGAATCTAGCGCGAATGTTTACGAGAGCCCAGGGTTCAGGTCAAAGGTTGACCATTAGTGCGTTGTGTTGAATTCAAGAGGTGCGAAATGAGCCAATGAGAAGGCTGTGATTTGTGAATAATTAAGTCATTTAAATATCGTTTATTGTGTGATCCAACAGGTCTGGTATTAATCTCTTTACAACATCAAGTTGTAAAGAGAAGAGAATCTAGCGCTCTTAATAAAGACTAGATGGTGGCAGCTTACTGTGTTGTGAATGTTGACTTGATTTTGGTGGCAAGCGATGCAAGCACCCCCCCCCCCTTTCTCTCTCACTGGGGAATTACAACACCACCACCCCTCTTCCTCTTTACCCCCCTTCTTCCTTCCTCTATTGTATTATCTATTAACCACCCCCCCCCCCCCTATTGCGTCACATTTGGTGGCAGCGGTGGGATGATTTCGTTCGAACAAAATGGCGCATTTTTCTTGAGAAATTTTGTAGTTGCAAATAATTAGAGATGAGTATTCTTCCAGTGAATTTTTGAGGTGAATTGGCAAGTAAAAGTACCAGCAAGTTGTTTACGATGTTTTAGACATGACAGATAAACTTTAGCATTAAGTAGCTAATGTGAACCAGACTAAGTACGTTACTAACTTACAAGTAGGGTTACTGTATATTAAGTATGGTTATGCTATGGCTTGATGTTGATGGCGACAAATCCACTGAGGGTTATTGATGCCGGACACTCGTGAGCAAGGCTCTGGTTGAAGAGAAGGGCTGATCACTGACTAACTTTTGCTTGAATCTATTCCATGAGCTGACTTTTACTGTGTGCAGTGCACGGCATACATGTAATTATGTAGATTGTGCTTAAGTGGTTATGAGTTAGCAGAATTGGTATTGAGGTCTGAATCGAGTGGGTCAAGACTAAAGCTTAAGCAAGAGACAGCAAGGATCTGTTGAGCCGATAGTTTAGTTTGTATTCGAGTAAGGCAGTCAAAGGAGTACTGCCGTTACTGTGAAATAAAGGACTCGAGTTCAGAATCAATAGTCATCCAGAAGTGCATACCAAGCTATACCAAGAGTAATAGTGTACCTATAGTTACTTAGTTAAGATTTAGTTAGTGTACTCTACATAACATGCACAATGAATATTCAATGTGAATAAATATTAAGAAGGAGCTCTACTCCTTTTACATTGTAAAGGTACAAGGTGACAGATATTTTTGTTGGTTACTCAAAATTAATCAAATAGGGATTTACGAGATTGAGATGGATGCTCCTGTTAGTGAGCAACCTGGAGAAATGGCAGCCGGTGACTCTGGCAATGATGAGAAAGAAGTCCAAAGACGCTGGGCAATAGACGAGCGAGATCCGGAAATCGCTGTTGAGATGTCAGGCTTTGGAGATGCTATACCTGGAGAGAGGCGCCAGGTGTTAACACCTACTGACTTCCAGAATCATCCGCTTTATGTTGCGAGTAACCAATCCACCGACTCTAGGAGACGAAGAGGTTCAAACTCTGGAATGAGAGATGTTCTTCCAGACAAGTTTGCAGGCAGAATTCCATGGACAGATTATCGCCGACATTTTGATGTCTGCATGAGGCTAAATAGATGGAATGATGTGGAGGCTGGACAATTTCTAGCCACAAGACTTCAAGGAGCAGCACTGAAAGTGTTGAACAATATTCCCATTGGTCGTGAGCTTACTTATTCTGAACTTGCGTCACATTTGGAGCGTAGATTTGGTCCAGGAGAGGATGCTGAGAATTTCTTATTGGAATTGAGGACGAGGCGTCGTCAACCAAAGGAGAGCTTACAGGAGCTAGGTCAGGCAATCAGAGATTTAACTTGTCTGGCATACCCGGAGTTAAGCAGAGATGCACAAGAGAGGCTTGCACGAGGGCACTTTTCTGATGCTATCGAGGATGTAGAAGTTCGAGCAGGAATTTTCCGCGCCCATGCAATAACGCTTGATGATGCTATCCGAGCAGGATTGGCAACTGAGTCTTTCGGCAAGGCTGAGAAGGCTCGTGAACGTACTCGACCAGCTCGTCATGTTCGTAGCATGGAAAGCAATGTGGAACCAATCCCTGTAGACAAGATGAGAAAGGAAATTGATGGGTTAAAGTCAAGTCTTGGGGAGATGATGGAAATGATGAGGGAAATGAACATGGACAAATCCAAATCAGTAGGAATAGTTTGCTACAATTGTAGAGAGAATGGTCATATGGCAAAATACTGCCCTAAACAGACCCAGGGAAACGGAAGCAGACCATCCCGATGGACCGGGGGACGGTCAACTCAACAAGGTCCGAGGATGTAAATGCAGCCAGTTTAACTGTCTGCGTAATAAATGAGGCAAGGAGAGGAATGTACATTGCAGTTCGGATAAATGGAGTCGTAGTTAGTTTTCTCATTGATACTGGAGCTATGAGTACTATAATGTCACAAACGTTCTATAATAGGATTAGAAAAGATGAGGAAACTGATCTTCAATGCACTAATATCAAACTCCAGCAAGCTGATGGTGCACCAGTGAGAGTTTTTGGGACTACAACTATGAATATGCAAATTGGACAAGCTTATCTATCAACCAAATTTTTGGTAGCGAACATTCAGAATGATGGCATACTAGGTATGGATGTGTTACTAGCCACAAAGAGCACAATAGACTGTGACAAGTGTGAGCTGATAATGGATGGTAATGTCATTCAGTGTACAAACTCTGATGGAGGAACCTTGCTTACAAGACAGATTGATGTGAATGTGGATATTGATGTAGCTACCCAAGTTCCCGAATTTCTCCATGATTTATATGAGAAGTCTAAGGTGAATAATGACAGCTCAGATTATCTAAAACTTGCAAAACTTCTTTCTGACTACCAGGATGTGTTCTCCCGGGGTGATCATGACATTGGCAAGACAGACAAAGTGAGACATAGCATTCATACGACTTGCCTAGCACCAATCCGACAGCGACCACGACGTTCCCCAATTGGCCAAAGGGAAGAGATGGAAAAACAGGTAAAAGATATGCTAGATAGAGGCATTATTAAACCTTCAGCAAGCCCATGGTCTTCGCCTGTAGTGTTAGTGCCAAAGAAGGATGGATCAAAGAGGTTTTGTATTGATTATCGAGAGCTGAACAAGCACACGGTGAAAGACTCTTTTCCCCTTCCCCGGATTGATGAGTCGATCGATTATTTAGCTGGTGCAAAATACTTTTGCACACTGGATTTGGCAGCCGGTTATTGGCAGGTACCCCTCGACGAAGATGCAAAACTGAAGTCGGCATTCGTGGTGCCCGGAGGATTATTTCAGTTTGAAGTTATGCCATTCGGGCTATGTAATGCCCCATCAACGTTCGAACGACTAATGGAGAATATATTTGTTGGACTACAATGGAAGACCCTCCTCATCTATCTAGATGACATTGTTGTGTTTGGATCCACTGTTGAGGAAATGGTACACAGGTTAGAGGATGTGTTCATTCGTCTCCGAGAAGCTAAACTCAAACTGAAGCCTAAAAAATGTCACCTCTTCCAACGAGAAGTTCTCTACCTTGGACATGTTGTTTCAGAACGAGGAGTTAGCACGGACCCTGCAAAAACAGATGTGGTTAGGACCTGGCCTACACCTACCAATGCCACAGATGTAAGGAGTTTTCTGGGTTTAGCTTCTTACTACAGACGATTCGTGAAAAAGTTCTCGGATGTAGTCAAACCGCTCACTGCCCTTACCCAGAAAGAACATCCTTTCATTTGGACTGATGCATGTGAGATTGCATTCAGGACGATGAAAGAAAATCTTATCACTGCACCAATCCTTGCATATCCACAATTAGGAGTACCGTTCATTTTGGATACTGATGCTAGCAAGTATGGAATCGGAGCCGTCCTATCACAAGAGCAAGAGGGAAATGAAGTTGTAGTTGCCTATGCGAGCAGAACACTAAGTAAACCTGAGCAAAACTACTGTGTAACTAGAAGAGAACTGCTTGCTATTGTGGTTTTCTTGAAGCACTTCCGACATTATCTGTATGGACAAGAAGTGACGGTTCGGACAGACCATGGAGCTTTGAGATGGTTAATGAACTTTAAGAATCCTGAAGGTCAAGTAGCCAGATGGCTGGAAGTTGTTAGCCAGTATCGACTTACCTTAGTGCACAGAGCAGGTCGAATTCATTCTAATGCCGATGGATTATCTCGACGCCCCTGTTCACAGTGCGGCAGGCTTGATGATGTCTGCAATGATAAGAGATAGATTGAGTTAATACATAGACTATAGTTACTTATGACATGTTATATTTTATGGTGTTATTTCGTATATATATATATTTTTTTTTTATATACAGAATTCGTGTTATGATGAATAATGGAGACACCAACTAATGGAGATGCGATTGGACTTGAGGAGAGAGTAGAAGCGATAAGTTTTTCACCTTCTTTCACCTTTGCTGAAATAAGGAAAGCACAATTAATAGATGGTGATATCAGTGTTGTGTTGAAATGGAAAGAGAAGTCTCAATTGAAGCCAGAGTGGAAGGAAATGTCTATGCTATCTTCAGCAGTAAAGACATATTGGATAAACTGGGAGCTACTGGAAATAAAAGATGAGATTCTAGTTCGAAGATGGGAGTCAGATGATGGTAAGGAAGTGAACTGGAAAACTGTACTCCCCAAGTCCCTACGCTCAGTGGCCTTGGCTGATTTGCACGATGCAAAAACAGGAGCTCATCTAGGAGTAAACAAGACGTTACACAAACTTCAACGTAGATTCTACTGGGTAGGACTAGCCGCTGATGTACGCTCTTGGGTTAGGAAATGCACTGTGTGTGCACGGTCCAAGAATCCACCTAAGAAGAATAGAGCACCTTTGCAACAGTACAGAGTTGGAGCCCCGATGGAGAGAGTGGCTATGGATATTATGGGACCTTTGCCCGAGACAGATAAAGGAAATAGATATGTGTTGGTCATTGGAGACTATTTCACTAAATGGACTGAATCTTATGCTATGCCAAACCAAGAAGCCAAGACAGTGGCTAATATCTTTGTAGAGGAATTTGTATGCAGATATGGAATCCCAAATGAGCTCCACACTGATCAGGGCAGAAACTTTGAGTCTAACTTAATGAGTGAAGTATGTAAACTTCTAGGAATTAAGAAGACGCGTACGTGTCCTCTTCATCCCAGGAGTGATGGGATGATTGAAAGGTTTAACCGCACCTTGATTGGCATGGTGAGAACCCTCATCGATCCGGACAGGAACCAGAGAGATTGGGACGAGCTGCTTCCCCATGCCATGTTAGCTTACAGATCAAGTGTACAGGAGTCAACGGGAGAAACTCCGGCAATAATGATGTTGGGAAGAGAACTTTCATTGCCAGTAGATATATTGGTTGAGCGATCTTCATCTGTGGAAAATGGAAGTGAAATAGGAGATTATGCAGAGCAACTGAGAGATAAACTTCATGATGTGCATGATAGAGCCCGAAATAAACTTCGCTTGACGGGTGAACGCCAAGCTAAGATGTATGATAGGAACACTAGACTCACCAGTTATAAAGTTGGTGACTGGGTTTGGTTGTATGGAATAGAGAGGAAGAGAGGAGTGTGTCCTAAGCTAACCATGAAGTGGACTGGTCCTTACTTAGTTATCACTAAGCTTTCTGATGTGGTATATCGAATACAACGAAGTGAGAGATGTAAGCCTAAAGTAGTGCACTTAGACAGACTTAAGGGTTATGATGGTCCACCTCTGGAGACTTGGCTGAAACGTCATAATCCAGCTAGGACTCGGCGTGTGCCAGGACGATACCGAGATTAAAATGAATATTGGATGTGGGACTAATTTGTTTTTGTTTCTGTGTTTCTACCTCTTCCAGATTTACGATTTACGATGTTACTTCTTTGCAGTACATGCAAGGCTGGTTTTACTTCACGGGCAGAGCTAAACAGACACATGAAAGAGGCCCATGGACGTGAACTAACTCTAAAATGCGAGACTTGCGCATATGAAACCACTGAGGGGATTAAATTCCGTAGGCATTATAGGAGAACTCATAACCTCTCCAAAAGCGATACTTTAGCAGTGGCTTTCTCCGCGGCATCAGATCGTTATACGTTGAAGCAAGAAAACCTGAGAGAGGGGAAGGAAAGGAAAAGGAAGTTGGAAGAGGAGCGAGTAGGAGAAGGAATTGCTAAGAAGGCAAGAGAAGCAGAAAAGGAAAGAAGACAGAAGAGTAAGGATATTAACTCAGGATCTAGTACCCCTCTGCCAGTACTTTCGTTGAAATATTTGTACGAAACATTATCTTTGTCTCCAGGGGACTATTTCTCTGACTCTTTTGACAATCAACAACCAACCCTGGATACTGACGATCGACGACCAACCCTGGATACTGACGGTCGACGACCAACCCCGGATACCGCTGATCAACAACCAACCCTGGATACTGACGATCGACGACCAACCCTGGATACTGACGATCAACAACCAACCCCGGATACCGCTGATCAACAACCAACCCTGGATACTGACGATCGACAACCTACCCCAGACGCAACTGATGACCGACAGCCGACCCCAACTGACCCAAGACCAACACCAGACTTAGAGGAAGTAACGATTAGTTTAAACAGAGCAGCAACAGAAATTGGACGTATAAAACTGGTGTCAGTGACCGTCGTAACCGAGACTTATTATCATGTGCACGGGAAGGAAAAAAGAGGGAAGGTAGAGACGAAAACCTTTAATTTCGACGAAGACAGTAATGAGGAGTAATTTTTATTTATTGTGTATTTATAACTATTGAGAATTTTAATTATTGTATATTTATTGAAACTAGCGTTTAAGCCTACATTTATGCTGTAGTTAACAGAAGAAGAAAAAAAAAATACACATAGACCTGTATGTACTGTATATACACTACCATGTCAAAGTATGGTACATGTATGATAAGAAATGAGTGGTTGTATTTTTAATTTTTTTTTTTTTTTTTAGTCGCTGGGGACAGCGATTTAGAAGAAGGGAGGTAGTGTGACGGTCAGCGTAAAATCTAACTTGTTCATTTTTATAAAACTGACTTGAAACACCAAAATATATATGTGGGACTGATTTTTCGATCTTTTCATATATTTTTGTCTATTTCACTTGTTTAATTGCTGAGTTATACTGTCAGGCTGACTTACCATTATTCTAAATGTCTGTACTCTCGGAATAAGGCTCTTACTTTATTTTGATCAATATATTTCTCTTTGTATAAAGGTTACAAATTATTTGATGTAATCGCACTTACTTTGAAATAGTTATTGCGAAGATTTATGAATATTCATGTGCGTACATATTCGCGTGGTTAAAGCATACGCGCATAGCGCATGGTAGTGCGCTGATATGTGATAGCCGAGTTTGATCGATGTGGCTAGGCTGTACACTTTGGCATTAGATGCGCTGTGAAACTGACCTGTCTGTGAACCTTGTTGAACCGAGATTTACGGTAATTATTCCTTTCGTTTCCGCCCATTGCTATTCATATGCAGATTAGCTGATTTGCATTGCACCAACAACAAATGTTGATCAATCTATTGGACTTTGTACCAAAATTGATGTTTTAATGTTTATTTTAGAGTTAAATGTGTATTTTCATGGTTTTTAAGGCCGAATCGAATACAGGCCAGAAGCAGATTGGCCAAAATCTAGCCAAAATGGGATGGCCCAAAACTAGCCAAAATGGGATGGCCCAAAACTAGCCAAATTGGTATTGTGCATATGATTAGTATGACTGCTGTGTATATGGATGCTTGTTATATTGGTATTCATTTATCAGATAATAGTTATCAATATGTATGCTTGGAACTGAAACAGAATACACAAAATGGACATGAATTCTTGGATTTTATATTACTGTGCCAGTAATTATTTATTGAATAATGCAACACTTAATAAAATGTCTTTACAATTATATTGCATTACAGAGATGTCAGTTCAGAAATCACAGTCACTGTTAAGAAATGAGCATTGGAAGTGGTGAACATATTCCCTTTATTTATTACTTTTGGTTGAGAGATTTTACTCTTTGTAGCTAATAAATCATTAGCTACGCTGAAATTAGGTGTACTTCAGGTCGCTGGATAGTTTGACTAACTGATCCTTTGCGGGTATACCTAAAGGTCTAACCAATTCCAATCTGGTTTCTGTGACAAGTAGTTCTAAGAATGTTTATACATGTACAAACTTTTATCTATTTGTGAGATATTGAATATTAGTGCTACTGCTTATTATTCAATGGAGGACTGATTATTTAATTGGTCATTGGAACATTTTCTCTTTTATTATCGATTTTTACTCTAGACTATAGACCATATCTGCTGTGTGACCTAATACATTACTAGTAATATGAATTTCTGGAGGACGAGGCTGAGGGCCTCAGTAACTTAGTCTGTCACCTGTACCTAGTAGTTTAAGAATATATCTATCTACATGTAAAGCAGTTGTAACTTATATATATTGAACATTTGTATATTTAATAATTGTATTCTATATAGTTGTACTTTAAATATATTCGTCATATTTATGAACAAAGTAAATACGATCTGATGCTATTACTTGCATAAGATTTAGTCACTTGTAAATAGATTCACAATTCAACAATTAATGATGTACAAATTAATATAAGTAGCTTATGTATTTATGGAGCTGTAACTTACATGTATATTTTATCTTAGTAACACTTATTGATAATGATCCCTTAATAAGCACTGAATTACAGAGAGCAAGGAACGAATCCCTAGACAAACCGGTTGTCTTAAGATTGAAGTACGTTTAGAACTGATTAGTAATTCTGGAAGTTAGCAATAGGATAGGAATTGGAAATTTGAGGCTATAACCTATTGTAAAGACCTAAGGATTAAAGATCGCATGGTTATGCCGACAGAGTGAGCTGCCATGACGAGATTAGGGGTGGATAGACCAGTAAGTAAAATACCCGTTGAGCGGTGAATCCGAATACCATAAGTTGATTATGCCTAGGCAATAAGAAGGAAGGCAGTTAAGTATTTGTACTTGAACTTGGAATGAAGTAATTATTGGATGGCTGCTGGTCAGCCTAGATTGACCGTAAGATGAAGTGGCTATGTTGTGCCCGGAATAGAATTACTTTCTCATGTTTTAGAAGGAAAGAAAAGGTACACTTTGGAATAGAATTCAGTTGCTAATGATCTATTATTGTAACATCTTAAACCTGTCCCTATAGAACTCTTTAACATAATACTGCATCTACTATTATAGTCTATACAATTAAGTTAGTATCACTTAGGTAAATGATTGGTTGTCTGACAAAAGTGACAACACATCTGTATATAATGTACATTTGAACTCTTATACTTAGTAATTGCATTGCATACATTTTCGAGTTGAATTACGTCAACGTTGAATTAGGCATGAAAGCCTCACTGTTAATTGAAATCCATTAATAAAGTGTTACTTGTTATTTGTTCACCTGAACAATTAGGCTGACAGATTCATTCTTATAAGTTACAGTAATACATGTCTGGTTACACATTAGTTACAGTAGTTAGTTAAGTGTGAATGGTGATTGGTACTTTTACATCTTCTTTAGATAGCGCGATTGAGAACTTGAAGAACGAAATCATTGTCTGGTTCTATTCAGACACTTATCCATGTCATTGTGCCTTTAGATTGCTCGCTACCTTATGGGAGGATTGGGATAGAGGACGTGAGAGAAAGTGCCCCAAGATACGAGTGCGAATAATGTGTGTGTTTTAACTGCGTGTACAGGACACCCAGTGTGCCCTGTCACATGTTTGCAGTGTGTTGTGCAGAACGTTAGAGAATCTGAGCTGTACAAGTCTGATACAAATATTAGGATTAAATCATGCTTACAGAGTACTGACAGAATTATTCAGATCTTATGATGATGCTTTAACTCACCTAAATGAAGAAATACAAGCTACTTGAAGTGTGGAACAGTGTGGAGATGAGCCAGGCTGCTCGTGGCACGAGTTGAATCTAGCGCGAATGTTTACGAGAGCCCAGGGTTCAGGTCAAAGGTTGACCATTAGTGCGTTGTGTTGAATTCAAGAGGTGCGAAATGAGCCAATGAGAAGGCTGTGATTTGTGAATAATTAAGTCATTTAAATATCGTTTATTGTGTGATCCAACAGGTCTGGTATTAATCTCTTTACAACATCAAGTTGTAAAGAGAAGAGAATCTAGCGCTCTTAATAAAGACTAGATGGTGGCAGCTTACTGTGTTGTGAATGTTGACTTGATTTTGGTGGCAAGCGATGCAAGCACCCCCCCCCCCTTTCTCTCTCACTGGGGAATTACAACACCACCACCCCTCTTCCTCTTTACCCCCCTTCTTCCTTCCTCTATTGTATTATCTATTAACCACCCCCCCCCCCCCTATTGCGTCACACTATTTTGATAAACTGGCCCATTTGTCAAGCCGATTTAATGGACAATTTGTATATAGGCTAAACATGGATATCACATTTTGTAGATTTTTTTTTCTCCAAACATTGATTGAAATTACAGAAATCCAGAATTTGTTATATAAAAAGGTGACGCGAAATGGCTTCATGGTGGTGGTGGTGCCGTGGTGGTGGAGGGGTGGTGAACCTATTAGACTGATTGATTGAAGTAAGAAGAAGGAATTAAAGGCCCACTGCACTACTTGCAGCTACTTGCGCCCTCTATATAACCAACCATGCCTAATCGGTGACCATTGGTCCCCCATGATCCTCTTTTTCTTATGTTAACTGAGAGCTGAGTTGATGAGATAACCACCTGTCCAGTGACCTTGCAGGGCAGTCTAATCCCTCCTGTAAACTATGGCAGATACGCTTTAAGGGGTCGTTTACCTCTTGATCAAGCTTCCTTCCCCTCTTCATTTATTTTCCACCCATGTTATTTATCTCTTCGCATCCAATTCTCCATCTTTTCTGTATATTCTATGAGGTTATCTGTCACCCTGTACCTCATATTTACTGCCATTATAATGAAAACTCCTCTATCGAGGAAACGATAGAGATACATGTTATTCTACAAAAGGACTCTATTTCTCCTCCTCCTCTTCCTCCTCCTCTTTCTCCTCATCACCCTTCACCTACTCCATTTGTTCTTCTTCTTCTTCTTCGTCTTCTTCATCTTCTCCTTCTCCTCATCCTTCTTCTACCTCTTCTTACAATGTCATATTCTTCTTAATTTCTTCCTTTTCACTCAATAGGCATCATTAAAAAAAAAACGTAACAGTGGCTTTCAAAATGCATTTTCTCCACTGGCGATTTTTGTTCAAACTTTTTTTTTTTTGGGGGGGGGATGATGAAGCCAAAACTTTAATTTTGCTTGAGCCCCAACATAAACATCCCTTTCAAACACAGACCAAATATGCACCTCAAGGACATTTAGGAATTATGCCCTCACCCCTTTAACAAGATACTAGATCCATTCATAATTATGTTTTCTGGATAGTCCGAGAAACTTTGTATTTTGTATAAACAATTTAATATCGTTTTAAAATCCACTATACTTCACCGTCTTCTCATCATGCTGCACGATGAGTTACAGCGCCACCTCGGTAATATTAGAGAACAACCCACAATCCACAACACACAATCGAGTGAATGGACAGCCCGCGGGATGGACATGCCCTTCTTTTTAGAAATGGGCCTAGTTATATTTTCTTTCTAACTTTCTCTTTACCTCTTTTAGCATTCATGCTTCTCGTTCTTTTATATTCATCTGTTTCTTATGTTGTTGTTGTAGTTGTTCTTTTCTCGTTGTACTCTTCTTCTCAACTTCTTCCAGTTCAGTCTTCTTCTGTTCTCACCACCTTCCTAATTTTCTGCTTTGTAGATCTTCCCACGTTTCTTTTTCTCCTCCTCTTCTTTTCCCATTATTTTCATCATCACCATCATCACCTTCTTCGTTTTCCCTCTCCTTCTTTTTGTTCGTCTTTGGCTTCCCCTCCCCGCTCCCTCTTTTCCTCCCTATATATAGTCTCTTTTTTCCTCCCCTCCTTGTAGAAATACGAAGTTGAAAACCATCCAGAGAATCGTGAATTGCGATACTGGTTATTAATTATACAATTACAAATTTTTATTTTCAGTTTTCTTTATGTATAGCTGATTTTCTTATAAGACTGAAGATAATATGGCGAATATATTCAATACTGAGTGAACGCCATTCAACTATTACCAACAACAACCTCCTCCTTTTATATTTTTCTCACTTCCTATTATTGGCCTCTTCTTCTTCTTCTTCTTCTTCTTCTTCTTCTTCTTCTTCTTCTTCTTCTTCTTCTTTTTCATCTTCATTCTCACTAATTCCGATAAAGATGACTTCCAAGGAGCGAGGCAAGATGGATTGATCAACTTAATGACAGTTAGGGAATGCATATTTCCTGTATTGTCGGATCGATGTTCGGAATTGCATGGATGTTGGCCCATTCAGTAGAGCGTCCGCCTCACAACCGGGAGGTCGTGGATTCGAACCCCGGCCGCGTCATACCAAAAGACGTTAAAAGATGGGAGTTGTTGCTACCTTGTTTGGCGTTCAGCAGTAAGGGATAGAGCAACGTCAATCTGGCGCTGCTCAGTGGCTGCCGGGCTCACGATCAATTGGGCAAAAAGAATATCCGTTTCGGTTTAATAAAATTTGGAGTGGACTATTAGGCTATTATTATTATAATGTGAAGTTTATTAAAAAGAATGGCAGAATATATTAAATTTGTACACCAGTCTATAGGAAATTAAAAAATATATTATCTTAACAAACTTTTACACAGGTCTATGGAAAAACCAGTCGGAGTGGCATATACTGGCATATATAATTTACCGCAGGCCCGCCGCTGCTCTATATTATAGGAGCTACGGTAAATGTATAACCGTAGATAATTATGATCACTTTTATGTCTTACCGCAGTTTCAGCGGCAAAGTTTTATGAAACGGAAAGTTGCCGCAGAAACTGGAATTTGCCGCAGAAAACGGGAGTTACCACTGCAGTTTTATGAAACGGGCCCCTCATTTTCGGACCTAGTTAATCGCTCACTCGCATTTATGATGCGATATATCTTTGTTATATTTTAAGCCCGAGTGCACCCGGAGAATGCATACACCCTTCCTTTGAATAACTCTCGAAATGGTGTTTGAAGCCCGTTTGTAGGTAGGCCTATTCAATGGCTCATCATCCTTTCAGTTTCTGTTATCATCTCCCAACTATTCTTTTCACTACAAATACATCATCTCAAAATGATCAAAGGAAAATACTGGACAAAACCAAGTTCAATATCATTCTGTTTACGTTCTCCGAATTAGGAGTTCGAGGATGTCGGATTGGAGAGAGTCATATCGCATAGCAACCGTACACAACCGCTGCTTCAACAGAACTACTTTCAATTTACGAAAAGGAGGACATCCCCGGTTGCGGATAAAAACGAGTCCCATATATGATACCTTTTTGACATTCGGTTTGAATTAAATGAGTAAAATTTACCATAGAAAGACTCTAATTTTTACGATGCAGGTATTTAAAAAGGAAAATTGTCCATATATACCAAAAATATAATTGAATAATCATTAAAAAGAACGTGAAACCGGTTAACTCCAACGAATCGTTTAGTATATCCATCCGCGAAATTGTAATCAAAATAAATATTTCCGAAGATCCGGAATCATCATGGCGGCGAAGATGTCGTCGCAAAATTTCTTTCAGCAGCAGACGAAGTACGGTGCTGGTCCGTCAAATGGACCAGCACCGATTGATGTCAGCCCTGAACTTCATCTTAAGATGTCAAAGAAGATAGCACAGCTTACTAAGGTTAGTAAATATCAAAGAAACTGTTCAATATTTATAAGAATGGTCACAGTTTGTGTTGATTTATGCGATGAATGTTTGAGCTTGCTTCGGTCCCACTGGTTGCGTTTGACGTTGTTTATTTTACAACTTCAACTCAACGAGATTTTACTCTAAACTTTCTTTGAAAAAGTTGATTTAAACATTGTTTGCGAGGAAATAATTTGATACGGTTTTTAGGTCTATTTACTCCAATTCAAATTAGCATATTGATTTTTTGATTTTGCCACCTGAGGCTGAACTTGAACGAAGTTGAACTTGAAGTTGAAGTCCTGATTAAAAACTTTAAAAATCTGTCTCCCAATTTATTTTAAAATTCAAAATCAAAGCGAGATTAATGGCTCTAGTAAGACTAGTCGAGTATTTTGAAACAAATGGAATTGTCAAGATCTATGACAGGTGGCATTAAAGAATATAGAGTCAGATCTAACAGTAACAGTAATGTTGGGCCTAGCCCTAGACTCTGTCTCTACTACTAGATCTACTACTAGATCCTAGGCAAATTCATGCAAAAAAATATAGGCCTAGGGCCTATTTAAAAAATTGACTTGAAAACACATCAGACAATTAGTCTAGTCTGAACCGAGTCAGGACTCGAGCAAATTTGAAGAAATTATATTTTTAAATGTTGTAAAACCAAAGATATAAGAAGAAAACTGACCAAGTATCTGTACTAAAAATCGTACATGTAAAATTGGTCGTATACATTCGACAGCTGAAAATGACGCGCACGGTTGCATTACGTGCGTTCTCGAATCCAAAATCATACCTCACACACACACTCTCGCCATACCGCGAATGGTCCGTCGTGGGGAGCTGGCCGGCTGAGAGTTTGCAGCGATACCAACGCAGCTTCGGAGCTCCGCAGAGCGCCATTTTAGCGGGACTCGGAAAGGTTCGAGGTGGGAAGGCAGCGGCCTAGCTTTTTGCCCAAACAACGCTAGATCGGCTGCTGGCAAAATGAAAATAACTACGATCGAGAACATCGTCGGTTTCTTAACTTTTCAGTGAGATAATTCTGAATTCTAATTGAGACTATATAATAAACTAGAGATTTAATTCGTCACGAAGACGAATAAGGTGGTCTGTCTAAGTCTTATGATAGATTTGAGAATGGGAGAAGTTATATAGACATGTAAACAATGATGATCATGATGAACATGGTGATGATCATGATAGTAAAGGTGATGATGATGATGATAATGATAATGTTATATGACGATAAAAACGATAATGTTAATGATGATGATGAGCATAAGCATGATCCTGACAACTGATTAAAAAAATGAGGAAATATTTAGATAGCAAATAGTCTCAGCTACAACATACTAAAATTTGGGAGAAAACTGTTGAATAACAACCGAGATACTGGTCAAAACACCTTGTCATGCAGATTCATGTTTTGAAAAAAGTGACCTCCCATAGACATAACACGCAAATATAACAAATTATGCATTGTCGTCTTTAATCGAATATTTAAGTATGATGACGTCATTTAAATAAAAAATAAATGCAATATTTGTGATAGAGAATTATCTCAGCTACAACATATCAAAATCTGAGAGAAAATTGATCACAGATAAGTGAGATAATCTCAATTAAACAAAGACAAAAATGACGTCATCAACAAAATACATATGTTTGAGTTTAGATGCCAATATGATGACTTTATTTCACTTTGTACGAGTCAGGGTGGTATGAAATCATATCTCCAACTCATGCTTTCTCCAACCATGATATAAAAATTGGGGGTCAATGGACTATCTGAAGAGCTATTTCGATTTTTAAAATGGCATGTTTTTGATCAAATTTGCATTATATTGCCCATAGCAGTACGCGCGGATTTTGAACTTTGACGCACGCTCACGGCCTTATGAAATATGAAGAGTGACTGAAATTAATGTAAATTGTCAATTACGTTAAGAGGAATCCAAATCATGTAAACATTTTGAATTTGACCTTTTCCGCGCGTTATGAGCGTGCGCAACGCGCGCGGTGACATGTACGGACGGAAAATTTTGAAATGCTTAAAATGACCTGATTCGTACTCTCGTTTAATAGTTAAAAGATTTTGAGCATTTTAAAATTTTGACGCGCGCGTACGTGCGCGTCATGACCTTTATGTGACCTTTGATGACTTGACCTGTTGACCCTTGACCTGAAGTATATGTGATATGAATATGAATGACCTTTGCTGATGTTTCATGAAGATATGATGGATAACGTGATTTCACAAAATGGCGCCTGGATGACGTCACGATAACCTAATGACCTTAAAAATGTTCCTGTCACGTCTCATGATAATGACCTATGACTGTGCCAAAATTGAATCAAATTGACATAACCAATCTTACGTTATCCGACACACAAAAAAGTGAAGAAATAAATAAAAATAAAGAAATAATAAAGAAGAAAGAAAATTCTGACGAAATCAATAGGTGGTCTGTTGATAACAGACCACCTAATTAAATCGACAAAGAAACCTCGGTAGAACTCTTATAACTATACAAAAGGTTGTTTATTTCTTCATTTGACATTTTGTTTTCGACCATTTTTTCGTGCGCGAGTCAATGTAAACTATGTATTACCAAACTTTCAACACGCAAGGAACGGGGAACACTCGCGGACCTCGTAACAAATTCGTTGCAAAAAAAAAAATTCAAGGGTGATTTTGAAGCAGTGAAGAACATTGGCGCTGCGATGCGCAGAAATATACTTGAAAGAAACTTAAAAAATAATACCTGAATTTTCAGAAAATCGTATTTGTATTAGTGTACCTAGATGTGACTTGTTTATAAATCAGATTTTATGAAGATTTGTCGGGAAAAAATGTCAATTTTTTCCGTTTGGTGGTCATTTCTAGGCTAATATTTTAAAAGTTGCATCAGTAATGGGCCCGATGTTTCTCTTATCGCACTCGCATGTTATTTCTACATAGCTAAAACATAGGATGGTTAAGGGTAAGACAAGATAACATTATAAAAAAGATATATCCTTCCACCCTCCCATATCCAAGTTTTGGGCTGATTATTGCCGACCCACCGCAGCAAGGCCATTCAGATTTTCGTACGCGTGCGAAGCGCCCTCTAGTGCCCCATGAATTTGCCTATCTCTACCGTACTAGTCTAGATCTAAGTTAGATCTAAGTTAGACAGGAGTCGTTCTGAGACGAGACAGCTGAAGGGTTGACCAAATTAACTCCAAAGTTCGCGGAGATTTTGAAAATATTAGAGAATGTGATATTCGATCTATGATTTATCATATTCTACACAAATTTTCATGGCAATTTTTTTACTTCAAATTGGTTTGACTAGAAAATTTATCTTCAAAGGATTCCGGAGATATCGCGATCTAAAAATTTGATGTCTAATCGGCGTGCGCGCTACAACAACTGAAAAAGTCATAAAAATAACGAGACCTTACTTCGCGCGCAGGGGTTTACAGCTGATTCATCGAAAAATGTGTTCTATCAAAAACAAGATAATTTCATAATTTGCAAGGAAAGATATTATAAAATCAATTGGTACCACTTTTTTTACTTACAATTTTGAGCATATCTGCTCTCAAAATTAAGATTTCCAGACCGCCGATCTTGGCTTTACTGGTAAGTTAATAATTTTTCAGAACGGACTCAAATGACTGCAAAATTTGCTGATCTTTTTTCGATATTTTCATAATTTCACACCCAGTTCCAAAGAAAATTTCGCCTCTGGGTAATTTTATGTTTCTCTTTGCGTTGGGGATATCAGGTTTTCGAAATCTTACAGATTTTTTGAGATAGCGAACTTCGGTTAAGCGCAAACTATGGTCACACCACCATACTAATTAATTCTAATCACCTGGAGGTGGGATCACGCATGACACGGCTGCAGCTCAGTGCAGTGACAGTCTGTTTCTTATTGTGCTTTGTCTTGACATACAAGCTATATTATTTCATATTTATTCCATTAACAACACTCATCATTTGTGAATAATTCTAGCATTTCCTTCTCTTTCCTACAAAAATCCACCTTCATCATGGCATCAAGGCTTAAAATCAGGTTGTGACACATGGACCCCTGGCCCTAGAATATTAAAATGCCAATACAGGCTTTGCATGTACAGGACAATCTTCCAACATTTTGCTCACTCTGAAAAAGTCTTAATATGGATTATTATTATAATAGTAATAATAATATTGGTGATTAATTACAATTTTTTTTACATTTCAGGTTATCTATGCATTGAATACGAAAAATGATGAGCATGAGGCCATGGTTCAGAGTTTGAAAGACAGTCATGAAGAAGAACTACAGCAACTTATGGGAGAGACCAAACTGAAGATCACAGTGTATCAGAGCAAACTCGGCAAAGAGCTTGAGCTCCAACAGAGGGTAAACAAACTTGAGGCAGAAGCTTCCGATTTTGAGAGACAGAAGCGGGAATCGCACGCAGATTTCAGCGAATTCAAGCGAAATAGCGAGGTGAGGGAAGGGAACCTTCGAGCAGAACATTCTCAAAAGTTACTTGGTCTGTCCCAGGATTTGTTGGGGGTGAAGAGGGACTTTGAAGACAGGTTAAGACAGTTTGGGGATGGGAAGGAAAAACTAGATCAGGAGAAAGTCGCCGCTCTAGAAGGGCTTCGGGCGAAACACAGGGAGGAGATAGAAGCAATACACAAAGCTCATCAGGCGCAGCAGTCCGGGTCATCAAGCGAGGTTGCAGAACTTACCAGAAGACATGAAGCAGAAGTGACAAGATTAAAACAGGAGTGTGAAAGCTTATCTTCGGAAAAATCCCACCTTGTCGAGGACTATGAATCAAAGCTCGAAAAACTCAAAGCATTCCACGAGCGAGAGATCTCAGCTCTCCGAGATGGGGAGTCTCGGAAGCAGGAGCAGGAGTGGAAGGAGAAGGAGGAGGCATTGCGGAAAACATTTGCTCTGAAGGAGCACAATCTGAACAATAAGGTACAGGAGCTTACAGCAGAGCTGGCTGTGTCTGATGAGGATCTGTCCAAGTATAAAGATTTGTTGAAGAAGGCAGAGGCTGCCCTAGATAGCAGAGAAGGAGATGCTCATGGTCTCACCCAACAGGTGAGTTTTTTTAAAATTTGCTCCTTTTGTTTTCTTTTATAATGCTACTTTTCATTGGGACTCTTCATTTTAATCAGCGAGTGTGTGGGTGTGTGCATTTAATTTTTTATAGTAGTGAATAATTGAAATTTGAACTTAAGGGTGAATTCGCAAAATCTATAATCACTAAAAGTATGGGCTCTTCACATTGGCTGAATTGGTTCTGTCTATGACAAAGCGGCGGACAAGTTTTCTGATTTGTTCCAACATACCAATGACTAAAATGTAAATTTTTCGAAATATACAAGTATGAACCAGGAGTGTCTTCTTTTTAGAGAACCTTTTATAATATGCCATCCACAATATATTTTAGAAGAATGCATGGAAAACTATGGTATATTTGTACACACCAAAATGGGAGAGTTTTCCACGGCTAAGTACTTACAATCCAGGAACCAAGTAGCTGATTTGATATTTGCATACATGTATATTGCTCATATTTCATATTTAAAACACTCATAACCTTGTTATCATTGGTCCAATTTATTTCAAAATGCTGCCATTCTGCTTCTCTTATTTTTCTGCTTCCATACAAAGGAAATTATTACAAAGGTTAAATTGCTCTTTAAATGTATTGGTGGAAATATTGTCAGATTTATTTCCTCAGTATTCACCAAAATGCATAAAAACTAATAAGAGAAATTAGTTAGCACATGTTCAGTGAATTTTTACTATTTTTTTTTTTTTAAAGCTACCGGTACATACATGTTTATTGTATGTAATCATAAAAGTAAAGCTTACACAAGGTACAGTACATGTTCCTGATTTTTTTCTGTTACATTTTTCCAACCCGGATCGAGTTGGGCACTATGAATAAATGTATGTACATGTAGTTGGGCAAGCACAAAACAAAAAAATAAATGCCATGTTGTTACCAAGTAAAACCAAGTTGGCCAGACTCTGTGCATACATGTACACCTGTTGATAGCTCCGATGCAGTCCATTTGCTTGATGCCTGTATCTAAATATCCCTCTTACTGTTAAAAACCTATAATCCAAATTCCTGTTGAGATGTGATTATCCACCGGCACTAAGTAGCTTTATTTCATTCAATGATTGCTTTTTAAATGTCAGGATTTAATTCTTGACTAATCATGTGTACAGTAGCTTTGGGCCGAGGAGGTGTGTTTATAGACCAACATTCAATCAAACAGTTATTGGATTTTTTTCAAGGAGGTGGAACAATGCTTTGTTTTTAATCAGTTAATGATCTGTACACTTTGATAATATAGCTTAACCAGAATGTAATAGTACCTACATGTACTGTACTTGAAACAATTGATTAATATTGAAACAGTGTAAGACATTATCTGGGATCTTTCTAATCAATGAAAGCAGGCATGCACCAGTGTCCCAATGGATACTCTTGATGTACAAATGTATACATGTACATGCCTGATTCAAGATACCGGTACATGCTTGCAAAAAAATGATTTTTATTTGTTATAGATGGAGACTTTGTAAAGTGATACTATATTTTGCTAATCTATACCTAAGGCTGAGGCTAAGGCTAAATTTTGAGGCACAATTTATGTTTAAAAAGGGGGTCGGTGAAAGAGAATGCTCAACGGTTTTTATTTAGTACTGTTTTAAAAACAATGAAAAATGTAACAGTACATGTTTAGAGCTGTAGATTTGCAAGCTTTATAATCTGTGTTTTACTGTAATTGTTTGATTATTTTTTTAAAGACAACTTGTTCAGTAATAACTACCGGTACTATTCAAATCTGTTTTTTATGTACATGTATATGGAAAGTATTGAGCAGACAGCGACAAAATTGATCCTTGAAAATGCAAAGTATTGAGATCTGAACTTAGATGCTGAAAGATGTTGGGCACACTTTTAATTAAACAACTCTGGTACTTGTGCACTGACACCTACTTAGAACTGGTACATTGAGGCTCTCTATAGAGTCTATAGAAAAGACATAATGGTATAGAACTATTTACCATACTGGTATAATGACTGAGTGTTCTTGCTTTCTTTGCTCTTAAAACTCCACTTCTGATACCCATTATTAGAAGTTTCCTCCCTTTTTAAAGAAAGCCCAATTTCCTCATTCTGGTATCCAAAAGAATTTGAAGAAGAAAAAATTCAGTGCAATGTTTTCAATAGGTTCTTTATCAATAGGCAGGGATTGAATTGAAGAAACCCTCTCTATTCTCTGTGTTACATAACAAGAGGTCTAAAATCCAAGCTCTCTATACAAAACTATGCAAGTCGACTGTGAAAAATTGGTTTATTTAGTCAATGTATGGTGTCCAGGAATTTCAATATTGACTATCAGTTCCCAATGAAGCAGATGAGCAGAAGGGGAGTGGCCGATGAAACTTCAGAGTACAGGGTGTGCAAAAAAAATATATTACAAAGTTTAAAACTATTGTAAAACATGTAAAGGAACAAGTAGGATGAATAAAAATGGAGGGGGGATGGGAAGCTAGATTTTAATACAACCCCACCCCCCCCCCCCCTCAAGGATTGGCCAGGAATGATACAGACCTTCTCATTTCTAATGTATTACTCAGCATGAATTGAAAAATAAATTAATTAATAGGACCTGCACCATCCATTGGAAAATCAGTGTCCTAAACACTATTTCAAATTCTTCCCCACCCTTCTTATTATGTTTCTATTAACTTCCACATTACAGTACATGTATGTACCTAATAGATATCTGAACACTCAGAATCTGAACAATGTTATGACAATGATGAATATTTGGCACAAATTAAATAAATCAATCCTTTATATACGGGAATCAGTTTGCGCCTAAAGAAAATATTGGGAATGAACAAATTTATCCAATAGGTTATATTAAAGTTTAAATAGAAATAAATTTGAGATTTTTTTTTTTCTTTCAATTTCAGCTTCGTGATTCACGAATAGAAGCTAACAGTGCAATGACAAGATTAAAAGAGGTCGAAGGTGAATTGGCAGCCTCAAGAGAAAGATGTGATGGACAAGCTGCAGATATGGTCAAAAAATCAAGTAAGTTCCTTGTAATATAGAATATACACCCTGTATACATTGTACCTATGTATTAAAGACAGAATTTCTTGGTGTATTAGGGTTGTCAATTACAGGAGCATTATACAATGTACATGTACTCCTGTTGTAATAAAGGCAGACAAATTTCTACCCTTTTAATAAATCATTGGATGTTATTAGCCTCACTTGTTACTGCGCTGGTGGTTCTCGCATTTCCATCGAGGCAAATTGTACATGTATAGTAAACAGTACTGACTGGTTTGCTAGGCAGAAATTTCATCAGTTCAGTATCACTGTAAGAGAGAAGTAAGATGAGCAGGAAAGTAAGTTAGGAGGAAAATCAGTTTTGAAATCCACACATGGGCATTTACTTTTGCCCATCATGCCATACTAGGAAGCAAAAGTTTGGAGGTTGAAAGCAATTTGTATGGCTACACTCAATTAAAGTCTATGTACCATGTAATAAAGTGTTACAGGGCTTTGCAAAGTTGCTTATACTTTAACACCTAAATCATTCATACCCCTTGTAAATTTCATGTTTTTTGTGTCTTGTGTAACTCAAGAATGAAAGATTGATTGGTTGAATTAGGGGCCTTCACTGAATAGTTTTAGGTGCAAGTTTCGATATGTCACATTTTCAAGAAACATAAATCCGGACAAATCAAGTTTTCACTTAGTTGAAAAATTACAAAACTTAATTAGGGTATGAATAATTTAGTTGTTAGCTATACATGTAATTAACTCTTTGTCTGCTACATGTATAGTCAACCTACAGTATATGAATGGAACAAACAGCAGACTACTGCAGTTGTCATTTATCACACAAGTAATGTAATGTGAAGCATATGCACTCCAATATTGAGCTGCAAGCCTGCAACATTGTACAGTAATTTTGCAGTTCAGATTTTCAGTCTGCAGCGAATACAAACTAATGGGAACTGTGAAACATTGGGAATTTGTAGGTCTGTAGTGCTACAGTCTATACATCGTAGTACTGATTCTACTATGCTTTAAACATTCATTACCACCTAGATCTTATTGGCACATTCGAAGCAACACAACTCAGCAATGCAGCCACTATCAAAGATTTGGAGTCTGACCTGTCCAGGTTACAAGACAAGGTGCAATGGTTAGAGAAGGAGAGAGCCTCCCTAGAATCCAGCAAACAATCTCTCAATCAACAACAATCTGGTCAGCTCAAATCACTGGAAAAAGTGAGATATTTTGTTATTAATTTTTTTTATTTTATTTATTTTTTTTTAGCTCATTGATATTTTTGTAATGTATTTTGTATATATGGTAAGCTTTGTGTTTCCATTGACAGTTTGAAACTTTGTCATGGGATGTATATTTCCCGTCTGGATATCACTTTTACAGCCCATGATCGTACTAGATAAAGAAAAGAATATCATGTATGGTCAAATGTTATTTGAGGATTATGGTAAATGGTGAATAGATGGAAATGCTATGCATCGTCATTGAAGAGGGCAATCTTTTTCAGTCAATATCCACATATCAAAACAATACAAGCAAGCTCTACATAAAGTTAGGGGGCTGCAGATTGATAGTTTTACCGGTTCTACTAAGAACCAGAAGGTTCACTATATTCAAAATGCTATGAGTTACCGCCCTTCTGTCTGTAAGCAGGTGATAATTAACAATGACTAGAAACCTTTCCATCACTTAGTTACTTTTTCTAGCAACTTGGAAAACAATAACACCATGTAAATCAATGTTTTTGTCTGGATTCTACCTTTCAGGCTCTTGAAGACCTTTCCATCGAGAAACAGGTCTTGAAGGAGCGATATGAAAGCGCTCTTGAAGCAGCAAAGAGCCAGGGCCAAGAGGGCCTGGCTAATCTTCAGAAGGACCATGACAGTAAGATGGACCAGGTCCTACAGGCACACAAGGCTGAGCTAGAAAAACAACAGAAAGAGGCGGCTGCAGAGTTGGCTCGATTAAAACTGGTAAAAAGGAAAACTTTGAATTTGTTGCAATTTGCTATACATCAGGGATGCCAGTTTCCAGGCAATAGCTGGCGAGTTATTTTCAGACCATGCCCGTAGTTTAGACTTTTTTTGTGTACAAAATACCTCATTCTAGGTGATTTTCAGATCCTTTGATCAATTTCTAACTGGCATCCCTGTAAACATGTGTTAAGATTAAAATCTAGGCATTCTTGTAGCTAGGCTGTATTTATGTGACTTGATTTGCCAAATAAAATAATAATGATAATAACAAGGGTCCAGTAGACATGGATCAGTGAAATTGCTCTCCTTACCCCAAAATGTCAAATTCTGTACAGTTGCCAGGTGCACACAAACCCCTGGGAAAATGGTTAGTGTGGAACCCTGCTTCACCTAGTTCTCCTACTATTTTGAACAGAATTAGTTCTGTTAGTAGATGAGAGCCCTGTTGTGTGCACAGTTTATGAAGCAGGCAGCAACAATAATACAGATGGGTGATACAGGACTTTTGTTTCCACATTAGACTCCTTCAAAGTCTTGTCAAAGAAAGTAAAGAGTATTGATTTCATGCCTCAATTGTCATCGTTACAACATTGACATTATTAAAAGATCATAACAAATGACTTAGATGCTGCTCATCAGTTTTGGCTTGCATGGTGATGTTGATATACAGTCAGCTCTCTCACATGGAACAACCATAAGCAGAGCTGCCAACCATTCCGTTTTTGCCGGAATTACTCTTTTTTTCCCTCCAAATTACGGTATTACGTTTTTTCTTCATAAAATAAATTTTTTAATAATTTTTTTATTTTTTTATTATTATTTTTTTTTACATACCGCACGTCAAACAACTGCCCTAAAATGGTGATTTGATTCCAAATTCAATAGAAAACTAATTTTAAAACATACTTGAAGAGAAAAATATTCTCAACCAAATGAAATGCCGATAATACCAAAATAACCACCAAAAAAATTATACCTGCTCGTATGGAAAAAAACAGCATGATGAATGAACATTTCTGCATTGGAAGTGTGTCGTGCGTGGTTGTAAGTTTCGTTTTTATTAATTCCTTTTTTTTGCCATCATGATTCCTTTTTTTGGTTGCACAAGGTTGACAGCTCTGCATAAGCCTACTGTATAACAAATGACTTGTTAATAAAAAATGATAACCAAGGTTATTCTGTAACGTTGTCCACCAGGAGCTTGAGAATAAGCTGGAGTCGACGCAGGAGCACCTGAGCGGGGAGCGCGACACCCTCCAGACCAAGCTCAACCACCTGGAGGCGGAGCTCACCACCAAGCTCAGGCACGCAGAGGGAGAAGTCCGTCGGCTGGAGGGGATCCTCAACAACAACGAGAAGGGGCTGGGCTCCGCCAACAGCAGGATCAGCTCCCTCCAGCAGACCAATGCTCAGCTCCTGGAGAACCTGGAGAAAGCTCAGAAGGAGGGGAGGGAAACAGGGAGCCAAGCTTCCGCATTCAAGGTCAGTGAACCCCTGATTTGAGCTCATACTACAAAGGAGCTAAAACCCAGTTTAAAATACAAAGCCTGTTTTTTACTGTATTTTATCTATGGCTTATTCAAACTCTTTAAATTTCAATATATATATATATATATATATATATATATATACAGTGAAACCTGTCTATAACGACGGCCCAAGGTAAACACAAAAAGTGGTCTTTGTAGACATGTAGTCTCTGTAGACAGGTTCCTTTAGTACATGTGTCAATGAGAAGCCATTTTCAAGGGAAACAAACAATTTGGTCTTTGTTAACTGGGGGGCACTAAAGCAGGTTTGATTGTACTTGTTTTTGATATTCCATGGGAATTTTGACATTGCTTAAAAGTGGTATTTTGTTGCCGATCAAATCAGTCATGTGACTTGATTGTTTAAAGTTCAGAATTGAGCAAATATGTACACCATGGTAGTTCAGTATTGAGAAAAGAGATATACTGCTATGTAATAGTAGGTTTATGCTGACTTTTCTGATTACATTGAGATTTAAAACGTCATTTTACAAATAGTTTTTTTTCTCAATAATCACACAAATTTTAATTGGTTTACCTGCTTTTAAACATGTCTGGCGTTCTTGTGTCTTGATTGTTAAAGCCCCTATTCGTATTATAATAAATAAAGAAACTCATGTTTCTAAATTTTCATTTGCATTATCAATCAGACTGAGCTTGAGAAGTTGAAGCACACCCATGCCACCAAGATGGCCGAGTCAAGAGAAGAGCTAAAGACCAAACTAGACAAGCTTTCTCATGATCTAGATACAAGGTGGACAGATACACTCAGGTGAGAGCATGTTTTCAAAATATATGCACCCATGACATTGTGTTGTCATTTAATTTACTGTTATCTCATTTGAACAATGATGATGATGATGATGATGATGATGATGGTGGTGGTGGTGATGATGATGATGTTGATGATAATGATGCTTAGGACCAAACTAGACAAGCTTTCTCATGATCTAGATACAAGGTGGACAGAAACGCTCAGGTGAGAGGATGGTACAAAGAAATATGCACCCAAGACATTGTGTTGTCATCCTATTTACTGTTATCACATTTGAACAATGATGATTATGATGATGATGATGATGGTTGAGGTGATGATGATGACGATGATGATGATATTGTTAATGAGTATGATAGTGGATGTGGTTATGATGGTGGTTTTGATGGTAGTAGGTGATGTTATGTGATAATAAAGGTGATGATGATCTTTATGATGATAAATTTGCCTTTTTTTAATGAGCTCTTATCCACCATGTATGGTTCTCTAGGTACTCCAATATCACAGAGACCCATTGACTATATCTAGGTCGAAAGTGGCAGAAGTATGAATGGCATTGTTATGGTTAGGCCATGTAAACAAAAATACATGTTTAGCGTCCCCTCCCGCTTCTTTTTTTTGGCAGCTTCCTTTTGTTTGTTTTTTGTTTTTTTAATTTTTATTCATTTATTTATTTATCTATTTATTTTTATGTTAAAAAAAAAAAAAAAAAAAAAAACTGGCAGCCATCTTGAAAAAAAGCCCAACTGTACCGAGCGGCCATTTTGGGGAATAAAAGAGAAAAAAGGGCCTCCTCCTTCCTATTTTTCAAAAAGGTAGGACGCTAAACATGTTTTTTTTTTAATTTGGCCTTAAGCATGTAAAACAACATTTCCTGATGTTGAAAGGTTTGTTGCCAGTGAAGAGAGCATTTCTATTTCATTCCCTGCAGGAAAGAGTGTGAGAAGCTTCGTAGTGAGCTCACCGAACAACATGATGAGGACAAACAGGCTGCTCTCAAACAGCTGACTAGTCTCAAGAACCAGGAGTTGGATGCAAGCAAACAAGGCTGGCAGAAAAAGCTCACTGAACTCCTACAAGAGGTAATCTTCTACAGCCTGTTTAGAAAAACTAGATATAAGCTTAGCTTGTATATCTCACTAAGTTGAATGAACAAGTAGCCAATGATCAGACTTCAACTAGCAGATACCTAATCAGAGGAAGATATATAACCCAAAGTAATGATTCCAGCAAGAATAAAATTTGAGCCAGCACAATGAAAATTTGTTCTGCATATCTTTATGAAACAAAGCAGCATGCTGTCATCATTTGAATAAAAATGATCAACAAATAGCATCTTTGATCTATTATTTAGAACAAAGGTATTGGTGAGAAATAAGATATTTTGTGATTTGTTCAGTGAGATTTTATTTATTTGTCACAAGATATCAGACATTCAGGACCCTTTGTCTTCACATTATGCCAGGCTGGAATGTTAGTCATGATCATTAGATGTACAGTAATAGGGAATATTCATGATTCTATTTGCTTGAACAAATGATTCCATCAGTTGACCACTAATATATAACCCAGTGATATATAGGATGAGTATTGATAAATCAATGATCCTCTATTCATATTTAGATTTCCAGCCTGAAGGAGCGCTTGACCAGCAAGTCGGAGCGGTCACTGGAGGAGATGGCTGCCCTGCAGAGGAAGGCTGACCAGGAGATCAATCGGCTCAAGTTTGAGATGACCACTGCCAAGGAGAGCCATAGCAAGACACTGAGTGACCTCCAGGCTGCACAGGAGAAAGAGAGAACGAGGATGATGGAGGAACATAAGAAGGCATTGGAGGTATGTAAAGTAAAACCTGTCTATAAAGACCACCCAAGGGAGACAAGAAAAGTGGTCTTTATGGGCAGGTGGTCTTTATGTGAAGGTTCCTTTAGTACATGTTTCAATGAGAAACCATTTTCAAGGGAAACCAAAAATGTGGTCTTTGAAGACAGGTGGTTTTTCTATACAGGTGGCCACTAAAGCAGGTTTGACTGTAGTAATTCATGATCCGACTCTCAAAATACAAAGAATCTTGGAGCTTTAGCGTGTCTCACAGTTGACCATTTCTAGAACCTCTAGTGATATGCTCTAGTGACATTTGCTGCAGGCATATTCCTCAAAGGTATTGGAATTGCGATTGGGTTTTAGATTAGCTTTAGGATTATGTATAGTGTCGGGTCCAAGCTAAAAGCTACAAGTTCACTTTGTGTCAGACATTCGATGGAGAATAATTGTTGGCTGGAGCAGACTTTAACTCCTTGCAAAAGAATTTGTTTTAAACCCCTGGTGTCTACTAGCAGACAGTATTACAATGTTTCTTTCTTGGGAAAATAACAATTCTGTTTGGTTTGGTAGATTACAGAATGTTCACCAAATTATTACTTCATGGACACTTTTCTGGCTCTCAATAAAAGATTTAATAACTATTCACTTCTTCATTTATCAGGCCATCATAACACACTCTATGTTTTTTATCATCCGCTTTGTAGGAATTGGAGAAGAGCCTGAGGAATGCACAGAAGTCAGCTGTGGACTCTGAGCAGAAGACCCGCCTTGATGAACTCCAGAGACTCAAGGCAGAGATGGACCAAACCCGTCTTAGTGAGCTGGACATGCAAGCCACAGAGCATAGAAAAGCAATAGGTAATGGGACATAAAGATGTTATATTTCAGGCAATATCATTTGTACCAATGATATTATGCTACTCATGTCTTCTTGTGATTGATTGTGACATATACTAGTTCCATTCAAAATTTTAAATTTTGATTTTCCTTTTTTTTTGGGGGGGGGGGGGGGGATGGGGGGTGTTATTGTGAATTCTACCTCTCCCTAATAGAACTTCATTTTACTTTTTCTCTGGGATTTATACCTGTCAGATCTCTTTCCACCACACAACTCTCTCTCTTATCCTGAATATATTTAATCTGCTGTTATGTGGATTGCACTTCTATTCATTCATTGTCTTGTTTTTCATGTGAACTGCACCTTTTTTTAAAGATACTGTACATGTTTATCATGTCTATATGTGAATTCTCCTCTTGTTTTGAGTACTACAAGTCCTGTGTTCTGTTCATTGTTTTTTTTTCTCTTCTTTTTATAGCCTTTAATGACTGAAAACGAAACTAAACTAAACTTGTCTGGTTCAAACTATAGAGCTTGTCAATATGAACTAAAATCCTTGTATTAGCCATGTTCATGTATTTCTTTCTTGTTTTCTTTGTGACCCTACAGAGAAGCTGAGACTTGAGATGACCCGTCGGCAATCAGCTGAGTTGGACCAGCTTGCCAGAGCTCACCGCACCCAGATGTCTGCTGCCAAGATGGAGCTGGATAGGGCTATTGAACTCAAACAGAGACAGGTAAGGGCAGGGGCGGATCCAGAATTTTGTAAGTGTGGGGGGGGGGGGGGGGAAATCTCTTCTGTCCACATATCCATATTAGCAAGGCATTTCATCTACATGCTTTTCTCCACCCATGTGTTTTGAGTTGGTACTGGAAGGTTAATTGTATTGGTGGAATGCTTTTTTAGTGGAGGAGGGGGCAGTTCTGAAACATGTCATCTATCCATATGATATACCTTACGTCCTTGTGCATTTTGTGAACATTGCTTCTCTCTACCCCAGTGTACAAGTGAATGCATTTGTATTCTCTACAAGGCAAGTGACTTTGCAGAATAGTGATTGAAAAACCAATGACTGGGGTAACAATGTAAAACACTTCCCAGTAGAAACATGGATATGAAGCACCGTACAGATGTATATATTAGTGTTGTTGTCATTTATTCATCATTATGATATATATCTATGTGAATCTAACAGGAGCGTGAATACGATATGCGAAACCAGGAGTTGAAGGAAGACGTCCAGCAGCGTGACCGTCACCTGGACAGCAAGGAAGGTCAACTCCATGACCTTCGGAAAGAGATGTCAAAGGTCAAGAAGGAAATTGAGTTCAAGGTTCAGGAGGTCCAGAAGATCAAATCAGAAGCTGTCGCTCATCTACGGTAAGAATGACATTCTGAGGGGTCAGTGATAAAAAAAATCTAACTCCATTTTGGCCATTTTGAGAAAAAGTGGTTTATGTGTCACTGAGCACTTGGGCCTTCAGAAGTTAAGTCTATGTTTCACTAGCCATTGACTTCAATGGGGTGTTGGGTGAGTCTTTGTGTTTCCTGTAAAGCCCACATTTTTCTGAACATTTTGGTATCAAATACTCATTTTTGGAAAAATATGGGATTAGTAACTAGAATACTAGGCTTTGCATTTGTAGAAACTCTGCATTTACAGTATGTTAATTCCATTTCAAACTACCATTTTATACATTTAAAAGAAATATATGTTTCGTAGTTTTGATTTTATATTGTGATTTTTTGTTATGCTCGTGTAATTTCATACTGACTTTTGCATGTAGAAATCTTGATAGTCTATAAATATATCTTTAAAAAAATTAGATGTGAATATGTATTGAATATTTAATACATGTATGTATTGAATTTGATTAGTTTATGAGAGCTTAAGTGATGCTGTCTTGTACAGACTCACCATTAAGATGGGGCAAAAAGTGTGAAATCCATGGATATTCTGCATCACTGCCAAAAAAAAAAATGCCTTTGTTGAAATCTATAGCACAGGAAGTAATGGACATTATTATCATTGTGTCTTAATTAAGACCTTAAATGAAGGAAAGCAATGTTGTAAAGCCTGTTTGATGTTGCTTGCTTTGATTCTCAGGAAACGAGAGCAGGCCCTTCTCAAGATGCACCAAGACAATCTGGACAAAGCAGCCGCTGAGCACCTGAGGGAGACGCAAGCAATGCTGACAGAGTTCAACAAGGCACAAGACCTACTCAAAGACAAGATCTCTGCCCTGCAGATCATGTGAGTCTACTTTGCCAATATTTAATGTTTTAACATGGTTATACAGTGAAACCTGTCTATAAAGACCACACAAGGGAGACAAAAAAGCAGTCTTTATAGGCAGGTGGTCACTACAATTTGAAAAAAATTACTCAAGGGGGGCAGGGTGCTCACTATCACCCCTGTTACACGATAACACTTTACAATGGTTTTCATAAATGTGTTCTGGAAATGAAACTTCAATTCAAGACTAGCTTTAAAGAACAATCGTATTCAAAACTGATGTTTGGAGCTTGGCACAAATTGTTCTTACAGGCTGGAGGAAGCAGAGGAGAGGTATCACTCCAGAGACTCTAGACCTGAGGATATCCAACAGATCGCCAGACTCAGAGACATGATAGCAGAGAAGGAACAAGCCGTCAAGAAACTCATCGTAAGTCAGATTTTAAACCTGGAAAGGGTGATTTTAGGTTTTATGTTTGTGTTGCATTTTGCATGAAGTAAACATATTACATTGGTTACTCATGAGAAACTACACCTTTTTTGAGACATTCTAGCTTTAATTAATGTGAGTTTATTGATCAAAATGTTATGCTAGGCCAGATTATTGGTTTGGTGGCAATATTGTGTGCCATGAAATAAAAGTTCTTAAACGTCATAGTTGTACCAAAAGAAAAAAAAGTAAGACATATGACTTATTCTTAGGTCATACAATGTATGAATCGATACGATGGCTATATAAACAAGACTTACAGAGCTTGTGTCTCTCTGGCCTTAAGATATAGCCAAAAAGGATCATAATCAAACTTTTCAAATATTTTCAGTCGTCAAGACTACATATTTGGTTAAATTTTGTGGTTCAGAAGTGTTCCTTGTAATATTTTGTAGCCTTTTGCCGAAGAGATGACATCGTCCCTAAAGAGGCAAGAAAATTTACAATTTTACAATTTTATTTTAATTGTATAGCCTTTTAAACCCTATAATTCCTAATGATTTACATCGTTTACATATAGTGTTAAACACATAGGTAGCTTAGACATCAACTCGTTTATGTACATGTATATGATTATTAATAATTTTACACAGGACTTATCCTGAGTAATCTTTGATCTTGTATGAATACACACATTTACAGTTAATTGCTAAAAACCCTGTCTCAGAATTACCGATGATACATTTAGATGCCCAGAGAGTTGTCAGTTGAAAACACACAATCAGAAAATGGCATTACTGGTGCTTAAATTTAATCACATATTTTTCTTGTTTAAGTAACTAGCTGCACAATGAACATTACAGTTCAGATGCACACAAATTCTGAAGTAGCCTTAAACTTGGTATTAATTATTTGATTTGATCATCATTTTTTAGATGACTAGTTCTAACTGATATAATTTATAATGGACATTCATTACATCACAATTCCATCATGAAAAATATAATATATTTAACATGTATCTATGCAGTATGCAACATACAATTAATTTTAATTTGTAACATAAAATGTCTACTATTCCCCTTGTTCAAATGTAACTTTAGTTCATGTTGTTTATATTGTTTGCATGCCAATAGTTTTAATCAAAGAAAAATGACATACCCATACATGCCAACTGTTCAGATTAAAGAGGAACATCCTCTTTTTGGGAGAAGATAATTATCATTTTAATGCAGGTGTTCCTCTTCCTGTACAAATTTGTCTGTAGTATTGAATAGGAGAGTTAGGATTGTTCCTCTTTTTTTTTAAAATAGCATAATTTGTACAGATTTCTGATTTTCAAATGTTGGCATGTATGCATACCGGTAGTTAGTTCAAGTCTGTTACATAAGCAAATCAGAAGTCTGTTATAACATTACTAGCACATATTGTATTCAGTACTAAATCCTTGAAAAATTGCTTTTGAGTAGAATGTTTATGTTTATGATGACATTTCAAGCGGCCAATGCTGTCAAAACTTCTTTCTTTTCTTCTTTTTTTTTTCTTCTCCTTTTTTTTCTTCTCCAAATTATACATTTTTCATTTGAATTGTGAATTCTTTGCTTATCCATATACGTATACATATTGTTTATCGATATACTTGCTATTGTTGCTAACATGAAATATCCAATAAGGAGTTGAGCTTAATTGTGATTGTTAATGGATTGCTCTTTCTCCTTTGTGTGTCTAGGTGGTGTCATGTACATGTATATATATATAGGACATTCCTACTTCTGAAGAAAAAAAAATCATCATGTTGGCAAAGTATACCTACATGCACTATGAACATGACGGACAACGAAAGAGGAAAAAATATACAGTTCCTCATTCTACCCTCAACAATTGCTGTGGTAGACAAGGGAACATCCCTTCACTGCTATTATGTAAAAATGTGTAGAACAGGTGAATATGCATGTGACACATCACGTCATGTTCATAGTGATGTATGTCTATATATCTCCTTATCACCAACATTTCCTTTAATCATTGATATTCTCATTTTATTCCATTGTTAATGTCATTTCAGGATGACAAGAGGTTCTTCCAGATGGAGCTCATCAACAGAGAGACCAATTTCAACAAAGTTTTTAACGCTAACCCCAATATTGGAGTTTTAAATCCACTTGCCACCAAGGTGAGCTGATAGAAGTCTTTTATCTTGTAATTATCTGTTTGGACCCACAGGGATGTTAAATCGTGTACTGTAAGGACCTTGTGGCCCTAAACAGCCAAATACCATGTCAAGCATGGACAAAAATCAACCAATGCTCTTGAATGTGAAAGAATCCAAAAAGAAATATGAAAATATGGAATGTTTGTGAATAAATCGTGTACTGATGATGATGTTGGTAAAGCATTCACATCTGCTATTTTGTTGCTACTATTGGGCCTTCCAGTAATACTTTATCTTAAGCTAGATGAGGCAACTAAGAAGATGCTTCATAGTTTTGCAGGAATTTCTTCACCAAGGAACCCTGTTTTTACACCTACATGTATGATAAGAGAGACACATGTAGATAATATGGCCTCCCTATCGGACGAAAACATACAAGACAAGGAGTAAAACACCTAACATATTGATTTTTTAATTATTTTTTTCCTTTATATTCATTGATGATGTAATGTCATGCACGATGCATAGCTTCATGTGATATTTCATTGCATTTAAAAAATCATATGAGTGATACCTCATGGAATTTCACACTAAAACTGATTTTGAGATCTTTCTTTAGCTTGATCTTCTATCTTCAGCAAGCTTTTTTCAAATTGTAGTTTTAAATTCAATTCATATTGGACACTTTCCTTTCCACAGAAAAAGAGGGGCAGCGTTCCGGATGACCCCTCCTCCCAGCGCTTCATCAGCGCCCCCAACTTGAATCTAGCTGGAGGAGGTGGAGTGACCGGTACCAAGAACTTTGGTCTGACAGGAACATCTTCCAGTGCCACCAGTCCTGGGTCCAACGCCCGTCTCCACCCCCTCCCGGATTCACCCATCCACGACTTCCAACTGAACCCAAAGAGACCGCTTCAAGACGGTGCTGTGTTGTTTCCGCCCAAACCACCGCGTACAAAGAAGTTTGTCAGCTCGTAATACGATGTGTTAAAGGACAGTATTTATTTATTACTCTCGCCATCAGTAGTGCTTGAAAGGAATGTATTAACATGTTGTTGCTTTTTTTTTTTTTGGGGGGGGGGGGGGTCCTCAAGGGGTTTAAACATGTAATAGTGACAGGTTTGACTTTTCATTATACCTGTTCAGGTTAAAATTCAGCGACAGGTTAATGTTCATCCTCAACCAAAATTATTTATTAAATATTAGACATAAAAATATTTTTGAAAATGCTTCCAAATATGGATCAGATTGCACCAGAGTGCATCTAAAAACCTTATCGCCTTTAAGCAAGCCCTGAATCCCAACCTCAAGGGACTTCTTGCTTCGGATACACCAGGGCCCTTTTCACAAAACTTGTCATCAGTGACAAATGACAGTTTTTGTTATAAGCTCCTGAAATCCTTGCTTCTGATTGCAGATTTGTCACTGATTTTTTGTCATTTGTCATTGAAAAAAGGCTTTGTGAAAGGGGTCCTGTTCATACCCATGTTACAATTTTGCATGTTTCATTTTTGTGTGTGGACCACCCTGACAAAAGAGACCAACCACCTAATTAGAAGGAAAAAATTGTATACAGCAATTTAATAATACTTTCATATTATCCTTTGTTTTCTTCATACCTACTGTAAGACCAGAACATTTCATGAATTAGGTGATGACAACCGTTGAAATGGCAAGAAATTGTCATGATTTTCAAAAATTTGTTGTTAATATTTTTCAGCATGAAAATTGTGCAAATCTGTACCATTTTCAAAAGTTTCTGGTTTTATATTATTGCTTACCCTTGAACTCGCAGAATGCGGAGTAAATTACAGGAAAATAGTATTGGTCTATTTTATACATAGTACATAGTAGCTGTACACACATTACCTTTATAGGTGGATTGTCTCCATCGAAGGCTACTATTTATGATTTTTCCCTCCGTCCATAGTGCTAGCCTTTTCTTCCATAGTATGTGTAGTATACCAAAGAGAATGGAGGTTTTCATTTCGTTTTGCGATCTGTATTCTTGTTGTTCATTCAATACGGTCATTTATGTGTGATTTACTTCATATCAGATATTGGTGTTAAAAGAAGCAATGGGAAAAGCCTACATGAGAGTTACATTAAAGTGAGTAATAAATAATAATAATAATAAAAACGGTGCTTATAAAGCGCTTACCACCGAAATCTCTATACTCTATCTATGTACCACCAATGCTTCAAAATATGTTGGTGTTAAAGTGATAACCATGGCTTCCATTGTCTGAGTAATTGAGGCAAATTCAAAGTTACACTGAAAGGATAACAAATCAACAATGTATGGCTGATCTGAAATTGTAATGGAAGGAGTAGTTTAATGCAGAAATAATATTATTTAATCTGACTGCTTCTTATGGCTCAGATTCATATGTAACCAAAGGTATGTTTTATGCCTCCACCCACCGAAGGTTATTGTAGGCTTTTTTTGTTTTCATTGTGATATGTCACATATAATTCCATCCATTTCCAATACTGAATTTACAGCGGAGTCATATCATATAGGAGACGCAGTCGTCTTGTTTAATGCTGATTCTGACATATCAGCTCCTTTTTGTAGTCAGGTTTTCTAATCATTTATGCTAAAAGTAGATTTCCAAATCAACCTTGCAATATATGGTATTCACACTTCACAGGTGCAAAATGTTATCAAAGCATGGAAAAACAGTGAGGATTTTGATTCATTTCCAAAGATTGCGAGTGAATTTGTTCAGGAATGTTTCAACCTATATACATGTATATATCATCAAACATTGTATTAATTTTCTGGTGTATATTTGCAATTTTGTGCTGCACAGTTTTGATGTCATGCTGGTATTAATTTTGCTGGTCATAATGATTAAACAGTTGGGGGTAATACTATTCCTGCTCTTTGATATTTTTGCAAGAATTGTGATTTTATACTTCCAAGGTGCCTAACCTACCCATCGAAGTTCCGTCCACATATTGCCAATGACGAATAGTCCAAAGAGATAGGAAAATTATTGGAGTTACCGAGTCTTTGCACTGTGTAATTTGTTGAATTACTGTGTGAGTTTAATTATTTTATTTGACATATATATTATTTGATGTATATGATATAAATATATTAGCTAAACTTATGATAAATTTGATGAAACAGATCATATATATCCGTCCGTTTATAACATTTCATTGAAGATTACACACTGCTAAATGTCATGCATAATTCTTTTTCTAGTGTACACTTTTCTTTCAAGTTTTACTAGGTATAGATTTTATTCATATATCTGAAGAGCTTTTTGATCCATGTGCCTGTACGTTTAATTTCTATCTGTCGATTGAGCATAATTTTATGTGAACTCTATATTTTCTATACAAATTCATTGATAATAATAATAATAATAATGGTGGCTTCTTATATAGCGCACATGTCCGTCACGTTGCGACGCTCCTGGCGCTGCCCCGATTATTACCCTGGCTTTAGCAAGGCAGCCACTGTGGCGCACTAGCATTTCAAGGAATTAATTCCTGCCAGGTACCCATTTACATCACCTGGGTTGAGTGTGGCAAATGTAGATCAATGTCTTGCCAAAGGACATTAGTGTATACAATATCATATGGAATTGTATATAATTGTGATAAAATATATATATATATATATATGTAAATAATAGTATTATATTAAACTATAAAAGCTAATGCTATCCACCTTGAGCATATTTCATTTCCTTTTCTTACAATCTGTATTTCTCATATCTCTCTCTCCCATCTTTTTCCTAGTATGAATTGATAGTACTTATACATGTACTTCTTACCATACATGATACTAGAGCTATGCAGTACGTGTGCGTTGTGCATCATCATTGAATAATAATATATATATATATAGTATAGAGAGAAATTTAAAGTGAAAAGATGATTAGTACTACAAAATTGAAAGTGCAGTTTGTTTTATCTGATTGCTTTTATCTACTGTAACCCTTTAATATTTGTATTTATAATAATGAGTATACAGAACAAAATTGCACTATGCTGTTTATAATCGAATTTGAATTTATTGTATACAAATGAATATACATGTACATGAATTGAAATAAATAGACCAACATGATACACAAAATAATCAAAGTTTCACTTTTTTTTTTCTTTGAATGCTTAAAGAAAAAGTTGAGTTCAGCTTAAATATGTGGGCCTCATTTGTATGCCACATGTTTATGTAGTCCCATATACATCTTTCTGTGTACAGTACTTGTTACTTTTACCAAGGCTGGGCCAAATTTCTTCTCATTTTGATAATTCCAGAACCTTGCTACATGATCAACTCTTTCTGATCGATTCCGCATCGTTTCTTTCACGATGCAATCGCATAACTAGAACTCAACTTTATCTTTAAAGCAGATACATGTTTGTCTTTTTTCTTCTCCATTGTTGTTCACAAATGCCTGTTATTAAACTCGGCAGGAGCAAAACTGTTGTGAGAGTTTGAATGCTCTAATGAACATGTCTGTAGCACAAAATGACTGCATGACCTTTGTGACCAAAATTACCAGCCCTTACGACCCACATTCTTGACTTTGAGAAACCACTGAGATGCAAAGCACTTGGTTTCAACCACTTTATTCTGAACATATTTGAGATGACTTTATCACGTTTAAACACTTTCAGGGATATAGATATATGAAAATAGCTTTCAAAAACACTTGTGATACTATTTGGCTGACCCATCATTAATCCTGGTGACATTTGCTCAGGCCTTGATTTTATCAAAGATGAAGGAATATGGTTAAGATTGCAAATTGGTTTTAGGTTGGGGTTAGGAATATTATTTGGTCCCAGGTAAAGATATGACTTTGGTTACTCTAGGAAATTGACCCCACAACAATTGTCACAGAAGGATGTGTCGTAGAAATGCAGTTTAATAATGCAATGTGTTCTGCATATCAGCTACATAAATCAGAGGCCGTACAGCTCTAATTATCTCACTAAAGTGAGTAGAAATGTAGTATTTGTTTGAATTGTCTAGAAACGGACAATTGGAATTGCAGCTGTTCATATAATATCAGGCTCATATTCATGTATGTACAGGCAAAGTAGATTAAACATGGTCTAGTCCACTCATGTATGGAGTGCTAAGTGTGGATCTCTTTATACCAAATATATTACCCAAAATTCTGTAACAAAACAAATACCGTACATAAAATTAGTCCAATCTGGATATAAAAATGAGAGACTTATTTCATGATGAAATGATTTTTGTTAATTCATAAAGTTACAAAATTAAGAGTTTGATACTTGATGCTTCACAAATCAGCGAAATAGCTACCCATTTGGTCTGGGTTTGAACTTAGTCCGTATCCATGGATACAAGGTTTTTCAGTCTATCCTGTGGGGTCAAGGGGTGAATGTGAGGTTCATTGGGGTCACCCTGTTGAGGACATCGCCCGCTGCATCCCCCGTCCGGCTGACCTGGGTTTGCCCCTGCGTGATGGAGCCCCCGTCTGCCTCCAGAGTGGAGGAGGGGTGGGTGGAAGCATGGGGTGTCTCCCCGCTGGGTCGTCTGGTCGAGATCTCCTTCAGGATGGCCTTGCCTTCTTCTCTCGTCTAAGGGGAAGATAGGTATGATAGAAGGATGGATAGGATAAAAAAGGGAAATGGTATGAATGAAGTATTCCTAGAAGTGCTGTGCTCTAGTGGATAAATCATCAGACGGGGGAAAGATACTGATGACGTTTGGCAAGCATTTCTCTACATTTGCCATTTATAGTAATAATGATATTCTGGATTTACATAACATTTAATACATTATTGATGTCTCTATGAAGCACTTTACACTTCCATTATCCATCCAGATGAAATAAATCGGTTACCCAGTATTCCTTTGATGCTTGTTCACTGTATCAGGGTAGCCAGGCTAATGCTGGAGTATCGATATTATTAACCTATTTGGTCCCTCGGGAAAAAATATAATTCCCTCCACAGTGCAACTACTAAATAAGCATCCTTCCAGTGACAAAATTACTTTGTTGTTTACACAATATCTTTTTGGATTTGTTGCTATTAAAGTTAAATTTCATTGTGGCAAGTTTAATGTATTTGTTTTCTCAAATTAACTCTTTTCTTACTATCCAGAGCCCTTTAGGGCTGCCCGGAGCTAAATCTCTCACTACTCCTGTGTACATTTTCAGTGCCTCCCTCCAATCAATGACTGAACAATGCCGGGAATGGCAATGGGATCTTACCTCGCTATGATCACAGCATTTGTGTGCATAGATGGTGGCCTCATCAAAGTTATTCTGCTTGAGATGGTACCTGGCTAGGTACCGGTAGGCCTGACAATGCTCCTCTGTGTCTGCCGTCTGCTCACAGGGAGGACCATAGAGAGAAGAAAAGAAGGAGAGTGAAGATGGAAGATGATGAAAAGAGGGAAATGATAATACAAGTGTGCAAAGCAGATGAAGTCAGATCAGGGGAGGGGGAGTATGAAAAGAGAGAGAGAGAGAGAGAGAGAGAGAATGATAGATAGATAGAGAGAATGATAGATAGATAGAGAGACAGAGAGACAAAGAGGTTAAACAAGATATACTATGACATGAATGAAAGTATTCAGTTTGGGAAGGGATTGTTATTTCTTATTTGCTTACTTTCTGACTATATTTTACTTCTTTGTCTCTTACATTATCATGGATTGAAAATATTGTACTGACTCAAAAGAAGAGGCTACCTGACATTTCCCAAATGATGAATAAAAATAACAAATAATTATGCCCCTTTTCCCTGCATTGTCAGATTTATCATGAATCATCATTCTAAATGAACTAAAGTATGTTAAACCCATTGTGCCAATGGATCACCAATGCATCCACATTGTTATAAACATCAACATTCATGATCAACACATGCCTACTTTTTCTTTTTTTGCTAAAGTCATATAACATAATAACCACATGAGAGAATAGAGAACTGGATAAGGAGAACAATATCTCTGCACACACTTACCCCCATCGTCTCCATCTGTTCCACATACTTAGAGTAGAAGGAGGCTGCTTTCTCCTCTTCATTGAATTTCTCATGTAATCTGTGAAAAGGGATTACAAAAAACAATGGTGCAGTAGCGTAGCTAAGTGGGAGGGGGATGAGCTCCCCCAATCGAATGGAAAAAAACATAAACAAGAAACAAACAAACTTGAGAAGAAAAAAAACAAGAAAACAAACAGAGGAGAAGGTGAAAGGGAGAGAGGGATTTAATAATGACACAAAAATTTGTCAAATTTGAAAGCAAGGAAAAGTTAGAGAAGGTGAGAGGTACAAATGAAAGAACAACGAATACCTTGTAGAAATAATACACTGTAGTAGAACAACATCCTAAAACACGTTCTTGACCTAAACTTAATAAAAACTTTCATATCATGCAATCTTGAGATGAACACCTGGGACCCGTTTCACAAAGCTTTTTTCAATGACAAATTACAAAAATCAGTGACGAAAATGCTGATAACCAATCGGAAGCAAGGATTTCAGTAGCTTATAACAAAATCTGTCATTTGTCACTGATGACAAGTTTTGTGAAACGGGTCCCTGTTCAGTCTCTTACCTTGCTAGTTTGACTAGGGCTACGCCTTCGACGTCTCCCACAGAGTAGGCTCTCCAGTAGCACTTCTTTGATTCGGCGATCTTATCCAAACGCTCATAGCTTTCACCAAGGGCTACCAGCATTCTTGAATCATTTGGTCTGTCAAGGGGTAGGAAATAAACATAGTGACAGAAAGAAAGAGGATTGGTTTAATCTGGTTTCATAAACAAGACATAGTAAAGTGATACAATTTACACATCTTATGTTACAGTTTGCTCCTTTTTTATAAACATAATGCTGGCAGAAGACAACCACTTAAAAATTCACTTATTAAATAAAATGAGATATTTCTAACATGATAAAGTGTGTTGTGCCATGGCTTTGCACAATCTATAAAGAATTAAGGAAATACTTAAGCTTCCGATCTCATAATCATTGATATAATTAAACTATCAATATAAGTATATATACAAATAAATGCAAAAAGGAAACTGCACTCATAATAGTATATATTTCTGTCTGGGACACTCTGTTGGAATTCAAATCTGCTGCAGACTAAATTAATTTAAAACCAATTAATCAATTTATTTAATGAAACATGACAATCTTGTGAGCAATTTCTTGATCTACAGCAAATATGGGTAGCACTGCGCATTGATGGGTGTACAGGTAAGTGCGCTTATCTCTGTTTGCGACCTAAAGTAAGCCTATTAAACTTTGGGTTTATTTGTCAGTGATTATGAAACAAGACAATCTTAAAATGAATTCTTTTTGCTCATATATCAAAGTTTTAGCAGTTTCATTGTATACAAAATATGTTGCATGTTTTCATACATTTATCACAGGATCTATGTCGGGGCTGTTTTAAGCACCGATCATACTCGGCCTGATGGCTTTGTACGATAGATACATACAGCCTCAAATCGAGTGCGGATAAATCGTATAATAAACTCATTCGCATGCATCGTTTGTATAATGTGCACTATAAAAGGACCCACCTGACTTGCTGAGCCTGTCTGTAGTAATAGAGGGAGTAGAAGGGCATACGAAGAATATCATACGTCTGTCCCAAACCGTACCATGCTCTGAAATCACGCTTATTCACCTCTGAAAAAAAGTAAAAAGCATTCAATGATTATAGTACAAATCTATATATAAAAGGTTTGCAAGGATTTCATTAATTAATAGCAGTATTTCAGATACTACTTCTAGGTCGAGCGTACTCGCACTCACTCTCATTCAGTTCTATTCTCAATGATCTTTGGAAGATCCTGCCTTGGTAGGTAGACAGGTGTCTTTTTCTAACTAGTCTATGTAAGTCATTGCTGGGCACCCTCTGGTGCGTTTGCCCCTTGAGGGCTCCCAGAAGAGCATTTGTGAAATGATTTCACTCTTGCTCCTCCAGCAATGACCACTGGAACGGAGGCGGCGGTCTCTCCGAGACCAGTGTGATGTCCCTATACAACTCTACATTTGTCATATGGTCCCTCCAATACGTGCCTTCACGGTTGTTTCATCGCAAAGCATGCCGGGACATAATTCTAGTCCATTTTCACCTTCGCCGTGATCAGCTGTCCTGTTGCAAACAACGGGATTCTTATCGAATCAACATCATAATCTTGTACATAGTCCGCTATTCTGCAGTGATTTTCTTCCAATCCAGTATCATTTGTACGGTAAGAAAACCAAAGTTTGTGGTTATTCATTTTTATGACTAATAAAGCTGATAATACAACGTAATGAGAGTGGGCCGAGATCCAACTTTAGTAAATGTAGGCCTAGATCTAGTCCCGTATGTTCAAATGTGTGTGCATTTTAAGTAGACTGATTGTCTTTTAAGCTGCTTAAGTACACTCGTCTCGTGTTTTAGGTAGAAATGTACAGTAATATGAGATTTATGTCTCATGAAATATTAATAGACTTTCTAGATCCTATAATTGATAATTGAATAGGGTCTACTAGAATGGCTGACATTTAGATAGTGATTGCAATTAAGTGTAAAAAAGTAAAAGAGGCCATGAAAATGATAGATTTGTCGATCTGGATCTGGATATAAATTCTGATATCGATGAGCTCAACTTGAGCATCTACGTGTTGAAGAAGTGATAAGGATTCTTTTGTTACAATCATTCTTGTGGTCACGAACTTAATATGATTGTCTTTTCCCTTATATTTATCAGTTGCAGCATCATCGAACACGGCCGATGAAACAGAAGATAACGTGCATGTAGATGTTACGAGAGAGCTCATTTCACAATGGACAACAGAAGTGTTACGTGACTTTCTACAAGGAGGGGACTCAAGCTTGGAAATCGAGTACCGGTAGTCATTATTTTATGGGTGTTCTCTGCCTTGACGCGGTAGCTGTTCAGCCATCCGAGGTAGACACTGTGAGGAACTGGACAATGGATGGATTGGGGGGGGGGGGGGGGGGGGTAGGCATGCAGAACTGGCCTACTATGTTTGTATGTACCTACTGGATAAGGACCCTCCATCACTAGAGGGAAAAATAATGAGAGACTACAAAGAGGGGAAGGCATATAGTTATTTTGCCTTGTGAAAAAATTAGATTTAGCCCCTAAAAAAGTGTTCCTTCGGGTATCAAATGACGACAGGTGAAACCTCACAGTTGTAGAATTATTATCTGTTATGTGATTTCCAAACCATGTGACCGCAAATGGTGTATGGTGTATGTTGTAAAGGTATTGTAAAATGCATTGTTTAACAATGTATAACAATGTTTAAACCGAGATGGACGTATGGCCCTACGTGCTACCAGTGTCTGTGATATGGTGTATTAATACTGAAGCCCTAACAAAATTGTGCTTCAAAATGATCAAGAAGTGCCTCTAAGAAGTAAAAATCTTTGTTTGACCCCTTTTACCATACTCGTTTTCCCCAATAAACTGTAGTGTTATGAAAACCGTTTGGCAAACACAAAATTTGGTTTCGATTTCCAATCGTAAATATCTTGATAATCAGACAGGCGATCGGATTGTAAAAGTCATCGAGTTCCTGACTGACCTAAATTTATCATTGCAGCATGAGCTAAATCCAGGATTTTGTTTCAGAATCTGAGAGTAAGTTACCCGATCCCTTTAAATGTGTTTGCATTAAAGGTGGTACCCCCCCCCCCCCCCCCCCCCCCTTCTCAGCAAAAGTCCAGTGTGTAAAGTCAATACGGGCAGATCTTTTTCTTTGTTACGAGCCAGAGATTTTGGGAACACGCATGCGGTACCTCCGTTCCCGTTCCTGGAGGGGGGGGGGGGGGGGGGTGGTACTACTTCTTCATAAGATGTCAACTTATATGCATTGCATTAAACCTGTTGATATTGATCTAACTTGTATTCATCTCATGGTTATATTTATTTTATCAATAAAATAAAACAACACAGAGAAGGTTGTAGATGAGTACTAAGCAATCATTACTGTATGTAGGATGCCGAGTTGAAGTTATTCATGATTTATTCAAGAGAGGAAGGTCAGACAGACCTGATGTTTTAAATATTTAACGAGAGAAAAATCATAGAAACAGAGAGAGGCATCGAGAGAGATGTCGACGCTTAATGAAAGAGAAAGAGTGATAATAAGGAGAGAGGAGAGAGAAAGAGACAGAGAGGGGAGGGAGAGATAGAGAGGGAGAGCAAGAATTAGGTGTGAAGAGGAAGATCTAAGAGAACAAGAGATTAAATTTTACAAATGTACACGTTTCCATGTACCTTTACTTAATTTATATTATAATGTAAACGATATTGTGACGGTCTTTGCTTAATTTTAGTTTGCATTCTTTCCTTTAGCTTTATCTTCTAATTTACTATTCTAATTTAGTAAATGTTAGTATAAATATAATTTTGATTTCTATCTCTTCCCCTATGTCATAGCCTCCATTCTTGCTCTCCCTTCCTCATGTTAGTCCATCTCTCTTTCTCTCTGTAATGATAACCCCTCTATCAATCTTTTCTCCATCAACTCATGATATGTTCCTCCTCTTCTCCTTCTCATTCATCATCACAATCATCATCATCATCTCAAAACTGTATTAATCAATCTATAAGACTCTATAGATTGATCAATACAGTTCTTATAACATATGACCTTTATGTACAAACAATAAACCAAATGGTCACAATCATTTAATAAAAAGTGGTAAGAACAATTATTCCAACTCTATGGGCAACAACGTAATCTCCATTTTCTCCTCCTCGTTCAAATATTAGCTTCTTTTTCATTCTTTACTCGTGTTACTTCTCTATCTCTCTGACTATACTCACAAAAAAGTAGAATCAATGGTTTGACATGAAACAGTCTAGAAAATGAACTAAATTTATTCAAGTATCAAATGATTTTGAATTACAGACAGCTTTCTCCCACGAGATGAAAAAAATATCTCCCTAACCAGAAACTGGCAAAATAACTAAATGCCTTTCCCTCTTTGTAGTCTCTCATTCTTCCCTCTAGTGATGGAGGGTCCTTATCTACTAGGTACACACAAATGTCTCTATACATAGTAGACGATCAGCTCTGCAGTCTGCATGCCTTTCTCCCCCCCCCCCCCCCCCCCCCCCCGCCCCCTCTCCATCCATCGTCCAGTTTATCTCTACCTCGGATGGCTGAACAGTACCCCCAGAGTCAAGGCAGAGAACACCCATAAAATAATGACTACCGGTACTCGATTTCCAAGCTTGAGTCCCCTCCTTGTAGAAAGTCACGTAACACTTCTGTTGTCCATTGTGAAATGAGCTCTCTCGTAGCATCTACGTTATCTTCTGATTCATGGGTCATGGTGTTCGATGATGCTGCAACTGATAAATAAAAGGGAAAAGAAAATCAAATTTAAGTTTGTGACCAAAGAACCCTCATCACTTCTTCAACACTAGATCATGTAGCAGACGTGTATGCAGGGGGGAGGGAGTTTCGGGGGTTGAACCCCCCCCCCCCCCCCTCCTCCAATTTTGTTTAGACTATGTGTGTGTGTGTTTTTGAGGAACCCCCCCCCCCCTCACTTTTTTAATAACAAAAATAAATTAAACATTTTTTGTGCTAAAGGGTGACCCAAAAAAGGTGACCTTACCCCCCACCAACTGAACAAAATATCGGTCTCCCAAATTTCATATTTTTGGGGAAAAAAGAAGGAAAAAAAAAGGTGCACTTACCACCCCCGGCTTATTCACCGGCTGGCCGAGTCGTTGTGAAATTGACTGCGTGATTTTCAAATTTTACCCCCCGGCCCCCCCCCCCCCCCTCGAAAAAATCCTCCGTACGCCCCCGTCATGTAGATCCTCAAGTAGAGCTCATTGATATCAGACTATAATATATTAAAATCCAGATCGAAAAAATCTATCGTTTTCATGGCCTCTTTTACTTTCTTACATTTATAATTTCTAATTGCAATCACTTTCTAGGCCTAACTGTCGGCCATTCTAGTAGACCCTATTCCATTATCAATTATAGGATCTAGAAAGTCTATTCATATTTCATGAGACATAAATCTCATATTACTGTACATTTCTACCTAAAACACGAGACGAGTGTACTTAAGCAGCTTAAAAGACAATCAGTCTACTTAAAATGCACACACAATTGAACATACGGGACTAGATCTAGGCCTACATTTACTAAAGTTGGATCTCGGCCCACTCTCATTACGTCGTATTATCAGCTTTATTAGTCATAAAAATGAATAACCACAAACTTTGGTTTTCTTACCGTACAAATGATACTGGATTGGAAGAAAATCACTGCAGAATAGCGGACTATGTACAAGATTATGATGTTGATTCGATACGAATCCCGTTGTTTGCAACAGGACAGCTGATCACGGCGAAGGTGAAAATGGACTAGAATTATGTCCCGGCATGCTTTGCGATGAAACAACCGTGAAGGCACGTATACAGACAGTTCATGTGATGACATAATCAAAAAGACTACACACAGAACCTCATTATAAAGAGGCTAACAGGTCCTTGAAGTCCTCTTTTTGTGAACACAGCTTCTATTATCACATTTCAGGTATCTTACAGATGATATAATCCCTGGCGTTTCTATCTCTGCCTATCTGTGAACTAGAAGGTGTTTCACAAAGACTAAGATCGACTTAAACTTGAACTTAACTATGACGGGCCATTCATGCCACTAGTTCCTTCAACCATTCCTTGCATTGGTTTCTCAAGGGACTTACAAATCACGGTGACAAATCTACAGTATTTACCTTTTTTGATAGGTCATTATTGAAGGAAATAATATTATCTAAAGATCATACTTGAGGGACCAATAGTGAGTGCAACCAGTGGCATGAACAGCCTGCCATAGTTAAGTCCAACTTAAAGTTGATCTTAGTCGTTGTGAAACACCCCCCTGGTCTGCACAAAAAAGATAGGGAAATATTGTAATGAAATCTCATGGATAGGCTTATGCATTGGCAAAAGTCTACGTACCAGGGGGGTGTTTCACAAAGATCCTAAGTTGAACTTACCTGTATCTCTAAGATGGACTTAACAGTTACGGAAAGCTGTTAGCATCATTGAAAATATTTTGTATAAATTATTTTAAAAGGCATAAAATGTTGATTGAAATCATTCATATTTTCTATTATCTTGGGAGATTTCATGTTCTTGATGTGGAATTTATGAAAAGTCTAAAATACTTGAATTTTTGCTTTTGAATATATTTCACTATAAGGCTACAAATGGCCCTCCATAATATTTAAGTCCAACTTCGAGTTAAGTTTGACTTAATATCTTTGTGAAACACCCCCCAAAAGTGCAGATTTTTCTTGTATTGTAATGGCTTTGCCTTTCTCACTTTATCACTCTTACCTATGGCTTGCCTGTATGCCTCTGTAGCGGCTGGAGTGTTCTTCATCTGCATGTATTCATGACCCATGAGAGTCCAGGCAGAGAGATAGTGAGGGTTCAGCTTCAGGCATCGCTGGAAGTAGAGCACAGCTTTCTCATGCTGCCCACGTAGGGAGTAGTAGTTGCCTGGAAGGATAACATGTACATAATAATAATAATAATGATATTCCATGTTTATATAGCGCTCAATACATCGATCCAACGATGTGTCTAAGCGCTTTACAGATATATTATTACCCCGGTCATCGGATTCAGGCTTACCCGCACACAATGTATGCACATTTTCCACTCCCTGGGGAGCATTCCAGCCAGTCGCCATTTTACAAGCACACACTTGCTCGTCCAACCACATGAACTTTCACACCTGGGTGGGGAGTAGCAAGTGCAAGTACAGGGCTCGAATTACCCACCGGCAATCGGCAATTTGCCGCAATGCCCCTCTCACTGGCCGGAATGCCCTTTTCAAAATCAAACCGTTTACGGCCACAATATTTTAATCCACAAAAGTTTTGCCGACATTATAGTCATCATAAGCCAACCCGACTTGTAATGTTCAAAAAGGTTTTGTTGCCCATACGAAGCTCTAAAAACAATGATAGTCGGCAAGGTTTTGTTGCCCCTCCGAGGCTCTAAAAACAATAATTATCGGAAGGTTTTGTTGCCCCTCCGGAGCTCTAAAAACAATAATTACCGGAAGGTTTTGTTGCCCCTCCGGAGCTCTAAAAACAATGATAAGTCGGCAAGGTTTTGTTGCCCCTCCGATGCTCTAAAAACAATAATTATCGGAAGGTTTTGTTGCCCCTCCGGAGCTCTAAAAACAATGATAGTCGGCAAGGTTTTGTTGCCCCTCCGATGCTTTAAAAACAATAATTATCGGAAGGTTTTGTTGCCCCTACGGAGCACTAAAAACAATAATTACCGGAGGGTTTTGTTGCCCCTACGGAGCTCTAAAAACAATTATAGTCGGCAAGGTTTTTTTTGCCCCTCCGGAGCTCTAAAAACAATATTTATCGGCAAGGTTTTGTTGCCCCTCTGGAGCTCTAAAAACAATAATTACCGGAAGGTTTTGTAGCCCCTCCGGAGCTCTAAAAACAATGATAGTCGGCAAGGTTTTGTTGCCCCTCCGATGCTCTAAAAACAATAATTATCGGAAGGTTTTGTTGCCCCTACGGAGCACTAAAAACAATAATTACCGGAGGGTTTTGTTGCCCCTACGGAGCTCTAAAAACAATTATAGTCGGCAAGGTTTTGTTGCCCCTCCGGAGCTCTAAAAACAATATTTATCGGCAAGGTTTTGTTGCCCCTCCGGAGCTCTAAAAAACAATAATTACCGGAAGGTTTTGTTGCCCCTCCGGAGCTCTAAAAACAATATTTATCGGCAAGGTTTTGTTTCCCCTCCGGAGCTCTAAAAACAATAATTACCGGAATGTTTTGTTGCCCCTACGGAGCTCTAAAAACAATTATAGTCGGCAAGGTTTTGTTGCCTCTCCAAGGCTCTAAAAACAATAATTACCGGAAGGTTTTGTTGCCCCTACGGAGCTCTAAAAACAATAATAGTCGGCAAGGTTTCGTTGCCCATACGGAGCTCTAAAAACAACAATTACCGGAAGGTTTTGTTACCTCTCCGGAGCTCTAAAAACAATAATAGTCGGCAAGGTTTTGTTGCCCCTCCGATGCTCTAAAAAAATATTTATCGGCAAGGTTTTGTTGCCCCTCCGGAGCTCTAAAAACAATAATTACTGGAAGGTTTTGTTGCACCTACGGAGCTCTAAAAACAATAATTATCAGCAAGGCTTTGTTGCGGCCCTACGGAGATCTAAAACAATGATAATCGGCAAGACTTTGTTGCCCCTACGGAGATCTAAAACAATAATTATTGGCGAGACTTAATTTCCACTATGGAACTCCTAAATTAATTGGCGGGACTTAATTGCCGATACGGAGATATGAAAGAATGTCTTCATCCAAATGACTGAAACGTTTGGCACAAAAACCGTAATGACTCAGGCTTAGTTTTTCAATCCATCCTTTTTATTTGAACCAATCAATATCGGGAAGTTTTGATTACCCATCGTTGGTTCAACATCTTTACTTCGCGTTGTGACCTTTTTTGGTGCGTTTTCACAGTTTTTAATCAGTGAAAAACTTCGATTTTTCTCGGGAGGAGGGTCTGGAATTAAATCAGAAAAGGATTAAGAGTCGAGATAATGGTACAAAGAATCGTCTTCTTTCCCATACGTTTTATTTAAAACGTCATAGCTTCCGCCCATCGCGCGGGAGGGGTGTGAATTGAGTTCAGAAAAGGATAATACCGGTAGTCGAGATCGAGACGAATCGTCTTCTTTCCCTAATAATTTATTAAAAACGTCTAAGCTTCCGCGCTTCTCTTGGAATTCAGAAAAGGATAAAGAGTCAAGAACGGTACAACGAATCATCTTCTTTCTCTAATAATTCAATGAAACGTCAAAGGGGGAAACTCCCCCCCCCCCCTCCAGCTCCCCCCCCCCCCAATTTTTTTTTGAAAAGCATTTTAAAGAGAAATAGAAAGAAAGAGAGCAAGAAAGAAAAAATAGTTAACTACCAGTTTCTCAACAAAATAAGGTATCAAAAATTGCTCATCTGATCGTAATTAAACGTCTAAAACCCCTGAGCTTCCGTGGGCTCTGCCCCGGGACCCAACCAAGGGCCCTTTGGCAGGCCTCTTGATACTCATCTGACTGCAATTTAGTGCCTAAAACCCTTGATCTTCTGGGGGCTCCGCCCGCTGGACCTCACGCCAATCAGTGTCCTGCCAGTGTCACAAATAAAGTATAAAAACATGTTCATCTGACCGTAATCAAATGCTTAAACACCTGTGCTTCCGGGGGCTCTGCCCCCTGGACCCCACTGGATGCTAATCTGACGGTAATGTAATGCTTTAAACCCATGGGCTTCTGGGGGCTCCGCCCGCTGGACCTCACGCCAATCAGTATCCTGCCAGTGTCACAAATAAGGTATAAAAATATGTTCATCTGACCGTAATCAAATGCCTGAAACCCCTGAAATTCCGGGGTTTCCGCACCCTCGACTCCACCAGCTAGGGGCCCTGAGGCGGGCCCCTGAATGCTTATCTGACCGTAATTTGCCTTCAACCCATGAGTTTCCGGGGGCGAACAAGGTATCAAAAGATCTTCATCTGACCGCAGGCACGTAGCCGGGGGGGGGGGGGGGGGGGGGGGGGGGTGGGGGCGCCCCCCCCCCCCAAAAAAAAAAGCCAAAAAAAGAGAGGAGAGAAAAGGAAGAGGACGTATGAAGAAAAAGGAGCAAACAAAAAACATTTTTGAAATTCAGACAAGGATTAAGAGTCGAGAACGGTACAACGAATCGTCTTCTTTCTCTAATGATTTAATGAAACATAAAAGCTTCCGCGCTTTGCGCGGGAAGGGGAAAACTGTATTCATGCAGGCGAGGATTATTTTCGAGAACGGTACAACGAATCGTCTTGTTTCTCTAATAATTAAATTAATTGTCAAAGCTTCCGCGCTTCGATCGCGCAGGAGGTGGGGTAACTGAATTTAGACAAGGATTAAGAGTCGAGAACGATACAACGAATTGTCTTCTTTCTCTAATGATTAATAAAACGTAAAAGCTTTCACGCTTTGCGCGCGCGGATGGGGGGGGGGGAACTGAATTCAGACGAGGATTAAGAGTCGAGAACGGGACAACGAATCGTCTTCTTTCTCTAATGATTTAATGAAACGTAAAAGCTTCCGAGCTTTGCGGGGGAGGGGGGGGGGATGAATTTAGACGAGGATTAAGAGTAAAAAACGGGACAACGAATCGTCTTCTTTCTCTAATGATTTAATCAAACGTAAAAGCTTCCGAGCTTTGCGGGGGAGGGGGGGGGATGAATTTAGACGAGGATTAAGAGTCAAAAATGGTACAACGAATCCTCTTCTTTCTCTAATGATTTAATGAAACGTAAAAGCTCCGCGCTTTGCGCGGAGGGAGGGGAACTGTATTCAGACGAGCAGGCACGTACGCAGGGAGGGGGGGGGGGGGTTTGGGGCGTTAAACCCCCCCCCTTCGGTTTTTTTTATGTCTGTATTTTTTTTAAATGAAACACGCACAAAAAAAAAATTATGCCAATGGCTGATCTAAAAAAGGTGACCTCACCCCCCCCCCCCACCCCTCCCCCCCCAAAGGGAACAAAATGTCAAATTGTCAAATTTCGAGGCCAAAAAACAAAAAAAAGTGTCCTCTTAACCCCCCCCCTCCCCCCCCTCCCCCGCTTATTCAGCGGCTGGATGAGTCGTTGCGATTTTTTGGGGGGACAAAAAAAAAAGTGGGCCCCCCCCCCCCCCTAAGGAAGAAATCCTGGATCCGCCCCTGGGTGCACATATCCCCCCCCCCCCCCACCTTGAAAACAACGGCGTGAGGTGATTTTACGCGCACTTTCCATGTTGGCCTTAGTGCCCCTTAGGATAGATTTGTGCCCCTTTCAGTGGATTTGTGCCCTCTCAAAAAAGTGGCCTGGACCCAAATTTGATGTAATTCGAGGCCTGCAAGTACATCAACAGAGAAGTTCACAAAGACATGGATTACAATTTAACTGTGCACTGGATATTACATAGATTTTTCATATGGGACTGTGCATTTCACACTAGATATGTAAATCATATTAGAATCACACATTTGTATGTGACATAAAGGAGATATGAAAAAGTAACAACACAGACGTGTACATATGGGACTACATACTTCTCTGGCAGGTGGTTCTCACAATTTCCTCATACAATTTTGTCAGGTACAACACAGCTAGTAGATGTGTTCATTATATTTGTTTGTCAGATATTTTATGTTTGTATAATTAACACTCTTTTTTGATTCTGTGACTTTTTCATTTAAAGCCCCTCTGCACTAGTTTGGCAAGGAGGGATTATACCTTCTGGCGAGGTCATTAGCAGGTGTTTATCTCATCAAATCAGCTCTCAATTAACATAAGAAAAAGGGCATTATGGGGGATCAACAGGTACCGCTTAGGAATTGTTGGCGGTATAGAGGGTGCACGTAGCTATAAGTAGTGTAGTGGGGCTTTAAGTCATCTCCAGAACACAGATTGGAGACCTTTGACCTTAGAAGTTCAAAGTTCAAACCCTAAGGAAGCTAAATATTGTACATGAAATTCCTTACCGATCACACAGCATGTCTCGACCCTGTATTTATCCACCTCACACACCTGATGGGCTAAATGACTTAGTTCAGCTTTCATCTCCTGTGTATGAGAAGAAGACATCAAGAAACAAAAAACAGTATTAGAATCTATTCACTGTAACATAAATGATAATTTAATAAGAAACAAAATAATATCCATCTATTGCAAATTAAAGGAAATTTTTATTCCCTCCACAGGGAGAAGATGTAAATGTTTTTCTTTTTACCCATTAACATGTTTACCTATTCATTATTTATGGATAATTTTGTCCATACCTACTTTATGGAGTAAATCTTGATTATTGATGTAACTGTTTTACTTTGACACCAAGCAAGTTGGAGAAAGAGTCCACGTTTTTTTTAAGCTATAGGGATAGAATACTTTACAACTGAACCATAACGGAAGATTTCTTACCTTTACATCAAGCAAATTTGAGGTGTCGGCATTTTTCTAATCTAAAGGGGCCTACCCCTGAACAGATACATTCACAATCGAACCATTGGGGAAGATAACTTTGAGAGTTCAGTGACACAAAGACGTAACTCTATATTTTGCCAAAATGAGTATTTGATATCAAAATGGCTAGTGAAACATAGACTTAATTCCTTAAGGCCCAAGTGCTCAGTGACACATAAACCACTTTGTCTCAAAATGGCCAAAATGGAGTTACATCTTTGTGTCACTGACCCCTTGACTTGATAATTCATGTTCATGACTTACCTTGACATACAGTAGGTTGGAGTAAGTGTCCATGTTTTCTAACCTATATGGATCAACCTTCTGTAGTTGGCTGAACAGCTCCACTGCAACATCCAGGGCTGAAATTGAAAAATGTTTGCTCATTATTTTTTGACAAGATAGATGGAACTACGTCATGCAGCTTAATATTGTACAAGGAATCTTGTTACCAATCTAACATGAAAGTTGTCATTGGTTCCGTCCATTATGGGAGTGCGTCTTTGAAATACCACGCTTCTTTTGAAAGAAACATTCCCCCTTTCTGTTTAACTGGCAAACTTGCTTATGCCACCCTCTATGTCAAATATGTAGTGTAGCAGAAAGTCTTTATATTTTGAATGATGGTGAGAGAATTTTTTTTATAACCTTTGTAGACTGTAGGCATGGATTAGATACATTGAATTTAACATTCTTACCTATCTTCTTGGCCCCGTCTTATAAAGAGTTGCGATTGATTCAAATCAATCGTAAGTTTACAGTCTCCTATCTCTTATGTACATACAGTGTAGTTGCGATTGATATCAATCACAAATAAGTTACGCTTGATATCAACTCTTTATAAGACGGGCCAAGAATGGATAATGGATATTTAGAATTATCTGCGATATCAGAAAAAGTGCATTCATAAAGCCAATAAAATACTGAAATTCCAAGATACCAATATTAAATGCAAGCCTACCTCTAATAATGTGATGTGTATTTGCAATCTGTGATATGATATAGGTACTCTTGTGGAAGCCTGCCTCGCTGAGAGTCGTATACCTCTTGAGTGCTTCTTCGTTCAGCTGCAGCTCTACACAGGTGTGTGCTAGGAAGAACTCTTTCATCCAGTGGTCTGGCAGATTTAGACTAGTCAACTTAAAACAAATACATCAACAACAACAAAATTATTTCACTATACAACAGGTGCGTGCTAGGAATAATGTTTTCATCCAATACAAAAAATGAGTTGCAAGTTTAACAATACATGAAAAAGTGCTGACAATGCATGTGCAAACACATATTGTAAATTATTGTGAAAAATCTACTTGTGACAACTTGTCAGTGTCTCTGTCATATGTGAAAATAGCTGTAAATGAAAATGTCAGCTTTTACGGTCATTTTTAATTTTTATAAATCTGACTGCTTGACTAATTGCCATAACAGACAATAGCCCCACACAGAATGCAAGCAGAACTTGGGTTCCATCCAAAGTTATTTCTCCTGTTATCTTTATTTTCTTCAACTGTTCATGTATAGAATGAAAACAAAATTTCAGTTGATATCATACATATTAAAAAAGTTGAGGCAAAACAAAGTTTAAATTCATGTTTAGCATTCCCGCCTGCTTCTTTTTTGGAGGCTGCCCATTTTTAAATTTTTTTTATTATAATTTTTTTAAATGAAAAAACATACTGCTAAAATGACCTTTAAAAAAAAAATATATATATATATAAAAGCTGGCGTCCATCTTGAAAAATAGCCCAGCCGGATGTCTAGGAAAATGTGCCGAGCGGCCAATGTGCAATAGTTTAATACCTTATCCCAGTCTGTGACGAGGGCCGCTAGCTCTATCCAGGCTCCCCAGTGAAGAGGGGCTTTATGAAGGGCTTCCACCAGTACCTTCTCAGCTTCCTTTTGCAGCTCTAGTTTCTTCAGAACCACCCCATACCTTCAAATTAAAATAACAATATCACAGTTTCATTGATTGATCAGTCAATACAGCTTTATTAATAATAATAATATTACATGTATGCTATATAGGAATTATGTATCATTATTGTTGTTTGTAATGAATTATTTGCTGGGTATCAGGCATAAATGTTCATTTCTATTCTGTCCTATATCTATTTCATTTTTTCCTAAGCGCATAGGGACTTTCTTTATGTTAGTGATATGCGCTATACAAGCAACGTTCATTATTATTATTTTTAAGATACACCTTATTACCATCTGAATGATGTGACTACGTTTTGAATCAAACTCCTTCACAGTTGGTCTGCAGGTATAGAAAGAGAACTGACTATACTGCTATGTCAGTTAACTAATAGATATCATTCATTTCATTTACTCAGTTGAGCATAATGAATCAATTTACTTCAATATATATAAAAGAAGAGACTTATTTCAAACAATAATCAGTAAATTACACTCAATATGAAGTTTACTCTACAATGCTCTTTAAAGTTCATGAAAATGTTCTTCAAGAGTAGTAACACAAACAAATGAGGTTAAATAGAATGTCCTTTCGAAAGAAAGAATGGGAGAGAGAGAGAGGGAGGGAGAGGGAGAGAAAGAGGGAGGGAGGGAGGGAGGGAGAGGGAGGAGAGAGAGAGAGAGAGAGAGAGAGAGAGAGAGAGAGAAAGAGAGAAAGAGAAGAGAGAAAGAGAAAGAGAGAGAAAGATAGAGTGAGGGAGACAGAGAGAAGACACATGACAATGGCCCCAATGGGTCACAACTTACAAATAGAGTGCATATCCATCACAGCGGCCTTCATTGTACCTCTTCTCCAGTTCAACTCGTAGCACCTTGAGTGAACCGTTCTGAATGGTTTTGAACTGGATGGGTCCTATGAGATCAGTTAGGTCATCGTACTTCTTTTTCTCCCCAGCCTGATTGATTATGCAATATGCAACAAATGCATGAAAAGAAAAAGAATTTTTAAATGCAGTGTCAATTGACACACTGTACCTTTCCCTAACCCAAGAGTGTTACCCTCATCTACTGCAAGTGAGGCTAAAATAAGGCAACTTCAGGTACATGTACTTTCTGGCATCCATCTTTTGTACCATCTGGTGAAATATATTTTTGTGAAAATGAAATCATATTATACAGAAATTCTACTGAGGTCATCATCCTAAAAGGCATTTCTTTTTGTCGCACCTCGCACACAAATGTATATTCTAAACTCTAAAGATATGGCATAGTTACTTTAGAGAGGCAAGCATTTATAGAAGATGAATACTGTTGTTCAAGAGCCAAGTCAATTATAAAGAAGCTGCTTTGTTCCAACCAGAAATTCAACAAATTAAGATACCTTGGTTACAAGGCAGACAGAAAAATCTACCTGTCTTAATGGTACCTTTGCCATGGACTTACCAGGTAGTCAGCGTACATGTGAAGGAAGAAAGCTTTGTTGCTTTGACAGTCGTCTACAAAGAAAGCTGCTCTCTCGTATTCCCTCAGGTCGAAGAATGTCTTAGCGAGGGTGTACTTGTCAAATTCTTCCAAGAAGTCCTACCGTAAAGGTAATATATAGTAAAATGTTTAATGTTTTTCTACGTCCATTTCCACTATAAAAGTAAACACTAATTCTCATACTTTTAATAAATTTAAAAACTTTATTTTTATTTCTATAACCAGTTGAATATTTTTTTACAATCATTGTCAGGGCAAAAAACTAAACTTTAACAATGTGAAAATATACCCAAGTTTGCTAATTAATATCCCATGACAAGTATTTAGAATATCATGGACAAGCCTGGACAACAGATGACTGAAAAATGTAAATAAGTTATTTTGACTCAACACAGGTAGTCACTGACATAAAAATTTTTGCATCAAGCTATAAATCTTAGTCAATACCTGTGGATCTTCCTCAATATCTATTGATGGAGCTGGCTTCACATTCTGAAGAGAGTATGATAGTTCAGCACACCTGAAAACACACAAAAGAACATTGAAAATATGGCACACTAATATATTTTAGATTAAAATCTAAAGAATCTGTAGACCTGGGTAGCGTTTCACAAAACTGTTTTAAATACAATTTCACCAACAACTCATTTTAATTATCAAATAGAACTCGCATTTCGATGGGATGTCATAGTTACCTGTAGTTACCTGTCTTCACAGGCTCTAATTTAAGACGTAGTCCTATAATGCCCACCTTCCTTCATTCAAAATCCACTGCATGTGATATTGTGTCATAATTTGCAGATATCAATCCTATGTCAGTGAACATGTACTTAGTTATATGACAATTTTGTGTGTGAAACGCTGCCCATACATGTATGTCTCAAAATATTAGAGGTGCAGTTTAAATGATGAGTTTAAATTATTTTCTGTATTAAGATACTAACTTTTCATGATCTTATTGTATTTGCTTGAGTAACCACTAACCAAATTTATTTAAAAACAAAAATAAACCTACTTTTCTAATCCCCTTGCAATGAATTGGCGGCAGTTCTCAGTGGGCTCTGCCATTGACTGCAATTATAGTACAAAAGTAACCAAACTAAACTACGGTAGGTCTATAATCAGTCAACTTCAGGGAGAAAGAAAAAAAATTGTTTTATGTTACAGAAGATCACTCTCATTCCCTCTTTGAAGGAAATGATTCAAGATCCAACGCTTACATCACAATTTTATAAAAAAGAAAAAAAAGAAAACAGTAAAACTAAAAGGGAAAAAAATAATTAGGTCTAGTCTAGATCTAGAAATCTTCTCCAGTGTAAATCTGAAATTAAACATTCCAGACATGCCAGATGATTGACACGACAATAGCAATTATTATCAAAACTGACAAAAGGCAAAAACATGACAATCCACATTCTTTGCAAGTCTAACTGTTTTTCTTTTTCTTTCTTGCACTGGCTGCTGCTGAGGCGATATTATTATTCATGTGTTTTGTTAATTCCTAACGGCTAACCAAACTCCAAATTACTTTTCAATGAGTGGAGACAGAATGTTGAATGATATGTTGTTTTCTTGAGGTAACTGACTTAAAGTGTTAGATCATAGATGACATGCGCTCCGCGCTCCCAACGTTATTTGGGCAGAGCCAAAGAGGCAGAGTCATCACACTCACAGACATAAACACACAACACAGAGTCTGAGCTCCCGCTAGCCGCGCTGCGTCTACAGCTAACTCCAGCGAGTACCAGCAGTTTACCCCAGTCCCACATGCTGAAATGGATGTCTCAATCAAACATGAAACTAAATATTGTTTACTTTATTTTTATTTCAATGAAACACTTACCACTTTGCACTTTGTAAAAGCCCCATTTCCTGGCACTGTTTTGTGGCACACACTAGATCACGTTTGATCCAAGGCAAGTTGAAATCTTTCCTGCAAGTTGTCTCATTGAGTTCGGACTCAGTTGAAATCGCCGCCATTGTTGAACGATAACAGCACAATGCCGATAGCTAATGAAACCCGCGCGCTATCTCGATATCGTGTTTTTTTAGGGGGGGGGGGGGGGCGGGCCAAAATGCAAAATATGAACCCTGAAGAAAAAAAACTGTTTATTCTAGATCTGACTAGCCATTTTGAAGAATTCTGGATTTCCTTTTTTTTTCTTCTCAGTTGTCTCACACACACAAAAGTATTGGCCCATTGTGTGCAATATTTGTTCTGGAATTGTTACCCCCCCCCCCCCCCCTCCCCATTTTGTAGATGATACTTAATCCACTCTTGGCTCAATTGGCGATCCCCGACCCACTAAATAGGCATTACAAATATCGCACTCTAGAGAATTTTTGTTGAGGTACGGTGGATTGCCCACATTCAGCTTACCCGACATGGGAGCTGGTCTTCCGTGGGGTCCGAAAGAAGTACATAAACAAAACAAAATATATAACTGAACAATAGTAAATAAATTGTCAAAGAAAAATATTTCATAAACAACAAGTAATCATAACGAGGTGCTTGTGTAACATCATCACACTGCATTCGGACAGCAAGGTGCTCCAAAATCTAGCATAACATTTTTAGAATTTTTGTTCGCTTCACTTGCTCGGAACAGAAAAGTGATTCCCGAATGGCCTCATATTCGTGTATCGAGGTGATGGATATTCTTTTTTTACCTTTATTTCTCATTAGTTTGTACATTTTACAATTTTTTTCTATCTAATATCATTTGCACAATGATTAGTATTGGTTCAGTTTGTTCTCGTCATCCCTGCAAGACGCGCATTAAAAAGGAACGAGAAAAAGATTAATCTTCATTTCAAGTTTATTGCATTTGCTTATTCCCTACATTATACTACGCTACCCCACCTTCTCTCTCTCTCTCTCTCTCTCTCTCTCTCTCTCTCTCTCTCTCCTCTCTCTCTTCTCTCTCTCTCTCTCTCTCTCTCCTCTGTTTGACATAATTACAATTTCAGTTATCTCATGCAAGACACCATTTATCAGCTTTTTATTCACACCAGACCTTGGGAATCTTCGGAGCGAGGAAGAAGAAGGACAAAACAACAACTTGTTGTTGATAAGTTTTTATTTGCAATTCACATTGTCACAAAAGATAATCTCAAAATAAATACATATTCTTTTTTCTTCAATGATACATGATTGAATGAAATGGAACATCTCATACAATAACATTCAGTAAGATTTCAATTATACTATACAGATACTATTCCATTTTTTCTTATGGAATTCAAACGGTTGAGTAAAATTATATTATGCGTTCTGTTTTTTCTAATTGTATTACAGAGCATAGAAAGGATTTAAATAAAGGAACGATGTCTTGACATTTACATGAAAAGATAAAATATTTGCCATATAAGTATCATAGTGTTTACCAGATAAAAGTGTTCTCTAACTAATGTTCCAAAGCAAATTTATATACGTGATAATCTAATGAGTCGGAAACAACAACTTTAACAACAAGAAGAATTGAGAAGGACAAGAAGAAGAAGAGGATGAAGAAGGAGAAGAAGCGTTTAAAGATGTTGTCCTGTAGTCATCTGCGACCGAGTGAAGCGTCCGACCAAGTAAAACAAAAATGGCATCATTTTTTAACGTTTTTAATAAATATGGCCAGGTGTAGTATTCATACTGCACGCGTATAAATATACCGATTCGATTGATTAATAATATTTCAGTTTGACGTATGAACAGCGTTCATTTATTTTCTTATATAGTACGAGGAGATATATTTATGTCAATTGCCGCTGAGCCGAAGATTTTTTTGTTTTGTTTTGGAGAAAAACAAATCTGGAATCCTGGGGTTTTATTTTTAATATTAACAATTTGATAATACCCTACGATATTTTACTCACTTAACTCAAAAGTCAGTTCAAAATATTGTTTCTTTTTCGTATTGTCGGGGCGTGGCGGGGGGGGGGGGGGTGTGAGGGGGTAGGGGCGGATCCAGCCGGCGGCAAGGGGGCCAACTTGATAGGGGGCCCAATTCGTGAGAAAGTGATAAGCGGCGAGTCAGCTAGCCGGCGAATAAGGGGGGGGGGGGGGGGGGGGGGGGGGGGGGGGGGGTTAGGAGCATTAATTTTGTTTACTTCCAAATTCGTGAGAAAATATTTAGCGCCGAATGGCCGAATCAACACCCACCTCCCCCCCCCCCCCTGCGCCAGGGTGAGGGGGTCTGTCCTCTATATATATTTTTAAAGGTTATATTTCCTGTTTAAGGTCCCCGTCCCCCTAGATCCGCCACTGTGAGGGAGTCAACCCCCCCCCCCCCCCCCAAAAAAAAAAAAAAATGAAATATCGTTTTCTACTATGTAAAATAAAAACGTGCATACTAAAAAAAAAAGGGAGGGGGTACATGCACCCCCTCGCCTCCCCAGTCCTGCGGCCTATGTATATTTTCAGCGGGATTTGCAAATGGTGAGAGGAAAGGGATAGACCCCATCGTTAGATAGGAATTGATATTATATCCATAAAGTAGACATGTAGATGCAGATATTTTGACGTCAAGTTTTACGGATTTCTTTCACAGTCATGTTTACATGCAGTACCGGTACTTGATGTGTGTTACATCTTTGGATGGAGTTCGCCCTCACGTTTTTTTTTTCTTTCCGATATCGCGCTCGCTGAATGCGTACCGTACATGAACGCACGGTACCGGTAAGGAGCAGCGCGCAGTAGTAAGGAGCTAGCTCTGCACATATACTGCACTAGTGATCCACGGTCAGTTGATTACATGGTATGTTGTTTGCAGGGACAATTCGGCCTTGAGGCTTGAGTATTACCGATTGACGTCATATCAGTCCAGATTATAAACTAACAGGGTAAGTTGGCCATTGATACCACAATTTGTAAAGCGATTTTAACTGGCGCAAATTTAGGCGTGTTTCGTTCTAGTGTCGCCGTCATTTTATGTGCGTGTGTACGGTGCAGTGGAGTGAGTGTCGCCCCGAGCTAGAGGGCTGGTCGCCGTTGTCAACACGTATCTTGTGTATCGCGGCAAGTGCAGAAGTTACTGACTGTAACATTTGTAGGCCTACATGTATGTACTAGCTAGCCTGCGATTCATATTTCTACCATGACAATCACTTGAATCAGATCTACTACTACTACACTGACTCTTTGTAGCTGTAAGGTTTAAATAACAGGTATGTAAATTGAGTTTGATTAATCTGAGTAACTCGATGCAGGCATGAGTACAGAGTAGACGTCAACAAGCCAGGGCATCGTTTCACGAAAGCGTCATAAACGACATCATTCATAGACCCTATTCATATTTATAAGCAGATAAGCATGATGATTATTGACTATTAAAGTACAAGTTCACTGACAATAAACATTCTAGTAGTATTAGTTATTTAGTATATATTGCGAACTAATTATTGCAACACGTGTTAATCGGAATACAATCATTTCAATGGGATGTTGGTGAAGTTGTACATCCGACAGTTTCGTGAAATGATGCCCTGTTGGTTTCTGTGTGGTGTAAACTGTAACCTCTTAGTGTCGTACTAGGCTAGAGTAAACCTACATAGTATATGATGTAGATCTAGATCGAATTGTGTGTGAAGTTTTGTGCAACTTGAGTTTTAGTGTATAACTGTGGACAGGTCTAGTTTCTATTCCTGTCTTTGTAATTAAATATGATCAGTGATTACATTTGTGTTATAATGAATTGGTCGAAATGCCAGGTAGTTAGGTTGATTTTTTTGATTAATGATATCTAGATCAGTATACTGTACACCGTAGAGTGTTGATCTAGTATTGAGTTACTCTGATTAATCAAACTAGATAGTTATTCCTCAGCACTATACATCCTGACTTATGGATCCTGCTGAGTATCATCGTAGAAGTAGAAGTAGTTGGCTCTGATGCACTTTTGCACCAGGGTAGACCAAAAGCTTTAGTCTCCGATATTGATGGTTGTTCCACTGAGACTGTATGTCTGGCTCCACTGACCGGCTCTATACAGAGACTGAAGTGCATCGTTTTGATTAGTGAGGGGTGGTGACGTGATTGCCGATCTCACCGCACGCCGTAGTTTCAAGAAAAATGGACAGATTATATACTATGAATGAGCGAAGTGTGACAAATTTCATTGAAAAGTTTGTCCTTTACTTTAAAAGACTTTTAATGCAAAGAAATTAATTGACAGATTACTCAAGATTACTGTTCAAGGTGTTCATTTGATGTGGAGAAGTAAGAATGGACTTGTAAATGTAAATTTAGAAATTTTCATTGAAAAGACTACCTGCCTGGAGAATGGATAGTGGATTTCCTTAAGCTAAATAATTTACAGGTCAACACAATTAGAATCTTGACCATTATTTATTTTGTTTGTAATGTCCATTGTGTTATTCATTTTTCTACTATTATTTTTTAATGAAAAAGAGAATGAGAGGGGAAAAAAAAATCATTACCTTTCTAAAAATTGAATCAGACACACTATAGACCCTCATTTGAAGAGAAAATTGATTGGCTCATCAGATTTCTTTTTCTACAGTACCTGTTCTTTTAATTGGCCATGGATGTTGGTAGCTAAATTCAGGTATCTTTGTAATCATGTATTGAATTTCCATTTGATAATGTAGGCTAAATGAAAGTTGTATGATTTCCTGTTTAAAATCTGTACGTGAAATTGCTGAATTTTTGAAGTTCTTAGTTTCATTCATATAATTTTTGTTTATGTTGATTGTTGATGTATACATGTATTTCCATACATACATGTGACCTTAGAAACTGCTGTGTATCATTGTCCTCTTCTTCTTTTTTTCTTCTATTTTAATACAGCTCAAAATTCTGACCTGGAGTAATTAGTACAGAAGTGGGAGGCAAACATCAAGAGCTGTCTATTTTTATCTAATCCGGTTTGAAGGACATTTAAGTCCTAATCAGGAACAAAACGTTAGAATTAGCCAATTCACCAGGATCATTCACCTATTGACTGATTCCACGTACTTTGTGGAAGGAAGGAAGCCGTACAGTTGTATTCTGTGTGTTTCCTGTATTGGCCACAGAAAAATGCTATTGTCAGTACTTCAGCCTCAGTTTAGTGATTGATCCCGACCAACAATGACGAGAGCAGACAGGCTGGTCTGCAGGATTCACAAGAATAAATAAAAATCACAACGCAAGGCTGAAACTGAGAATGCTTGAAATCGAATCGACTATCAAGAGATTCCTGGCATAGAGATTGTGCGTCAACTTCATTGAGACATTTTTTCTGCATACAATTGGAATGCTATTTGGAAAGAAATTGTGTAGAAAGTGAAAAAGGGCAGTCTACTGTATACTTGTATAAGAGGAATAAAGTCCTCCTGCCACTTGGAGAAACTCTAACGAGACAAGAGTCTCTTATCAAAGACCTGAACAGTTTATCGTTCTATCGTCATGGAGATGGAAATGGAGCCAGGAGTTTTGCTCATTACAGCCAATGTGGGCTCGATATTTGAAGAGGTAAGTTTTGATCTAGATTCACTATCAAAACATGATGAGATGATTTTAGTCAGAAGTCGATGCCATCATCTCAGAGATACACATTTAGCTGATGAGTTCTCTAATCATCAGCAATTACTACAAAACACTGGAAGTTAAAGATACTTACATTGTACACAACGACTTGCAGTGGATGTTAGATTGAAAATAAGAGGTCATTTACAAGACTATTAGCTTCAAAGATGAAGCCTGAACACAGGCAAATGATTGCAATAGCAAAATTTATTATGTTAGTTGCACAGACGGGTATATTTTCTCGTCTATAAAGGTATTTGGTCATTTGGCGTCCGATACATTTACATATATTACCAGTGTAAAAATGTTATTCTTTTCGAGGGAGCTCTTTTAGATTTGATGTTTTACAAGTGTGATTTATTCACAACGATATTTAAAGTACATACCGGTGCTTGTTTTTTTTAACCAGATCTCTTTTTCAATTAAGTTAAATCGCTCACTGCTCTCGTGTATTTTCTCGCTGTTCATGGACTGTGTATGTTTATACCAAGTATCGAGGAGTTATGAAAAATAAATTGACATATCATTTCACTTCATATTTGGTCTAATCCAAGCTCTATTAAAGGTACTATGTCCCTTTTGCAGCCAACCTCCCTTTTGCAGCCAACCTCAAATTCTGTAGAACTGTGCAGGAATTATGAATATGTCATGTATGTCCTATCTGTGAAATTTAAACAAGCTCAGTGTCCTCATATTCAAATTAAGCGGAAACCCGTTTACTTGCAAGACTTCACTGTCAGACACTATTGAGTGACTGACTGGCTTTTTTTCTTCTTTGGTAATAACATACATGAAAAGAGTACATGAGCATTTGTCTACATCAATAACCCACTTCTTTTGATGGCCAAGATTAAACTGATTGAATCTTTGCGCAGCATAAAACGTATGACCATTCGGTACAATTGTCTGAAAATCAAGACTATTACTTTGGGCTCTATAGCCCTAAAGTCGATTTGACAACTAAAAGTTGTTATTTTCCCACTTGAAGACATTTTCAAGCCCCACTTTTTTTAGGGAAGTTCTAAATGAGTATTATCTTTCAAATGCAGTTGGAATTTAACGTTTTCATTTTTTTTGCCTGCAAATGGGACATAGTACCTTTAAAACAGTGATGAGATGAAATGAATAGACTAAAATATTGGATGTGTTTGTTATTTAATATTGGACAAAAGGCTTGGCCTTGCCCTGCAGCTTTTGTCCACTTAACTTTTCTGTAGTGCGTTTATTCAATAGTGTAGGTACAGTGTAAAGTAATGAAGGGAAAAGAGAAGAGGACTGTAATATTGTGGGCAGACCCCACCTTAATGATACAATGCAGCACAAGCAGTATACATGTACCGGTAGTACATTTTATCTGTGGGTAATTAAGATGACTCTGAAAGTCATTACTTGTAATGTAATTAGCTGGTTAGAGTCACTTTAATAGCTACAGAGTGGAATTGATCAATGAAGTGAAAACGATTCTCTATTGACGTAAATCCTGTTACACTTAAAACTAGTACAGTGTACAAAACTTTTACTGGTACGTAATAATATTGAAGACAATACTGTGCAGTACTTACATGCTTTACTAGCTAGAGTTATCATTTAGGAGTATTTAACTGACCAAATTGCAAGGAATGTACAGTACATGTACATGTTTACAGCATGTGCGATGTTAATATTTGTTGAATTTAATTTATTGTTTATAATTCTTGAGCTCTTGGGACACCTTCTACATGTACATTACTAGCTTTCCCTTTTATTCCTTTATATCACACAGAAGTAGGCCCTCATGTTGGTCCCTAAGACTTCCTATCTAGTTTTACCCCCCCCCCTCTCCCACAACAACAACAACAATAAAAAACAAAAAACATCTGAAAGCCACATTGTACAGTACTATAAGCTGATGCAAACTTGCAAAAAGTACTGTGATATTCACAGCCTTCATTGAGCAAATTCTAAACAAGTACTCAATACAACACATTCAGGGCCAATCCTCAATTAATCAAGGGTTTATGAAAAGAAATCAGAACAATGACCTCCCAGGATTTGATCCCCTTTCAGCCAATCTCTTGACCTATTTAAAAAGCCTAAAGGCCTCCTTAAGCTACAGTCCATATACGTCCCGGACCGTCCCGGACCATCCCGGACCCCATCCGGGGTGATCCGGGATTCGGTCCGTGTTGACACCGTGTTGGCACCGGGGTGGTCCTGGATGGTCCTGGATGGTCCTGGATGGTCCTGGATGGTCCTGGGCGGTCCGGGAGTCGACCCCGGATGTTTTTGACGGTCAAAAACTGCCGGGGTGGTCCGGGACGGTCCGGGACAATAGTTTGATCCGGGGTGATCCGTGTAGCCACCGTGCTGGGTCCGGGGTCATCCGTAGTGGCGCCGGGGCGGTCCGTGTTGATCCGTGGCAGTCCGGGAGTGAGTTATTGACCGCCCAGGACCATCCAGGACCATCCAGGACCATCCAGGACCACCCCGGTGCCAACACGGTGTCAACACGGACCGAATCCCGGATCACCCCGGATGGGGTCCGGGATGGTCCGGGACGGTCCGGGACGTATATGGGACTGTAGCTTTTAAAGCATCACACTTTTTTGAACAAAACATCCCGGACCATCCCGGATCACCCCAGGCCATGGTCCGGGATGGTCCGGAGTGGTCCGTGCTCGTCCGTGCTGGTCCGGCTTTATATGGGACTGGGGCTTTAACAAAGTTTGGTATTACATAACTCGATGGTTAAGTGGATTGAGAAGGTTGAGTCAGACCATGGAACATACACAAGAATTTACAGAAGGCACATTCACACTTCAGCAAAAATATTTCAAAATATAAACTTTCATTTTCACTACTGGAAAGACCCACAAAAAAACAAAAAAAATTCCATTTCTGTTTTTTTTGTTGGTGAGTTGTGCGCATGTGCCCCTTGTCACTTCTCTGTGATACCACACTCCAGAGGTGATTGTTTCATTGTTACCTAGTGTAGCAACTTTTGACAAAATACTGGAATGTAAGAAAAAATTAGTGCTGTAACATCACGGATATCTCCAATTCCGTTTAACCGCTAGTCAAAACCGGACGGTTTTCGGTTTAAACGATTAAAAAAAATAAAATAAAAAAAAAAAAAAAAAAAAAAAAAAAAAAAAAAAAAAAAAAAAAATCGTTTTTTTTTTTTTTGTTGTTGACCGAGCTGGAAGGACTTTCATTTAACTGCGAGGTGCATTTGCAGGCGCCGATTTGTGCTTGTGAATTTGTGAATAATAGCAACAATGTCGTTTTTAGAAGAATGTGTAAGAACATTAATGTTAATTAAAAACAGTAGAGGACCTAGGATAGAACCTTGTGGTACGCCTTGTAAAAGTTGGATGAATTATTAGTATAAACTACATATTGAGATCTATTACAAAGATTACTTTCAAACCAAGATGACAGACAAATTGGAGTGTTGTTCTAGTTTCGGAGTGCTAAAGTCAACACACAGATCACTGAGCTGGGAGACATTGCCAGGCATAGTGCCAGGTGGAGGGGCATAAATCGAAACTTTAAAAAAATTATTAAAAAAAATTAAAAAAATTATTAAAAAAAAAAAAAAAAATTATAAAAAAAAAAAAAAAAAAAACGGGAAAACGAAACCGTCCAATTGAAAACGGAATCCGCCATGGGCGGTCGGATACCGGATACCGGACGGTTAAACGTTTGACTACAGCACTAGAAAAAATAACATTGTTTTTTGCCTGCAGTGTAAATGACCCTACTGAGAGTTGAGTCCAAAGAAGGAAGTAACCATGCTGGTCCAGACCCAAATATTTATCAGGCCCTATTCATTGAGGAATGGAAAGGGGCACATTCTCTCGCCTGATCTTTTTGTGCAGTAGTAAACAACATTTTGAAAGTTCATGACCTTGCAAGGGAGGAAAAAACTAATATTAAAAATTGATTGAAATACTATTATAATCTACATGTACATGTATACCTGTAAATGCAGAATACCTCTACAAGTTTTTTTTTGTGATTTGTCCATATTTTCATGTAACTGTACATTATACATGTACATGTATGTGCTGTATACTTTTACTCATTCTCAATAGTATGTCAACTTATGTATTAAACACTTTTGCAGATTTGACTTTTGTAATCAAAGAAATACAAATATTATTATTCAAGTTCAATGAAATGTTGGTCTTCTAATATGAATTTAAAACTTAGCACAGCTTTGGTCAATACAGCCAGGGAATAGTTATTTATTTGTCAAACAAGTTTTTAAATTTTTGGGCAGATTTCTCATTTTCTCATTCTCAGAACCCAAGCCAGACTTGAATTTTGTATATAGGCCCTTTCCTATTCGAACATGTACAAGTACATGTAGTCTACTCAGAAGTCAATTTGGAGCTCATCATCTGGAACTCCTACTTCTGTATACAGACCAAAATATTTTTCAGTGATTGGTACACTTCAGGAAAATTTTACCACAATGTTACCAACTTACAGTACAAGTATTTTCTAGAAGTCTTTGAAGGGCAATATTTTTGGATCGGTTTCGTACAGGGGGTCTGGTCTATTCTTAGCAGATCGATGACACTCACCTGAACTTCCCTGTAGGAAGGAGTCTATGAAAGGTCATCTTCTTGAATCAGGACTAAGATTTAGTAATCAAGGAGAATCAGGATTTTTAATAAATTGTTTAAATATCAAAGTTGAAAAGAGCTGCTTTATATAGTGTAGTTTCAAATTAAACCACAGTCATAATTTGGCTTCATGTACAGGCTCAACTTCAAGTGGTTAAAAAGATACTAAAATTTGATATGTTTCAATCCTCAGACAGTATTATGGGATGAATTAATATGAAATTATGTAAAATTCAAATCCACTAAAATCTAAATACGGTATATCAAATTGTTTTTTCAAATGTTTCTGGACTTACAAAAGCGAAGTGAGCATAGAAGTCTATTTTCCAGGCCTTTATTTGTATGTTTTGTAACCCCTGCCAGAACTTATTCATTTCATTTTATGATAAAGTTGTTCCTGAAGTAGACATCAACCATTGTAGGATTTATGTTAAAACAAACAATACAAAACATTATAAAAGCAACATAAACAACAAGAAAATAACAACAAAAACTGCTACCAGATTTTAATTTTCTAAACATACATGTATTTGATAACAAGGAAAGTGAAACGTGGTCAAAACATAATATAGGGAGTGCATTGTTGAATTATTCTTGGAAAGTGTCAATTTGATACCAAGACGTAATTTCCCCTGTTAAATGAGATTATTGAAATATATTCATTCTGTTCTGGATAATCAAAGTGAGAGACACATTTCATTGCTTCATTCATTGTTTGATATCCCTAAGTACATGTACATGTATTTTTTTAAATGACAAAGGATAGTAAAATGGTGTATTTTTTATTAATAGTTCATTGTTTCTATTCTCTGAAAATGTTCCTCTCTTTTTCTACGAATGAACGCTTGACTATTAATATTGTATTTTCATTTTCTGTTCCTTTAAATTCCCTTAGCCTGTGCACATGATGTCTATCTGGTTAGACAAATTATACGAGGTAAGTTAAATTGACATGATATTGTAGTTAGAACGATTCATTAGATATTGGATTATACAATAGGCATGTCAATCACAGTATGGTAAACATGATTTTAGAAAATGTAATGAAATTGTGATGTTGGACCTCAGTGGCAATGTACATGTACACAATAATAATAATTTACTTCTTGATGACTTTCAGAGATTTAAAAGAAGAAAAAAAAAGTTTCATGTAGATGGATAGACCGATAGATACAGTATATTATAATGTACATGTATGTACATGTAAATAGTAACAGAGAGAGAGAGAGAAAAAAAAAGGTGGGGGAGAGGAGAAAATCAGAAGGTACAGTACAGTAGATTACTTCGGTACCTGGGGCTGGCACAATTCCCAGCCCCCATTTGGCAGCTGATGATCCAGAAAATGGTGCAGTGATTGCTGTTTAAAAAGCAAGACAATTAAAAGTCAATTCCAACCATTATGCTTTAAGAGGATCTCGGTCAAAAGAATGACACAAATGAGTGAGTGGTAAAAACCAACCAAAATTGTCAGAATAAGCTATTCAATTGGTAAATTGCAACCAAGATCCTGGTCTGACAAATACTGAATAATCCTTCAGTGACACTACTGAATATTAAGTGACCAAACCTATTGTTGTTGTTAGTTTAGAAAGATGAAGATGAAGAAAAAAAAAACATAAAGAAATATACTTGTACATGTACTGTAGATACATGTTCAAACTACATGTACAGATGGTACTTAATATTCAATACAGAATATTGGCTTGAACAATTAAAAAAAAAGAAGTTCTTTCTTCCCCATATTTTTGGATGGAAATTAAAAAGCAGTGAATTAGTCAATGTTTATGTACATGTATTAAAAGCAAAAAGCAAAACAACAAGCTTGTGATTTATAAGCTTGGATGAAGATCTTATCTTGTTTCCCAAACAAATGAATAAACTATAAAACCAACTATTGTTTTTTACATTCACCACCAATGTACAAAGGTTAATTGATTCGTGCACACCCTTTCTCATTAATCTTGTGCCCTAACCACATGTTTAGACTTGATAGTCATGTTCTATTTATATTTATAGTCTATTTCAAGGTACAGTTTATTTTGAAGTTTGTTTCAACTTGATTTATACTCCTAATTACGCTATTTTTTGCAATTGGTATCCATTTCTTGCATTTTTATCTGTAAATTCAAGATTCATCGATAGACCTGTCTATGTGCAAGTAGCTTCGAGATGAATATTGGTCAGTAACCCTTATCAATTCAATCCAATTAAATTCTTATTTGTAACCAACCAAACATTTAAATTATTTCTGTTTCCATTTGTTTAGACGATAAAGAGATTAGAGCCCCATTTCATCGCCCTGCACTGCCAAGAACTTGGAGGGAAGGACTTTGAAGTCAGCATGCAACATGTTGACAACTTTGTTCAGTAAGTGAATAAACTAAGTATAAACGTGGATAAAGCTTAGTGCTATCTAACATTGTTCAGGATCCAAAAAAAAAAAAAAAACTCTAAAAACTTGGTAAACAATGTTGTAAATGGCAATGTACTTGTAGATGTACAATGTAAAAATAAGGAAATTACAAACAGAAAAATAAACAATGATGAAATTGATGATGACAACTTTTAATTTTGTGAGTTTCATCAAATCAAATACAACTAATCAACATTTACTATGATTATTGTTCAGCTTTTTGAAATTCAAATTCAAATTTTGCTGGAAAATGTTATATTTTATCTTTAATTATAAAGCTTTATTTTACAAAGTTTAAACCCATTGCAAGTGACTGCATGTGTATCCTTGAAAGTGCTCAAACTTTGAAATATACATGTACATTTGTATGTTCAATTGTTCATACATGTATACTGGAATGAAAAAGCATGTACATGTACATGTATATTGCCAACTGCGAAGCTTGCATTAAGCAGTGGCATTTATTCTGCAACCTACACAAATATGCAAATATTAGATCATTGAAATATTTCAAGATTATGAAAGCAGAAAATGGAACTAGGAAAGGCCAATATCATAAAAAGCACACGCTCGCTGTACATTGTACACATATGAAGGATTTTCTTCTTCTCCATACACTGCTAAAAGCGTTAAAAGGGAAGAGTAATTTATCAATTTAATTTTTTTAGTTGGAGGATAATTGAATAAAGATTGATTAACGATGCTTGTTGGAGACAGTAATTGCATTTTCCACGGAGGCTGTTTAGCTGTTACCTGATGGGAGAAAGAGATTGCACTTTTGCTGGTTATCCCTCACATGCATCGTACATGTACTTGATTTAACTCTGGTTGCCTCAAATTCCAAATTCACCTTAAATTTGTATTGCATATAATATATGGTGTCTACCGGATGTTAACAAACTGATAGCACTTTGTTTTTTTATAGTGCTATTTGGCTTTTGAAAATACATATCAACTCCATCGCAAGGTGATGGGAGGCAAATGTTAACAGTGGTATATATTATTCTTAGGAAAACCATATCCATAGGAATGATATACATACTGTACATGTACATATACATGTAGTTATGATTTCATTGTAACATTCTTATCAGATGTGCTCTTTTGGCCAGAAATTTCTTGAAATTTTAGAAATATGCACCGCCGCATAGGTCGCACCCCAACTTTGACATTTCAAAGAGGGAAAAAAAAAAAACCCAACTAAATAATCATAATTTTCTCGAAAACACTATCTTTTTTTTTACAAACTGATACCAAAATCATCAATATTTATAATTTACCGGAAGTTTAGCTACAAAAGTGATCGCAGGCAGATTTGGTGTCCGATACAATACCCCTACCACAATGTACAGTGTAATGCGAAACTGCATGAAATGGAAAACAAAATGGCGACTTCGGATGGATGTTCGCTGCAGCTCCGTTAAAACGGTCCCTTCCTTTACTTTTGCAATGCATTGGCACGAACTTCGATCAAGATCTATCGGCAAATGCTGTGTTAGGACGTTTATTTTCGTCTTCATGTCAACAATGCAAGATAAATTTTATTTTTACTCTTTCGCCGTAAAGGCAGCACCCCGACTTTTTGATATTTTCTCTTACAAAAATACAGCGACCTTTACGCCGGCAAATACGGTATTGTACAAGTTCATCTCAATTTACAAGGGATGAATGCCTCAGTCACCCTTCTCATTCTATGGTTACATGTATATAAACTTAAGCATTATTTTAATTCTGATATTTTTTTCTTAACATTATTGGGACAGTGCCTAGTATTAAATACAGTGCTATTTCATAATGCTACACAGAAGGCATGTGTATGAAATATTAAAATGCCACCTTCTCCCTCAAAAATATTAATAATGCTCATACTGAATAATTATTCAGCTTTCGGCAATCATAAATCTATGGAGACTTTTATCTTGCCTTTACCAGCCCGTGTGCCTGCACACTTCTCTTGAAGTGGCGCGATACTTCTGGCTGGGCCCTGCCAAGTTTGTTATGAATAATGTAAATATCATCTCCATCTTGCAAATTTGATGGATGCGCAGAGATGGATAAGCATCTCGCAGGCAGGTGCCTTGGAATCACTTTACAGGATGATGTGTGGTCCATATTATCTGCAAGCGCAGAATATGATTTGGTTCTTTAAAGGTACAGTCTAGCAATTTTGGGAGTGATGGTGGACGGGCCATCAAAAGTGTTTGGAACATTAAGACAAAAATACAGATAAATAAATGAAACAAAAAGAAATAGATGAATGAATGAATGAAAAAATAAAAGCAAACACAGGCTGAAATGTTAATAGGCATTGTTACCTCAATGCATTAACAGAAGTCAGAGTGAATTTAATCGTAACATTAAACAAAAAACAAACAAACAATTATCCAACAAAGTGAAACAGTAAGAATTTGTCTGCTCTTTTCACACACCAAACAATTTATTTTCAAGTCAAACATTTGTTTAATATTACAGTATTGGTTTGCAAATTGTCATTTACATGTATGTATACCAACAAGCATCACCATCTTCATGCATGGACATCAAGAAAGTTGATATTTTCATCATGAATGTACTTATGAACTTGCAAAGCACTTCTAAAATATTATAAATATATTGAATACACTGCAAGTGAATTGTATTGTCTTCCTTGGGCGCCCCCCCCCCCCCAATCCATAGATAAGAACTAATGTGAGGAAATCTCATTGCGTGTGATTGGAAAAAAAGTCGGTAAAGAGGTTCTGTGGACGCACACATAATTTTTACATTGAATAATGAATACCCTACTCAGTGCTGCGCCACAATTCAATTTAATTTTTGTGGCTCGCCTGAGAGATTAATCAAGCACCGTTGTCCGGTACCCTTGGCATTTGCATTTTTTATGATCCAAACAAGTACATCCATCAGAGTCCACCTTGAGAGATATTAATTTAGTTGACAGGTTTATAAACTGTAATATAGATATAAATTGGAATCTATGGTCTCTACATGTACATACAACATGTTGTAGGCTATATCCTCTATCAGGAACCAGAAGGGCATTGATCACATGTATTTTACATCTATGAGCTAATGCCCTTCTAGCTGTAAGAAGATGATACCTGTATGTACATATACATGTATAGTGCCCTAATTACTGAAGTGGGACAAATGCAAAATGCGGGGGGGGGGGGGGGGGGGGGGGGGGGGGGGGGGGGGGGGGGGAGAAAAGGGAAAGAGAAAGAAAGAGACAGCAAAGAAGAATGTAAAAATTGTAACATTAATGGCGTAGCTACATGTAAAAGGGACATGGGGGAGTACATGTACATGCCATTCCCATTAAATGGCAGACAAAAGAAAATATAAAGAGGAAAAGAGATGTACAAGTAAAGGAAAGGATTACATTGTAGGGGAAGGGGGACATGACAAGAAGATGAAAGAACCCCAAACACATCCCTGGCTGCTTAATATTGCTCAGCTCTATCTTTTATTCCAAAGATGTTTAATATCAATTATGATCTATCATCTCTATGGGAATGTATTTTCCATCATGAAAAGAACTCGAAACATACATCAAAAGAATGAAGTCTGGGATGCCTAATTTTTCTTAGTTTTTCACAGAATGGATTAACATCCTTATGCGAGGCAAGGCAATACCAGCCTGCCATGCATTTGCGTCCTTGTTGAAATTTGCTCAAGAGGTCACATATTTATATTGGTGTAGTTGATATTGATCGTGTCTGATTGCAGTCCCAGGTGAGCAGAATGGGAAGTTCTAGTTGGCGTGCATGTTTCGGTAGCCATCGGCTGAGCACTGCAACTGGCAACGCTGAGTAATTGGTTTATGATAGACACTGTTGCCGTGGCAACAAACTAGTTTATTTTGATGGTACACAGGATATTCTTGATGCAAGGCTGATTGTGCATGAGTTTACCCCTGGTGATGAACTTGTCATAGTGATGAATTTGTCATCACAGGATAAGTGAACACTTTTGAATATAATGAAAGTACACATTTCATTTTTAGTGAAGGCTCCATTATTAAATATATAGTACACAACATGATGACCTTTAAATTTGTCAGGTTTTAAATTCGTACAGTATTTATGGAATCAATTAATCGTAATCTGACTGAAGTTTCCATGAGTACATGTATGTGACAGTTGTACTTGCAAATTATATAAAAGTTCTCTTTCGTTTTGAAGTCAGTGATACTCAACATATCAAGATGCTCATGCACAAAGTAATATTTACATGTACTGTACATGTAGATACCTCAAATATATTTTCTAATCATAATTGAAATGCAACAGATAAGAAGGGTTCCCAACAGAATTTTCTTTACCCTTGGTCCAAAACTGTTTTAGTGGCAAACCATCCCAGGGCAATGGTTTTAGGGAAACAAAAGCTTTTTGGCTGTTTGAAATAAGCTTTTACATGTACATGTACACTGTGTACACTGTACATACTGTACTGTACATGTAATTTATTTTAACCCTAGCCTAATGAAAATCTACCCTTCGTCTTTCTTTTCTTGAGTCTCTCACGCTTATCTGAGTACATGTATGAAGTGTTTAATTAGTGTGGAAGCCCTGATTATCTGTAAAATTGTTACAAACCCTCTTTATTTTGCCTCATTTTCACTCGTTTCAGGAAACTGTATGATAGTGAGGCACTCCAAGACTTTGACCGATCAAGCGTTTTCCTGGACAAGGAGTTCAAGACTCCAGAATGTTTCACGGTAAGCTTATCTTCATGTTTTTTAACCAAAAAAAGCAGTATTTTCTGTTGAAAAGTATAGTTCTTGCTTCATGTGGCACAGAATCACAATTCCGCCAATGTCTTTATTAAACAGGAGGTCCAGATTTGACGTAAAATAAAGTACCCTCCATGTTCAAGCAATTACTGTTGTTTTAACAACTGGAAAAACTCTTCTACTCTTTGCAAACTTTAATATAGCTGTAAATCCAGAACCAGGAAGGGGCTGTTATTCTATTTTTCACTGGAGTTTGGGGGAATACGAAAATTGCTACATGTATCTATGCAGTATGCAGCATTGACAACAAACTTTCTTTTCAAGGTATGGAATGGCGTGAAATGTATAGATTATCGAGTGGATTTGTACCACTGCACCAGATCCTTTTTTTACATTTTAATTCATGTAGTGTGGTGTGCTCCCTTTATTTTATTTATATTTTTTTCTTACTACTTTGTATCAATATTTGTTTCATTTTCTATTTTTGATGTATACGGTTTGATTATTTGTAGCCCCATCTGTACTTTTTATCCTTTAATTTCCCCAAGGTACTGAACATGTAGGACTGTCAAAGTTGTGTGCCCTTTTAGAGTATATTTGTAAATCTAAAATGTCAAGGTGGACTTACATGTACAGTAGAGTGCTAGGGAGTATAATTAGATATAACCTGTTGTCCATATCTACATCATACATGATATTGCCTCTCCTGTGGCTTAAAGGCCAAGTCCACTCCAAAAATAATTTGCTTTTAATACATGCAGAAAAACAAGAGAAACAGAGCCAAAAAAAAATGAGTAAAATCGGATAACTGATATGAAAAGGAAGTTATGATTTTTTGAAAAAGTATGGAACAATGGAAATCACTACACAAAATGCCAATTTGGTTATCATTGCCTCACTATTTTGCCTTATATATTTTTATCCCATTAATCAATTTGTCCTTAGTAACTGGAAGATTGCATTGAATTTCGTAATTACAAAAAATGCAAGCATTTCAGATGACTCCTGTGCATCGATATTCCTTCTTTTTTTAAACAAAGCCAATTTATTTTTATCCCCATAACCTTTTGCAACTCCATGCATTATTGAAGCACCCTCGATCATACTGTAGAGGCGTTTTTCTATTGTTGAGAGTGATATTAGCTTGCCGGTATCCAATTAGCTATTAAAAGCACTTTCAATATGGAGGCCATTTTTCATAGACAACTAATAGGTTTTGCATAGTAGTACATGTACTACTTGAAATGACAATTAAGAGAGCAATATTTGATAAATTACGCTAATGGAATTGCCCAGATTAATTCATAATTGTGATACATACTGTAGAAGGTCAATTGATCCCTTTTGGGTACCGGTATTACTTTAAATTTAACATTCATTGGCACTTGATGGGATTATTGTCAAGTGATCACTATCAAGGGATGAATTAAAACACAACATTATAAAGGTCCATGTCCTTTTTTATAATGTTGTGGTTGTACATGTATGTTCATCAATTTATGGGGTGTCTGAGAAAGTTATGATCATTTTTGTGAAATGTAGCATTTTTCAATTATTACAAGGATACAAAGTAGTGTGTTGAATAGCACCAGTGCAACATACATGTAAGTGTATACCTGGGGCCTGAATCATGAGTATTTAAGGCATTATAGGCCTGTCTCATCAGCTCAAGTTTGCCAAATATAGTAACCCGCTATTTTAACTATCCCGATCGAAAATTAGCCAGTTAAATTGTGACTTTATCGGCCCACAGTTGCAATTAGAGGGATATTTGGTCAAGAAAGCCTTGTTTTCAAAATATCCCTCTATTTGGGAAATAGCGGGCTAATTTTTACCCGTCTGAGCTAGTTTATGATGAGCATAGTGGTCTGGTGAAGAGTCAAGACGCAATATCGAGTTTCGGGATAATTTCCCAGAGTCTGAAAATAGCGGGCTATTGGCAAACTCGAGCTGATGGGGACAGGCCTAGTGACTCGTTGGGTATGTAGTGATGCTCCTGACCCCATGATAAAGACCTCCTTCTCAAACCTGGATACTCCATGCACAACAAACCACAAACCCCAAGAGTAGTAGCTTCAAAACCCCGCCCCTCTCTTTCTCCTTCAATCATGATATGTCACAATGGAAAAGGACTTCATTGGGAATAGCAATGCCGTGTTAAAGAGAGGTGTTCATGGTAAACCGCACTCGAACTATTGAAACTGGGTTGCAACGCCTACTGCCGAGATAGCTCGTAATGAAACAAGCTACTGTATTATTTAAAGCAGTCTGCTCAAACAGACTTGGTTTCATGATGATATTAAAAAATGTTTTGTTCCCCTTTAGTAATGCCTATTTTCCTAGTTGCTCATGGTGAATTTACTTGAATGTGACGTGGTAGAGTAGTAGTTCATATTCTCTCAATATGAATGAGTTCACATCTTTCTGCATGAGCGCTCCAAAAATATGATTTATTAATGTAGTAGTTACAGAACATGGGAATAAGAATATCATTATCCTGGTCACAATTTTCATTCACCCATTTTCCTAGGTAATTTTCTTTGAACTCAGCCATAAAAGACACTTGCCCACTTCATATACATAGTTGAAAAATGAGAGTTGCTTTGAAATTGCAATCATTGTCATTAAGGACACTGTATCCATGTGAAAATGATCATTATTTTCTGGAATAGCACTTCCTATTAAACAGCAGCATAGGAAATTACTCTTGTTGATTAAAAACTTGATATCCTGCTTCGGAGTAAACACAGAAGCCTTTCTATTTTCCAGAAAAAATAAAGAGCATTTATGCAGGAAATTACTCTAGTTCCTCTAATATCCCCTTTCTTTTTTAATTTACTAGAGTTCCTTTTATCCCCTTTCTTTTTTAATTACTTGAGGTCCTTCTATCCCTTTTTTATAATTACTTGAGTTCCTTTTATCCTTCTTTTCATTTTGAAATTTGAGAAAATGTGAAAAAAATGTGGGTCAGGTCATGATTCACCATAATGGTTGAGCATTTTGTGCCAGCTACACAGAAAATGTTCTGTTTTTTAACAAAATACTGGGGTATTGTAATTTACAGTCTCTTACCTCAGACTACAATTGTACTTATCGATGTGCTTCTGACAAATAGGATGATATTCTAAACAGGGTTAGAAACCAAGAGATATGGAGATAGATTGAGAGAGAGAGATAGAGAGAGAGATTGAGAGAGAGAGAGAGAGAGAGAGAGAGAGAGAACAAGAAAGGGAGAAAGGGAGACAGGTAGACAGAAAGAAATGCAAAGAAAGAAACAGAGTGCAACACAGAGAATTCAAAAGAGAGAGAGGAGAGAGAGAGAGAGAGAGAGAGAGAGAAAAGAGAGAGAGAGAGAGGGAGAGAAGAGAGAGAGAAATAGAGAGAGAGAGAGAGAGAGAGAAAGATACAAATGCAAACTATACTATGACCAGGGCTCGATCAGGACTCACCATTAATAACACCTCCTTGTATACACGTAGCTGGATAGCACCAGCCCCGGAAAAGAATCGTTTGACGTAAATGTTTCCATGGCAACGACCCAGGGGAAGACTGGAATTCAAAGGGACAGACTTCTATTAATATGCAGACGCTATGCAAGACTCGGTTGATATTGATAAAACTATTATATACAATCATAGAAATGCTTTGGATTTTTCTCTGCTCTTGTCTGCCTCTATTAGGTTTCCCCCTCAAGAAATTGTACCAAAGGTTATGTAGTTCATGTTCAAAGGCAATAGTCGAGCTACAAATAGACCTGTCCCATAAGAAATCCACTGGAGAGAAAAAAATTGAAAAGCCTTTTAATAGCAAACCGAAGAGCTTTTCATTCATGATTTCATACCTAATTCTCATGATATGTTGAATATTGTCGACATAAGAATATATTAAAGCTGGAAGCAAACTATTTGTTCTGGATATTATTTGGATTCCATTTTCAAATCTCAAGTATAATCAAGGGGCTACTGTACAGCAATGTGCATACCGGTAAATACATTAATACCTTAATATGCTAGAAAAATATGAATTTTCAAGTTAAGTAATCATGCATTTAAGAGAAATTTCCTTCTTTTGTCTGTCACAATTTTCTGTGTCTGTTTGGCAAATTTATTTTTTAAAGGGAGAAAAAATGGTCAAGAAGTTTAATATTACCTACAAACTTTATTTTTAAATAGATAATGGTATCCAATTGTCCATGTACATGTACCTCTGCTTTGGAATTGAATGTGTACCATCGCCAAGAAGTTCACTTTCAATAGTTTTAAGAATCTTGATTATTTCCAAATATTTTAAACAAAGGGTAGTATTTTACATGATTGTATTCCTTTTGATTAATCAATGAAATTAGTTTAACACAAATTTGTGTTGTTTAGTACACACCAATCGTCAGAACCAAAATCATGTCTACATGAACATGCACACCTCCATGTTATAAACAGTACAGTAAATTTGTTCATGTACATATCTGTACATGTATGCATAAGCTGGACAAAGTTAGCGTGACCGATTAGGTCACTTTTCGGTCATTGAAGAGGAAATACTGTGGCTTGCCTTCTAATCGCTTCGGTTAATCCATTTTGTGTGCATCAGAGTGTGCCGTTTCTTTTCCATTCACAAGAAAGGGATGATGATATGGCAAATAAGGAAACGTGTCAAAATAATAACCTGGAGGCCTTATCGTAGGCCTACAGTGTACTTGTCCATGTACTGTATGCCTTTGTTTTGTACATAGTGTACTTTCTAAATGTATACACCTGTAGGTTCAATGGAGATCCTGTTTAGACTTTAGGGTAAGTTACATGGTAGGGTCCACATCAGAAACGGGAACATTGATGAAAAAATTGAATAATTTAAAAGTTCATACTTCAATTGCATTCATATTCTAATAGAATGATGATGTTTGTTTTGGAGATCCTTTTCTCTACATTAAGAGAGTAACCCCCAAAGTAAATATTATATATTTTTTTTATTTACTTATTTGATTGTTTATTTACTTATTTGGTTGTTTATGTAGTACCGGTATATATTCTTATAAAACAGGGTAGCGCCTTCAGTAGTCACGGTACTGTCATCCTATGGGGCCCTGCATAACATAAACAATACAAAGATATGACCCATGTCATAATTTCATAAGGACAAAATAAAGCAGTGTTACTTGTCAGTCACTCTACAATAGAAAGTATTCTTTGTATCCAGTGGAAAATGCATCTTTTATTATTTAAAAGTACATTGAAACTCCAGCACTGTTTGAAGATATATATAATGTACTCAAAGACATGTACAACATGTACATGTATGTAATTGCACTTCACGTAAAGATGTACACGTACTTGATACCTTCCGACTCAAGTTTCCTTTGTATCCAGTGGAAAATTGCATCTTTTATATTTAAAAAGTACATTGAAAACTCCAGCACTGTTTGAACTGAAGATATACTCAAAGACATGTACATGTAATTGCACTTCATGTAAATACATACATGTACTAGGAAAATTGCATCTTTTATTATTCAATAAGTACATTGAAAACTCCAGCACGGCTTGAAGATATACAGTGTATATGATATACTCAAAGACATGTACATGTACATGTAATTGCACTTCATGTAAATACATACATGTACTAGGAAAATTGCATCTTTTATTATTTAATAAGTACATTGAAAACTCCAGCATGGTTTGAAGATCTATAATATACTTGAAGACACATAATTGCACTTCACGTAAAGATGTACATGTACTTGATACCTTCCATGCTTCCAACTCAAGCATTTCTACGAATGACTGTGACGTTTAGCGTGTCTTCCTTTCAATTTTGGGTGCGTTTACAGTACTTTTTTTGGCCTAGAATCAGCGTTATTTAACCGTGACATCCCGCAAATCACGTTCTTATTGTGGGGTTCGATATAATATGTACATATAGAAACGCTGATTCTGAGTGGCAAAACATGATAAACGCACCCTTTGATTGGGAGGAGGCCCTCGATCATGATCGGTATATCGATTTCCATCTCATCTCCATTCAGATGGAGAGTAATAGGCCCACCCACAAGAGCCGTTCACAAGTGCGTGCAAATTAAGAAGGTTTCGTTGCGGCCGTCGTCGTTGCATATCAGTGGCAGACATGAACGGTTTGCAAAGTGCAAGCGACGTCTTCGATATCGGTTTCGTAGCTGTATTCTTAGATATGTTGTGGTGATGGAATTACTTTCATGCATGTTCTTATTGCATTCTGTAATCATCGGCACTGCATTTTGTTTAAAAAAAACTGATGATTTATTAATATAATTTTAATAAATTATAAGTGATCTACGATACATGTACATGTGTACATGTTTAACATGCATAATTTCTGCATTATCTTTAATATTTGTCAATTGTCTCTTTTTTTGACAGCTTTTTAATAGTCTATAGTCATTCATCTTGAGAGGTGATATTTACTACATATCCATACTAAAGGGATTTAGTGAAAATAGGATTTCTTGGAGAGCCAGAAAGTGGTCCGGTTCATTGATTTAGCACCTTTCTGGTTCTCAGCATTGTAGGTGATGCATTTGATTCCTTGCCTATAAAACCATTTGCACATTTTTCTGTAGTAAGGAACTTAAAGGACCAAGCCAGGTTTAGGGATACACATGTACATGTACATGTACATACATCTTTTGAAGACGTCTTTGACGCTATACAAACTGCATGGTAAACATTGGTTTGTTTGATCTGCTGTGGTTTACGCCAACCTACAACCATTCCCATGCTTTTACATCAACAGTACAGATACAGTCTCCCAGATAGGGCTTGTATCTGTAGGCCTCTATATAGGCCTGTCTTCATCAGCTCGAGTTTGACCAGTTAATTTGTGTCTTCATCAGCCCGCAGTTGCAATTAGTGGGATATTTGGTTGAGTAATGTTGGTCTTGTTCCAAAATAAACCGCTATTTGGGAAATAGAGGGCTAATTTGTGCCAGTCCGATCGGGCTACATGTATTTTGTGGTGAGCATATCGGTCTAGTGAAAATGCAGCTTCGGGATAATATCCTGAGTCTGAAAATAGCTGGTTATTTGGCAAACTCAAGCTGATGATGACAGGACGAGTGGGGCCTAGATTTATCCAAATTTGGTATGGAATTCCGTTATGAGAGAAACTCAAGGCACGGTAGCTCAATGTACAGTGTAGTTCATAATTGCTTATCATGCAGTGAATTCTTTAATTTTACCAGCATATTAAAATGCAGCAGAAACTTTCTGGAAATGAAATTATCTGGAAAAGCATTTAACTCGCATCATTCTGTTCAGAGCCAGTGACAGTTCAGTCTCTGTTGAAGTATATACAGATGTATGAATTCGTCACCGTTTTCACGAAGTGTCCCAAGAGCGTTTTAGCGTACAGAAACAAATTTTGAGATAAACGCGTTTAAAGTTTCACTTTTTTACAATCGCTGTTTTCACGGGGAAAAAGTATGTGATGGTATTCATTTTTTTGGATATCTTGATAGTACACTATCTACAGAATGAAATGATATAAGTTTTACGTGGAAATAATGTTTATTTAAACAATAATTAGACCTCAATCACAGAGGACAGTCAGAGGACGGTTCGTGAAAACGAAAAACTTGACATCCACGCTTAGGCTCGTCTTCACGTAGTGGCCCCGCAGCTTACGCGGCCCCGTTTCCCCTGTTGGTTATGTGAAATTTCGTTTTTACGAACCGTCCCAGTTGACGTGCGCGCTGTGCAAAGCAATGCCCATTTGCGTACCCCCCCCCCCCCACCCATAAAACTATATTTGTCATACCTAGCTGATTCTGTTTCCTCGAAATCACAGCACTATATTCAATGTTAGACTCGCATCACTCTGCCCCATCCAGAAATTCATCTTGAATCCTTCACATAATGCAGGAAATGCAATAATTTGTTAGTGACTCTGAATGCCTGTTATGGAAATTGTATATACTGTCCTGCTTCATATGTGATTTTAGTTTAATTGAATATTTTTGTCAATGATCAATAGCATATTTGTATACTTTTTGTTTGGGGGGGGGGCACACCAAGCACTATGTACAACTTCTTCTCAATTCTTTCTTTCTCTCTCTCTCTCTCTCTCTCTCTCTCTCTCCTCTCTAGCTCTCTCATGCAAACAAGAACATCCCCCTCCTTCTCTTTCTTTCTCTCTCTTTATCTCTCTTTTTGTCGTTTATTACCCCTCTTTGTTGTCACATAAGTCATTATCATTTTAGTACATTACTCTCTCAGACACATTTCTCCTATAAACAAATCTAACTAAATAAGAATAAATGTTGAATAGCACAAAGCAATCAAATCTTAAGATTAATACTTTCGTCTTGATTATGACTGCATTTATTTCTTTGCAATATACAGTAACTGGAATCGTTTTTGTACAGTTCATTTCACAATTACATGTACAATCATTAAAAATTGATAAATCATAATAATAATAATAATAATAATAATAATAATAATAATAATAATAGCCTAATAGTTCACTCAAAATTTTATTAAACCGAAACGGAAATTCTTTTTGCCCAATTGATCGTGAGCCCGGCAGCCACTGAGCAGCGCCAGATCGACGTTGCTCTATCCCTTATTGTTGAACGCCAAACAAGGTAGCAACAACTCCCATCTTTTAACGTCTTTTGGTATGACGCGGCCGGGATTCGAACCCACGACCTCCCGGTTGTGAGGCGGACGCTCTACTGACTGAGCCAACACTCCGGTGTAATGAATCATGTTTGAATATCAAAATTGCAACTTATTTAACTGTAGCCCACACTCATGGCAAAAAATACAACATGGTAGCTCTATAAAGAAGGGGGGGGGGGGTACCGGTGTTCTTGGAAAATTCTGAAATGCAAATTCACAAGGCCACTGATTAGGGGGAGGGAGGGTTACAATATAGTTTGAGTACTGCCACAATGGAAGAGGAGCTTAAAAAAAATCATTAATTATTTATATTTTTTGTGTATGACATACAAAGTTGTCAGCTGCATACATCCCTGTTGCCTCATAAAATTGCAGATCTGAGATTTACATAGATGTTGTAATCTAACTTTTCAAACATTATTTCTTATTCTATGTCTGATTTCTTTCAAACTTTCACCAGTCTATTACACTCATTTTGTTCTGCTTTAACATAAATCAACTTGTTACAGAGGTTGGATTGCCCTTTGAAATATAAACTATTAGCAATTAATATTAGTCCTACATGCCAAATCCTTCTAAAAACATACAACACTGTAAGTTTATGGGATTAAAACTTCTTACATGCAACTTTCATATGATGGATGACCTTAGTCTGTGCTGTTCTTAGTGAGGAAGGAGGGAGGTTGTCACTGTCAAAATAATAATAACAATATGCTCAAGGCGCTCCAACTATTACCCTGGCTCTGCTAGGCAGCCGCTTTCGGTGCTCACAGCAGAGTGGCAAATTTAGATTAATATCTTGCCAAAAGACATTACTGCTGTGGCGGGACTTGAACCATGGATCCTGTGATCCACAGTCCAACGACTTATCCACTAGACCACAAAACCTCTAAATGGAGGCACATTCGGAGTCAGAGTCTCCTGTCAGCGTTGCAGTCCCCGTCCAGTCCACATCCATCTAGCTCATAGTGACTCTTGAACCCACCCTAAGCCTTCCGTTATATCGAAGATCTCGTTTCTTGCCACAATTGATCTCTCCATCACGATCCCACCTAACAATAACTTCTGTATTTTTGTCCATCCTAAGAGGTAATTGACAAAAGATTGTTACAATCAAGTTATCAATAACTCTGTTCAATGATAAGTAGAGAGGACATAGTAATTTTATTTCATAAAACAGGAATGAAACCTAGAAACGGGTATTAAATAAAAAGTGGTTTTACTCTGTCCTAAATTGATATTTTGAAATATACAGTAACTATAAATGAAAATCAGAATATGAATTTAAGGTCTACTTTTAACAGAAAAGAGCGAAGCATGCACCGAGTAGAAAAGCAGATTTGCAATTGTTTTATAAATACTGTTGCACCATTTATTCACTTAGAATGCAATTTGTGACATTGTGGCACTAAATTCCTGGTAGGAAATCAGAGTGGTATAACTCCTATTTAAAAATATGAATGGCTTTCCTGTGTTCAACACTTTTAGGTTGGGAGGATTGGTATATTGTTTCAGTTAAAAAATTGTGACAGCATACTCCATGGTCTGTATGGTACTATTGTATTCCATTTCAATAAAAAATGTAGCGGACATCTATACAGTATTTATCAACCACTGAAGGTGATATGATAGGGTTCCATATGTATTACTGGGTTTGTTGTCAATCATTGAATTGATATGTTCATATCTAAAGAAGATATAAAATCTGCAGGTTATCAGCAAATTTGTGATGAATGTTATAAACCCAGTAAGTAACAATGAATGCACTTGCATGTACTTGTCTGCCAGATTGAAAGAAACTTTATTATATCAACTTTCAGAAAGACCACTCAATAAGGATCAATATTCAAAGTTAGTCAAGCGTATAATATCATTCATTATTATTTATGGTGCAATTATCGCATAAAGACACGCGTGATGTAGCAGCGGGTAATATAAGAGCATATTACCGTACGTTTCACATCTGGGTACTTGTACATGATACATGTATAAGTGATACTTGAAATATAAGAAGAGGATAATTGAGAATAATAACATTGACTGGCTCACATTTTGGTTGATATGAGACAATATTGCCCTCAACATAACCATATTGCCCTCGTCTTCGACCCGGCCAATATGATTATATTTGGGCAATATAGTTTCATATTCCCATTAAAGCCAGTCAAAATTATAAAATATTTCATATATAAACAATATAAAATGTAACAAATTAGGTTTAAACTTACCTTTGATGACTGAGGGGACTTAGCTATTCAGTCGGTCGGTCTGTCAGTCGTTTGGTCTGACCTCCAAACCGTGGTATTTGAAAAGCAATCAGTTCAAGGGCAGAGGGTGAAGATGCTGGGTTAAAAGGAGAATATATTTGATAACTCATGATGGATGCAGAAAACCCCCAACACAGCTCGTACAGGAAGCTATACTGGGATGATATGATTTTAAAATCGCATCTCTTCAAAAAATTACAGGCATCAGGTTAATGCATATTATTTTTTTTTTTCTGAGATGAAACAACACAAATTAGTGTAACTCTCCTTCTTCACCCCCTTCCCCCTATGAAAAAAAGACAATAAGAAAAATACAAAATATAAGATGAAGCCTGTCATCTTGTAAGTTGATACACCATAAGTAGCTCAAACATGACATGTTGGCAAAATGAATGTCTGTCACGCACATTAAAGAGCGAGGAACTTGTGTTTGATGCCTTACAATACCATCAACTGCCTAAAACCTTTCAAAGCAAGATCAGTCAGGGGTTTTAAAAAAATAATTGAGTGTTTGGGAACCCGTCATCTTTGGAGGGCCCTCCTAGCACCCCCACCACTTTGCGCACATTAGAAAATTACTTCCCAGCATAGTTTTGTCCATGGATTATTGTTATGTAAATGAAAATAGTTCATTTGTTTGCTAAAGATTGACCCCTCCCCCTCGCCAGCCCAACTCCCAATCTATAACTTTTCTTTTGGAGCTAATTTCCTTACCACACATACCTTGTCAATTTGCTAAAAGCTCTCCACATCAGCTGCACAAACTCCTACATGGACATCAACCACTGGGGGTGCTAGTGGTCCCTCATCTCTTGCGTATCCCAGCTGTCTATTCTACTGGTAAACTATGAAAAAATATGAAAAATATTTGTTTAATTTTTCTGCATTTGTTCAAACAAGCCACTTCATCTCACGGTTGGATATCCCTTTAACTTATTAGCAAGCACATCATTATCTAAAGCAATTAAGACGACCTTGCATAATTAAGTCTCAGTCTTGCAAACATGGGATGAAACAACCCAAATTAGTGCTAACTCCCCCCCCCCCCCCCCCTCACAACGTGACGGACATGTGCGCTATACCAGAAGAAAGTACGGTAGTACTATTATTATAAGCAAACCCCCCCCCCCCCCCCAAACAACAAAAAGCCTGTCATCCTCTAAGTCCAAGGCAAAAGGTACACCTTAAGTAGCTCAACCACAACTTTGGTGGCAAAATGAAATTATCATGCACAATAAAGAGGGAGTAACTTGTAGTGGACGTCTTCCCATACCATCAGCTTTATCTTTGTCTTTAAAGCAAATTAATTAAGAGCAGGCATGCGTTTATGAGCATAAAGCCGAGTGTATAAGAAGCCGCTCCAGCCTATGCTAGGTTGACCCCCCCCCCCCATCCATTAAGTACCTCAACAACATGCTAAAAGCTCTCCACGTCAAACTCCTACTTAGACATCAGCCACTGGGCCTGGGAGTGCTAGTGATGGTCCTCTCAGCCGGCTATTCTACTGGTAAAACCAGGAAGAAACATGAAATGTATTTGCTTCATTTTTTCTGCATTTGCTGAAATTAAGCCACTTCATCTCAATTCTCATGGTTGGATTTCCCTTTAAATTATTAGCAAGCACAAAATTGTTTATTCATTCAAGCATACCTGGCTTTACTATTCAAGTCTCAGTCTCGTATTTATAACATGAACATGGAAAGAGCTTACGAGGGGGTCATGTAACATTTAAATCTAGTACTAGGAGTACGTAAGTACTAACGTAGTAGATCTAGACTCTAGGCTCGCGCTCGAGCCTAGACTCAACTCCTACGTCGCAATTGCCATTTTATGATTTGGCATTGTCATATCAACATTGACATTGAATTTTAACCAAAATGTGCCCTTGGCTAATTGGGCCTTGCCTTGGAGGCTTGGGCTGGTACTGCTTAATCAGTTAACATAGTTAATGTAAAATTATTATTAATGATATCTCCCCCTGGCCTGGGCTTCACTCTTCAGCGAATTCGCCTTGTGACTCGTGACATTGTTGTTATTGCATGTAACTGCTCCTGCACTTATACATGTTCAAGCTTATCTAAGATACTGTGTTACTTAATACTTAGTAGCACTCTGTTGATAGTACTACTAGTACTAGTAGTAGGCGAGTACTACTATTACTAGATCTGCATACTAGTAGACCGACAATACAACTCACGCAGAAAACAGTGCGTGGGACTGTAATGACCTATCTCGCCATTTCGTAACTTGATATCCGTTTAGAATATGAGTTTGTTTATACTGCTACAGACGATATTATTGAACGATGCATAACATTGTTTTAAAATAAGTGAAAATAATTACCTAGGGCTGTCAGATTCCTCTAACAATTCCGCCAGAAGCACCGGCATCTGTGACAAAGGCTTCGCGGAGCCGGTTCGTGTACGATTATCAATAGCAGACTACATTTGCGCGTAAGAGGCCACTTCGTGAAAACGGTGTTTGCCAGTTGTACCGCTTGTGATACGTTTCGTGACGTCACGTATGACGTAATTAAGCAAGATTAGACTTTGAAAATTACTGAAGTTGTAGACATTTATATACATTGCTCAAAAACGGTCAAAACTCGAAATTAAAAATTTCAACGATTTTGGCCACTGAGGCCACTTCGTGAAAACGGTGACGAATTATTCCTCTCTACCTCCAAATACGCCATATTACATGTACATGAATATTGCAGTTGTGTTTTGTACACACACAGTACTGTATTTGCGTCAAGTCAACTACCTCAATGTATGATCATCTTCCATTTTTCCCTTTCCTGGCTATTCTATATTTTCTAGTAAATCTTTTGGGCAGAATATCATTTATTTGTAAGTTTTGAACATTAATTGTGAGAATGAGATTTTTACAGTTTTTGTGAGAATGTATTATTTTTCTGTCATTACCAGACAGAAATCAAGACTACACGAACAGCATCACCTCAATTTTGATGCTGTCAATTTGAATTCAAGGAGCTGATATTTAACTCAAATGAGAGCTTGTTCAATGTGAAGTGCTCGAGCAATCATAGATGTCACTATAACATGGCAAGAGAGATGATTTCGTCTGCTCGAAGTCTGGAGGGCATTATCTTGTGTGATTTAAAACAGGGCTTGTGCCCTTCTAGCCCCAACAGATGATTTTTATCTGCTTTAAGTCGGAAGGACATTATCTTGTATCATTTGACACTGAGTTACTGTCCTTCTTGCTGTCAATTACAAAATGTAACTGATGATTTATTCCTCTTTGCGGCTTGCATGCTTGCTCCTTCTTTCTCATGCATCCATGCACGCTCCCTACCAGTTTGATTCAATGATTGACTGTATACATTTACAATTGTACATGTAGCATTCCAAACATTCTTTGTCCACTACGATAGCATTGGTGTCTAACCATTTATTCCTTCTTTTTTTACAAATAATATCTCATTTAATGACTGCAGGTATTCGTCCCCCCCCCCCCCCCCCATTGTATGGCAGCTTGAAATTGGAAAGGATTTTTCATCACATCATTTCTAATATGCTTGAGATATATTTTACTTGATAAATAATTGGCATTGGATTATCAAAAAATATTGTCAATTTTTTTTTTTTAAATAGATTTCTAATCCATGATATATACTGTATACATGTATAAATATATACATGTATAGCAGAAGATACATGCCAATATTGGTATACTGTACAAGCTGTAGGCTGCCATGTAGGTGTACAAATACTGTACTTGTATACATAAACTATACATCTCTCTGTTTACGTGCATATCGTACATACACTGTAGGCTATATTACATATACACGCCTTTATTATGATTGCCAAGGCCACTTTGAATCTGCTTTCAAAGTCATGGGCCGATCATTTCTGCTTTACATATACACTGTATATCTGGAGGAAGCTGGAAATGGTGATGAGGATGAAAATTCAGAAAGAGACACAGACGTTTGATTGATCAGTCAATCTAATGTTGAAGCTGTCAAGTGAATGGACATTTTATTACAGGAGGAGAGTGATCATTAGGCTTGTCCTCATCAGCTTGAGTTTGCCAAATAACCCGCTATTTTCAGACTCAGAATATTATCCCGAAGCTCGAAATTGCGTCTTCGCCAGACCGATACGCTCATCACGAACTAGCTTGGACGACCAAATACCCCACTAATTGGAACTGCGGGCTGATGAAGGTGCAAATTAACTGGCTAATTTGCAATCAGATTAGTTAAAAAAGCAGGTTATTTGGCAAACTGGAGCTGATGAGGAGAGGCCTAAATGGTATCTGAAAGATGTGAGGACCATCATTCAGAGGTTTGCATTTTTGTTAGGCTGAACTGACGGTACTGTAAAACAAAAAAACTATGTGGCTTGAAATTGCGAATCTTGAGCGTAGCCATTTGAGCTGACAGACATTTGTATCTTTGACTTTGGCCATATTTAGATATTTGTTGAATTATATTTTGATATCACATTTCATATATTAGATGAAAGTTTGAGCATATGATGATTGATCAAAGTTTCTTTTCATAGAAATCAAGAATCAAGGGGGAAGGGGGAGGGGGAAGGGGGGGGGGTCAAGTGTGTGTTTCTCACCCGCTCTCTACCCCACAAGTATGTACCGGTACATTGTAGGTCTTATTTAAATGTACTAAATGAGCTTAATTGAGCTAACAAAGACTGACATGTCTATGACCATTTTTAAGAGACCATTTAGTAACATAATAAAATTAGGTGCAGTATGAAAGAAGTACATGTATACTGAATAACATTGAACTATGCCTCACACCAAACATCAACAACGTCACTCATCTGGGGAATTGTTTGTTTAACAGTACAGAAAGGAGCTGTAGTAACACTGTCATTGACGTCAATATCTCTAAGTTTTGAGAGGAAACATAGGCCTCTAAATATAGACTGCAAATAGATGTATGATATGATGTCCTATGGTTCAATTTATTCAGGAAAAACAAGCGAGATAAGTTTGTATATTTGTTCTGCTCAGTCGCATAGGTTGCCTTGGCGACCATTGACTGTCGCTTTAATGATTCAGCATTATCATGGTCTGGAAGTTATGAATTAATTTTCATTTAAATTATGTTGCATTGAGGGAAATCTTTAATACACAGTGTTGCTCAGGGGCATGAGTGTAGTAAACAATTATTTTTGATGCATCCAAGACCCGAAATGTTGCGGATAAGTGCCCAGCAGGACAAATCTGTTTCTTCCTGTAAAATCCATGGTCTACTTTTGGAATAATTTCTTATTGAAAGTTTAAAGGTACTACACTGTACATTGTGTGTCTCATTTGCAGGCCAACAAAATGAAAAGGTTAAATTCCACCAGCTTTTGAAAGATAATATTAATTTAGAACTTCCCTCAAAATGAAAGGGCTTGAAAACGTCTTTTTGTGAGCAAATAATGACCGTTAGTTGTCGATTCAACTTGACTTTACATAATTTGAGGTGTTGCCTTTCCTAGATATGAATCTGTAGCGTGTGCAGATAACATGCGTAACAACACGTGAAATTTAAACAAAAAATGTAAAGTTATGGAAGGATCTGATGTGTTATTAAAGGCAGCCCTATAATTAAACTGTACATGTACCTCCACACCTTCACATGCATTTTCAATAACATAATTTTAATTCTCAGTATTTTATCATTCCAATTTTGCACTGATCTATGTAATTTATCATTGTGATTCAATTTCTAGACCTGAATTTTTGTTTTGAGTGAGGAGTAACTGGGTTTCAAAATGTAAAACTCATGATTTTTTCGAAAATGTAAAGAAAAAGGAAAAAAAATCATGATATGCAAGTGTTACACTTGGCAGAAGGCTTTATCCTGATGTTGTTTGTAATACATCATTTTATAAAAGATAAACCAACAAATTTCATCTGTTGTTGGAAGCCTTTTCTTTTCTCAGGCCATGGCAGAATAATTATGGTTTTAGAATAAAAATGCAGAATCTCTGGCACTTGGCCCCTTTAATAACGTAGTACTTTGAAATTAATCATGAAGAGGCTTAAGTTCCTTTGCAGACAATTTCCATTTTTAGTACTCTTGATACATTTTCCAAACATTCTTGAGCAGAGTGAACATTGTCATAATGCATTAAAGGGGACCAACGATGATAGAATATTTTGCTCTGTAATTATGGGGTTCCATATTATGATATTCTGGACGTGGGGATCTGAGGTATACCTTCAATACTGAAACTACATTCTTAGTAAAGGTAAAATTGTTGTTACCAAAATAATGTCAAGTTGTCAACACTAATTCATGTTTAATTTTCTTTTACTTTTAACTGTTTTTCATCTGTTGCTTTTAATACATAATATTGTTCCTCGTCATTGGTTGTTCTCTTTTTGTATTCATTTTAATTTTGTTATTCTTTATTATTTTCTGTGATTTTCTTTTCAATCATTTTGTTGTCATGGAACTTCTGTGCATTTCTTTGCTGGAATGAGGCTTTTAGCGGAGAACAGGTTTTTATAGCTTTAGAGCCCTATTCTATGCAAGGGCATACACATGTTTTTACTACTCTACTCAGTAAGACGTATTTTGGTTCACTGAGAATTAATGTATTTCAATTGCAATATATATTTGCAGACATGATATTTCTACATGTAGCTCGCATTTTGAGTAAAGTACAGTCGCATATGGAACTCCATTCATCAAGATCAAATCATGTTTTCGTGATGGGTCCCCTTTAAGCCAGGTAACCGAGAAAGTAGGGGGAGTTCATAGAAGTAGCTTGTTGGTATCTCTCTTTTCAATCAGAAATGACATTTCCAGCGACCCCAACTTCCCAAGTCAGAAGACGCATAATATTGCATATCTCTCCCGAGAGCACCAGTTGGCAATATGACTATATTTGCCAAGCACGGCCGCCGAATGTATCGGCTTGTTTATCGATATTGGAGCTGATGGAATCTGTATTCTGTACAGTATCAGCTGACTATACACTACAGTACATCTAAATGTTATGTATGGGCTTGTGTGGAATGTGGACTAGTGTCATGATGAAAGAAAAATTTCAGTTCTGGTCACTTCCCCAAACAACAAATATCCTGCGCTTTTGTCACCACAGATTCAGATTTGTAAAGAAATAACACAGGTCTACCAAATGATTCTTAAAGAAAATATTTAAGTGCAGAAAAGTAAACAAGGCTGTGAACATAATTTTCGGTTCTTGTCACAACTCCAAAAACAAATATCCTGCACAATTGTCACCACAGATTCAGATTTGTAATGAAATAACACAAGTCTACCAGATGATTCTTACAGAAAATATGTAATTGCAGAATAGTGAACAAGGACATGAACATTGTCTTCATTGTCCCAAGTGTACATAATCCGGGTTGGTGAATTTGGTCATGCTAGCTGCATTTAATACACTGCCAGCAAAAACTCAGTTTGTTCACATTCTAGAGTTCTCACCTTCTGGAGTTCTGCTACATGTATTTACACTGACAGTTCCCAGTAGTTTTAATGGTACATGTATGTGTAGTTAATAAAATGATGTTTTTTCGAATGGTATTCTTTCTACGATATAAAGGGGTCTTACATGTATATGTGGTTTTCAGCAAGATTTTGCTATTTCACTTTCATCAGGCCGGTGTGATCTTCTCTGTACTATAGTGGTTACTGTTATTTGTCTGTGGTACGATTGTATAGCAGGCAAATGTTGTTTGTATTGTTAATGAATGCATACTTATGTTGGGTCCGGGGCCATGCCTGATGGAATGTAATTTGCATAGACAGCTCATACAGGTGTGCGAGCTAAATTCTGCCAAGAAGACCAGGGCATGGCATCAATTAGTGTGTAATTGAATCATTCTAGCGTGAACTTTCAACCAAACAACTTTTATTTACAATAAAAGTTTGTTGTGTCATGTTATGTTACGACATGACTGTGTTTTATAAAGATTTTCCAGAGTTTTCATGCTCGTTGAGTTTTACCTCTGGTTTTTTATCCTGGACCATGGTCGGTCCGTTTTCCAGTGAAGGAAACGAGAAGAAATGTTTGTTAAACATTCATACTGAATAAACGGCCGGCTCTCAGTAGTCCTTGTCAGGCTATCCCACAATAGTTGAAGTGTATTATTGTGTTATTTGTTTGTATTGGGAGTCAAGAGAGATGTCAGACGAAATAATATGTGAAGTTATAGAACAGACTGGTAACAGATGATAACCATTCATAATGAATTTTTTTTTCTTCAAATTTCCCTCAGAATGAAGTGTAATTGGGAGTATACTCAAAATTGGCTGTTTTCTGATACTCTTAGAAACTCACTCTTATCTATTAAACTGCAATAAGCATATTATTATCAGTTTGTCACTATATTATACTTAAAAATATATCTTCCAAATTATTATGAAAGAAAATATATGTTATTGCAGAGTACATGTAAAACATATACAAGTTTACAATAAAAATGTAAAAGTAGTAACTAGTGCTGTAGTCAAACGTTTAACCGTCCGGTATCCGACCGCCCATGGCGGATTCCGTTTTCAATTGGACGGTTTCGTTTTCCCGATTTTTTTTTTTTTTATTTTTTTTTTTTATAATTTTTTTTTTTTTTTTTTTTTTTTTTTTTTTTTTTTTAAGTTTTTTTTTTTTAAAGTTTCGATTTATGCCCCTCCACCTGGCACTATGCCTGGCAATGTCTCCCAGCTCAGTAATCTGTGTGTTGACTCACCACTCCAAAACTAGAACAACACTCCAATTTGTCTGTCATCTTGGTTTGAAAGTAATCTTTGTAATAGATCTCATCATCTCAATATGTAGTTTATAATAATAATTCATCCAACTTTTTCACAAGGTTCTGTCCTAGGTCCTCTACTGTTTTTAATTTACATTAATGATCTTACACATTCTTCTAAAAACAACATTGTTACTATTATTTGTGACAAGTTCACAAGCACAAATCGGCCCCTTTAAATGCACCTCGCAGTTAAATGAAAGTTGCCGACAGAGTCGGTAAAAAAAAAAATTTAAAAAAAAAACGATTTTTTTTTTTTTTTTTTTTTTTTTTTTTTTTTTTTTTTTTTTTTTTTTTTTTTTTTTTAATTTTTTTTTAAAAATCGTTTAACCGAAAACCGTCCGGTTTTGACTGGCGGTTAAACGGAATTGGAGATATCCGTGATGTTACAGCACTAGTAGTAACACTAATAGTTGTATGTGTTTATACATTACATGTATGTAGCATGATTTTATTCATCTTGCTTTCATATTTATGAAATGACCCTAAGAGCAAACAAGTATCAATTGTCTCCGAAGAAACCTCAAACCTGCATTTTTACTTTGCGCATTGTAGTAGCCTTGGGGCTAATTCATACTCTGTATAGTACCTGGTGGCTTGCAAATGCGGAAATCGTTTGTGATGATCATACTTTGCCATTCACAGTTCCTATTTTCTGGATTTCCTTTTGTTAATAATCATCCTGCGTGAGGAACGGCTTTCAATGCAGTGGCTTTGTTGTTACTTCATGATGCAGAGGGGTGGAAAAAGTGCCCAGAAAGACTTCTTTACTGACGGTGCTTTTCAAATATCTAGGATAAAGGAAGCATACGTGTACTCTTCACTTGAATTCATGTAGAAAAATTGATAGTGACTCAATCTCTCAAAAATGTTTTTTTCTTTTGTTTGATTTTTTAAATATTTTTGCAATACACAAGGACCTTTGTTACATTTTTGCCATGCAGCCATAATTCATTTATACAGTATGTTAAAAAATCACATTGTCTTTTGTGGGTTTTGTTTTTTTTGGTGTTGGAGTTTTCCACGTCATATCTGGACAACCCTTTAGAGTAGTGGGTAAGGAAAATCACTTTATGCTTTCTCAGTAAATGCCCCTATCCTTTGGAACAAATTACCAGCGCACTTTCATAATATTCATTCTCTCGACCAATTCAAGTCCTTGCTGAAAACGCACCTTTTTAATTCATAAATAATATTCTGCAGTTGTGAGTCGGTCAAAGGAGGTGCACACCGTCTTATTTTTTGTTTGTTCGATCCTATGTTTGATCCTATGTTTGACCTCTTGTATGTATGTTCGTTTGATCTCACTCTTATCTTATTTTTTATTATTATATATGCATGATTTATTGAATAAAGAACAGATGTATATAAAGTTGTGTGTTTATTATAAGTTTTGGTAAATAATTGTTAAGTCAGAATATGGTGCGCTTAGAGACACCAGTATTAAGCGCCTTATAAATATTGTTTATTATTATTATTATTATTTATGCTGAAGTATATTTCAATGCTACCACGGTATTAATTATATCTTTCTCTCTTCTGTCTTTTTCTTTTTTCTCTCTGCAGGCATTAGGAAGTTTTTATTTCATTCACAAGTCTCTCAAGGATGCCCAGTGTTATGATTATACAGGTAAGTTTCTAAATCTTTGAGAAAAAGAGATCATTCTAATTATATAAGTCATACATAGTATACAAATATGGAATTAAAAGCCAGGCGAATGATTGTTGTATTTCACATAATAAAAATGATATAATAATAATTTGTTTAAAAAAAACTGCCAGGAGGAGGAAGGAGAAGGGGCTCAGTTTTTAATATTTTTATTTCAATGTCCCTATTAATATTGACATTATATTGGTATAAAAACTGGTAAATTAATTTTTCTAATTTCATCAGAACGTCTCTCAAAATGATGATTTTAAAATGCAAACCCTTAGACTTATAATTCAGAAATCCTCTTTAGTATATCGGTATGTGATTTGAAGGCAAGTGGAATATTTATCTGAATTAGAGATTTTAGTGAGTGTTGCCAATTTAGCCATGGGTATACTGCAACTCCTATTGACATGTACATGGGGGCTAAGCGATGGATGCATCTGTTTAATGTTTAAAAAATGATTGAGGATATACCCACTTTCTGGGATTAAAAATTAAAATATAAAAACAACCTGCCAGTATTGCAGGATAATTGATCAACATGATTTGCAAGCTGTTAGATTATTCATATGTATTGCCTTGTATACATGATTATTTGATACTTTTGGTTGGCTGGGGAGGAGGGGGGGGGGGGGGGGGGGGGGGGGGGGGTGGGGGGGTACGTACTAGTGCTGTAGTCAAACGTTTAACCGTCCGGTATCCGACCGCCCATGGCGGATTCCGTTTTCAATTGGACGGTTTCGTTTTCCCGATTTTTTTTTTTAAATTTTTTTGTTTAAATATATATATATATATATATTTTTTTTTTTATAATTTTTTTTTTTTTTTTTTTTTTTTTTAAAGTTTCGATTTATGCCCCTCCACCTGGCACTATGCCTGGCAATGTCTCCCAGCTCAGTAATCTGTGTGTTGACTCACCACTCTAAAACTAGAACAACACTCCAATTTGTCTGTCATCTTGGTTTGAAAGTAATCTTTGTAATAGATCTCATCATCTCAATATGTAGTTTATAATAATAATTCATCCAACTTTTACACAAGGTTCTGTCCTACATGTAGGTCCTCTACTGTTTTTAATTTATATTAATGATCTTACACATTCTTCTAAAAACAACATTGTTACTATTATTTGTGACAAGTTCACAAGCACAAATCGGCCCCTTTAAATGCACCTCGCAGTTAAATGAAAGTTGCCGACAGAGTCGGTAAAAAAAAAAAAAAAAAAAAAAAAAAAAACGATTTATTTATTTATTATTATTTTTTTTTTTTTTTTTTAAATCGTTTAACCGAAAACCGTCCGGTTTTGACTGGCGGTTAAACGGAATTGGAGATATCCGTGATGTTACAGCACTAGTACGTACACAATCATGGACAGTTTATTAGATTCTGATCCCTAGCGTTTTCTATGCAGAACAGGAGAGAGCTTTTCAATAAATTATTCATAAGGGCTTAATAGGTTGCCCTTTAATGGGAAAAACCTAGCACAATCTACATCTTTTTTCCCCCTTGCCTTAAAGGAAATCTTGAGTAATGGAAATAGAATCAAATGATGCTGATACTGCTTGTTCCATACCACAAATTAAATGACATTGGTCAAACAATTCTCGTACAAAATGTATACCGGTATATACTCGGGAGAGAGAGGGCAAAAGCAAAAAGGCTATTTATCTGTAGTGTGAATATTGTTTTTCTGTATTAAAAAATTGACTTCCTTCAAGTTCTTCTTAGTTTGTTCTTTTTGCTGCTCCAAATGACCCATATACTGCAATAATAAACCCTTCAGGGTATCTTTAAACCAGTTTCTCTGGAATTGAAGTCTATGATATTACAGAACTTGAGATTTGATTTAATGCAGCCCCATCTGCTCTCAAAATGGAACCTCATTCCAGTCTGAAAAATGTGACATGCGGAAATGTGAAGTTTGCAATACCATTGTTCTGAAATGATTGTGAAAAGAAGAGCTCCCTGTATGGCCTAGATTGAGATTTCAAATGTTCCTTTTATCTGCAGGCTGGAAATGAGCACACAATTATAATAATGATAATATATTAGATTTGTAAGGCACCAAATCTAGCTGAAATCAAATGCTCGAGGCACACCTGTGAACAAACAACAACAAAAAAGAGATCACATAAAAGCATCTGCATCATAAACCAAGGAACAGAAGTGAGATAGAATATGAAAATGACAGAAAAATTAATTATATGACGAATTAAACAGATACGTTTTAAGATAATTTTTAAACACTTTAAATGATCCGCTATTACGAATCCCTCAAGGGAGAGCTTTCCACAGCGAAGGCCCTGCATATCAAGGGTTGACTTTACCTTCGGTGAAGTGGCCTGGCCTGGTTGCTGCCAAAGCAAGGACGCACACATAAGGCCTGTTTTCATTAGCTCGAGTTTGCCAAATAACCCGCTAATTTCAGACTCAGGATATTATCCCAAAGCTTGAAATTGCGTTTTCACCAGACCGATACGCTCACCACAAACTAGGTGGGAAGGCCGCAAATAAGCCACTATTTCCCAAATAGGGGGATATTTTGTAAACAAGACTAAGATTTCTCGGGATAATTTCTCGACCAAATATCCCACTAATTGCGACTGCGGGCTGATGAGGACGCAAATTAACTGGCTAATATGAATCGGGATAGTTAACATAGCGGTTTACAACGTATATGGCAAACTCGTGCTGATGAAAACAGGCCTAATAAGGCGCCCCTATCACAATTTGCTTTACGAGGGCCAGAGCTAGCTTGGGCTGTGCGTGAAGAAGATAACTTGGCATAATTGTCAGTGATTTGCACTGACTTAATTACAAGCATTTTGATACCTTTAAAGCTAAAGACCAGTTATGGTCATGCAATTGCATAGTGAAAGAAACGTGAAATCAATCAGAAAAGGTTGATCATCTAGCATAGATGTACTGCAAGGTTCTGGAATCATCAAAATTATAAGAAATTTGGCCAAGTCTTCATAAAGTTAGAAGCACTGTACACAGAAAGATGTATATGGGACTACACACACATGCATTTGCATCTCTCAACAGTATATAGATATAATAATTTACCAAATACATCAATTAGTAGGCGGCTTCCCGTCAAAATTTTTATCTTCATGTAATATTCAAAACATATTCTTTCACATGATTGGTAATAAGAGCTTCTATTTCATTTTTTGAAATTAGGGTGTTTCCAATACTGGTCTTTACCTTTAAAACACTCTCAACTGACAAACTGGCAAAAGATCGGCACCCAACTTGTTGAGACATTAAGATGGTTTTAAGGGCACTTCAGCACCTTTTAGGAAAGATCCTTTATAGAGATATGAAGAACGTGTTGCCCATTACACAAGATGGAGAAAGAACTGAGTATTTATGGCCGATCATTGCTTATGGTATCATGAAAGCTAGTTAGGAAAAAGGGACTAATGGCTATTAAGAAGAAAATACTGAGAACTGGCTGGTAAAACACTGCATTGGAGCAGTGAGTAACTTGTGGAAAAGATTCGGCACCAATATCTCTCTGTAGCAAATCCTCAAAGAGCCCCCATGAACAATAATAATATTTCTTACTTAGGAACTGGCAGACTGTATATTTTGTGTAAATTCAGCAGTAATGACAGTGATAATGATAATGATAATAATAATGAAAATAATAATGATAATAATAATAATAATCTTTATATCCCTCTTTCTTTCCTCTCTTCTCCTCCATTCCCTATTTGTCTCTTTTCTCTCTTTCTATATCTCTATCCCTCTCTCTCACTTTCTCACTTCCCATTCTGTCTGTCTCTGTCTCTCTCTCTCTCTCTCTTCTCACTCCTCTCTCTTCCTCTCTCTTCATCTCTCTAACTTTCTCTCTGTATCCGTCTGTCTGTCTCCATCTCTCTCTCCCCATCTCCCCCTCCCTCCCTCCCTCTTATTCCTCTCCTGCACCATCCATCTTCCCTCTCTCTTCTCCTACCTGTATCTATCCTGATTAACCTATATATATAGATTGCAAGTACCGACAGCTGTCTGGTCACGAGGTATACTCCAGCAACCTTGCCAAAGTCACAACTCAAGAGAAGCACAAATTCCCTGCTCATTTCTATCCAGAGGTCAGTTTACATGTATAACAGACATTTTTATCATAATCGTTGTTTTATCTAATTGGAGACACAAGGGTGTTGACTCATATACAGATTAATGCCTTCTTGCTCCGAATAGCGAATACCGTATGTACATTTTTCTGGAGTGCCGAGTCTTGACTCTGAAACGAGATTCCAAGATTCATACCTATCCCATCTTCAGATATCTTCAGGAAATATCTCCAAAGACTTGTTTTGATCTCATTATTCACACTTTTTATCAATATTTAAGTTCTGTGAAACAACAGAAACTTCTAGAAAGCAATAAGTCAAAGGTCCTCCAAAAATAAAAATTCCTTTGAGATCATTAATTTAAAAAATGTATATTATAGTTTGTGTTTTCTTCCAAATAGAGCTTCCTGATTATACACTTCGCTTACCACCGAAGTCTCTAAGCGCTGAAACCTCTCCAATATCATTAATAGTTCAGGAATGACAAAACTGAAATATCTTCTTGAATGAAATCCTAAATCCTGACAAAAAACTCGCAGGAGAATGAAGATATAAAAGGTGGATTTGCTAAGATGGTATAGACATGGTGTGGAGAGAGTATAGGTCACAGAAAACAATTGATTTCCTGGTGGCTGGCTAAAAACATTGGATAGAGAAACAAGAGCTTCTGGCCTCACCCAGGTGGATGCCGAAGACCAGAAGGTGTGGAGTAGGATCATTAAGGAAATGAAATGCCCAACCCTTGGGGGAAAAGGAATGGTTCAATGACGACGATGATGATATTGGTGTTGGTGATGAAGGTGATGTATATGATGATGATGACGATGATAAAAGATGATGATGGTGATGAAGATGATCTAACAATTAATCTGACACTAAAGTTTGATTTATCGTTTTCTCTTTCTCTAGTGCAAGTGGTCAAGAAAAGGTTTCATGAGAACAAGATGGAGCATCAATGGAAGGTTGGTTGATCAGTGATTCACTGAAAACTCTATCCTTGTTCATTCAATAAAAATGTGGGATGGGCAGGGGACAAATGGGGTACAGAATGTGGTGGTAGTTATTTTACCTGACTGCTATTAAGAAAGCATAAATGCTTGTTAGTAAGCAACCAGAGGACCGACAGCTTTAGGTCCACTCTGAGGGACCTGGTAATGAGGTTTAATGCCTTACCAAAGGGCACTAATGCATCGCCTTGGTTTGGATGTTTACCTTGTTTTGAATTCTATGAGAGCTAGTGCCGAGAGTGCCTAATAGAGGTGGTTTTTTGGTACTTTGCAAAAAGCATTCATATTTTTCGACACCCGGATGCCCCCTCGCTTAAAATATAGATAGATAGGATATATATTGGATATAAATAGGAGGTAAATTAAGATGGGAGTATGAGAGTGAAAGAGGTAGAAAGAGAAAGAAAAACACAGACAATTTAGGATGAATGGAGAGGTAGGACTAGGAATGGGTAGAAGAGTACAAGAGGGAAAAGATACAAAGGTAAAGAAAAGAAGGGCAAGTGGACAGATTATGAGGAGGGGGGGGGGGGGGATATGCTCATGAAGAGAAATTTAATTTATTCAAAGAAAAAAATATAATTAAAAATCGTTATATTGTAGAAAAGGAAACCATTCTTTAAAGGTAAAGACCAGTATTGGAAACGCCCCAATTTAAAAAAAATGAAATGGAAGCTCTCATTACAAATCATGTGAAAGAATATGTTTTGACTAATACATGATGATAAAAAATTTGCCTGGAAACCGCCTACTAATTCATATATTTGGTAAATTTGTTTCTCTCATGGTCTGTGAGAGATATAGGGTAGTCCCATATACATCTTTCTGTGTATAGTGCTTGTAACTTTACGAAGAATGGGCCAAATTTCTTATCATTTTGATGATTCCAGAACCTTGCAGATGCTAGATGCTAGATGATCAACCTTTTCTGATCGATTCCACAACGTTTCTTTCACAATGCAATCGCATGACCATCACTGGTCTTTACCTTTAAGTGCACACGCATTCACTTGTGCGCAAAGTCTATGGAGGTGGAAGAAAACACCTTTTCTATGCATAGTCAATGCTCATGCATGAATGTTTTTGTGTGCAACATTAGTCCGTGGGAAAGTCATGGAAAGTCATGGAATTCTTACTTGGAAAGTCATAGAATTGTATTGGGCAAAAAGTGTGTGAACCCTGGTTTCACATCAATGCAAGACTATCAACCAATTGCATAGTCTTTACCTCCTCTGAAACCCAAGTATATCATTCTCGCCATTTCCCCCACCGTTCTTTATTATTTTGGAAATCGATAGTATCCCGCTATCTCTTTGAATCTTCTTTTTTTACAGGCAATATGAACTGGTCAACGTGCACCTGTTCCACGATGCAAACAACGTCATCGCCGTGGAAACGGTAAGCCAACATTATATCAGAAAAGTCCTTTCACCCTCTGCTCGACATGTCCTTACCATAAATTTGCTGGTTTCTTTAATGAATCTTTCCCCGGCCACTTGGTTCTGCCAGAATCTTCCAGGAAAAATAACTAATTAAACCAGAGACAAGTTGGTCAAAGGGAAATTGGAAATTAAAAAATGCCTGGCTGCTTCCGTCGCCAATATATTACAGGGCATTTAGACTTTTCACCAAGGACAAGAATTTTTATCTATCTGTGGTCTCAAGTGTCTTATTTATTTGATGAAAGCTATTAAATCTGAAAGTCCTCATTTCATATTTCCAAAACTAAACCCTCAGTATTTTAAGCTTTCTTTCATTTATTGGTTTTCATAGGTCGGTTTTCAGTTCCGTATTTCTCTTCAATATATCAAGTACTTTTAATCCCATATGCATATGTATAAAATAGTGATGTAATTAATGTTATTCAACATTGTAGTGGTGGTTATTTTACCTAACTGCTGAGAAAGCATAAATGCTTGTTAATAAGCAACAGAGGACCAATGGCTTTATGTCATCTCTGAAAGACCTAGTAATGAGGATTAATGCCTTAACAAAGGGCACTAGCCTTGTTGTTGAACCCGGGTCGCCAAATTACAAGACCACTGCTCCACCAACTGAGCTATCGCGCCTCCTCATCTAGTAAGAAGGAGAAATATGTTGAAATTTAATTATAATTATGACACAAAAATGTAGATAGGAATCAATGGTAATTCAGTGTAAACATGTATTTAAATGGATAGGTTTCTCCTTCTGATTTCATATGTATATTTTTTCTCATTATAGCAATTCCCATCACAATACAGCAAAACCAGGAGAAAAGGATTAGAATTTGTTATTCAGAGGTAAGTTGAAGGAAATATTTAAAACATTGTGATACCTGACTATGGTTTGTTGTACCATATACGGCTAAGTTTGTTGTTGATAGAATTCATAGAAACCTCTAGTCACATTTTCTTTCTATCACTCTGTTTGCAGAATTCTGAGAGGCACACCATCATTATTTGCAAGACATTGTTAGTTCTATATAATTTTGATGATTTCAAAGTTCACAATATTGATGTCTTAGGAAATTATTCAAAAGTATGTTTAACATGTTTGATGATGATGATTTTGGTACCCGACTGCTAAGAAAGCATGTGTTTGCTTGTAACTAAGCAACCAGGGGACCAACAGCTTTAAGTCCTCTTCAAAGGACTTGGTACTTGGATTAATGCCTTAATACCAAAGGGCACAAGCACATTGACTAGGTTTAGAATTTGTGACCTCCGGGTTACGAGACCACTGCTCTACCACTGAGCCATCGCATCACCTCAAATCACAGTGTACTTTACATATAATCAGCCATTAAGGAAAATACCATTCAAAATGTAAATGCATTACTAGTATTCAGTTTTATCTTCAAATGCCTATTGACTGACAATACCCTTTCCTTTAATTCTTCTCAGGCTTTCCCAAGAGAAGCACAGTAGAGTTCCATTCTTTATCTTTGGGGACTTCAACTTCAGGTTAGATGCCCAGGGTGTAGTCAAGGTAAGATGGAGTATCATTGGTTGTCTTAAAGCCCCACTGCACTACTTGTAGCTACTTGCGCCCTCTATAGAGCAAACAATGCCTAAGCGGTACCCATTGGTCCCCAATGATTCCCTTATTCCTCATTCTCTTATTTGTTAATTGAGAGCTGATTCAATGAGATAACCACCTGTCAGTGACCACGCAGAGAGATCTAATCCCTCCTGGCCAAACTAGTGCAGATAGGCTTTAAAAGAATGTATTTTTACTTTGTATAAAGAAGAACATTGTATTGCAAATAGAAAAGGCAAGGTAATGGTATTGTCTTTTTATACCCAGAAAGGCATTCACTTTCTTCTACATATATTTGTACTTCCATGCAGGGTTATATAAAGTGAAAACAATCTTCATGAATTGATAAATTTCTTATTGTTTGTCTGAGTCATTCAAACTTTCACCAATTGGTTTCTTCAACTGTTCAGTAAAAGCAAAATGTTGGATTGGCACTCCCAATTGTGGCAAAAATATGAAAAACAATGGTAGAGTCGAGTCCATGTAGTGTAGACTTATCACTACACATATTGGTATAAAAAGTGGGAAAAAATACAAGATACTTGATACATATAGAGGGTATCTATTTTGTTTTTCTTCAACACTTAAACCTCTGTTTTACTTAAGGGTAATTGGACATCATATTTGCCATACATGTAGGTACAAAACTGTAGGATGATGCATTTTTTTTCTTTTTTCATTACCGGTAGCCTCATCTATGTTTACAGTGGTGGTTGAGTAGTGACATTTGATCCTTTGGTTGTAAGGTTCGTGCGTCATCCGTTGATATTTATCCGGGTACACAGTGAGAGGATCCCTGTGTTGACACAGGCTTATCATACAAGGAAGCTGCTCAATTACACGTTATGAATTGTGCTTTATTATTATGCTGGTAAGAGAGAGGGAATGGGCAAAGTATGGGGAGTGATCAAAGGAGTGGGTTGGGGAGAGAGAGAGAGGGGGAGAGAGGGTGGGAGAGAGAGAGAGAGAGAGAGGGTTGGGGACAGGGAGAGAGGGGTGGAGGATAGGAAGATATGGGAGTGAAAGTGAGAGTGAGAGAGAGAGAGAGGGGGGGGGGAGGTGGGAGAGAGAGACAACAGGGGATAGGGAGAGAGGGGACTGATAGTGAGAGAGAGAGAGAGAGAGAGAGGGATAGAGAGAGAGAGAGAGAGAGATAGAGAAAAAGGGGGGTGGAAGATATCGGGGGAGAGAGGAGTGATAGAGAGAAAGGGAGAGAGAGAGAGAGAGAGAGAGAGAGAGAGAGAGAGAGGGGAGAGGGCGAGAGATGCAGATACGATACATTGATGAAGACCAGTTAAGATGTACTTCAGGACTAGATAAGGACAAGCCAGTTTTCAGGGACGTGTAGAGAGAGAAAGGGGGAGAGAGAGAGAGGGAGAAAGGGAGGGAGATGCATAAAGTACAGACATATTGATGAAGTACATGAGTTAAGAGGCACTTCAACTTCAAGACTATGACACAGTGGAAAAGTGGAGGCAGATGCTTGTACAGTGTAAAGTGAGAAGGGAGTATTAAGTACATGTACATGTAGCTCAGTGGAGGATGTGTATCATAGTGTGATACAGAGAGGGAAAAAGTGATAGAGAAAGGAGAATATAGAGAGAGAGAGACAGAGAGAGAGAGAGAGAGAGAGAGAAAGAGAGAGACAGACAGACAGAGAAGGGAGAGAGAAAGAGAGAGGGAGAGAGATGCAGTATATGCAGAGGCAGCCACTTACAATGTAAAGTAACAAGGGAGTATTAAGAGCATTTACATGTAGCTTAGTAGAGGATGTGTATCATATTCTTATTTTGTTCCTGGTACCTTAAGAATAGTGTAGACTACTGACATGAACTTCAATTTGAGGTTAGTGGTGTTTTATAGTCATCAGTGTAGATGTGCTGGCATGTCCTGTGCACATCGACAAATGGGCTCATGAGGTACAGATAGAGAGAGAGAGAGAGAGAGAGAGAGAGAGAGACAAAGAAAGAGAGAGAAATAAAGAGAGAGAGAGAGAGAGAGAGAGAGAGGGTTATTATGAATCTGCTTTTCAGCAGTACTTCCTGATGTATTTGAATTACAATGAAATGCTCCTTTTCATAATTCGTTTGCAGCATAAGATTTTTCAACAGAATCATTGTAATTATTTTGTATATACATATACTTTATGTATTTTGATATACCGGTAATGAATTCTGAATGTTATTATTATAAAATGCTTTTTCATAAATGTATGTTAATATTCATCATCATCAACTTCAGGTGGTGCTGTAAAGCGCTGCTGTGGTCTTCACGAGAGCACGCCATGCAACTCTTTCACCTGCCATTTGTGTTGCACCTTTCATTCCTTGTCCAGACACTTTCTTGATATATCATCAGTCCAAGATACATGTATTGGTGGACAACCTCTACCCCGTTCTCCTTCGACTGCTCCTTGCAGTATTTGCTTCTCAACACCTTCTGATCTCCTAACAATGTGCCCAAAATAGTTTAGTTTTCTTTCCATGATTCCCCTTCTGATGGTCAAGTCTGTTCCAATCTTTTCCAGGACCCACACATTTGTCTTTTTTTTATCTTTGTTATTATTATAAAATGCTTTTTCATAAATGTATGTTATACATGAGTATTTTGACACTCCAGCCATTTGCCCCTTTAACCCTTAATATGGAACACTCTGGAAATATTTTGGTATAAACTGTTTAAAATGAATTACTCCATATTGAATCAATGAATTGTTTTGTTATTGCAGGCTCTGGTCTTACAAGCAAAGCCGACATACACCAAGAAAGATGGCGCTATCACCAGGATAGAATATTCAGATGAAAATAATTCTCAGGTAAAGCACCCATTCCAAGAATCTTGGGGGTGTTTCACAAAGACTAAGATCGACTTTAAGTTAAACTTAACTATGGCAGGCCATTCATGCCACTGGTTGCTCTCACTATTGGTCTCTCAATTATGATCTTTAGATAATGTTTTTTCCTTCAATAATAAGTTATCAAAAAAATATAAATTCTGTAGATTTGTGACCATGATTTGTACGTCCCTTGAGAGACCAATGCCAGTTAATGATGAGAGAAAATTGTGGCATTAATGGCCTGCCATATTTAAGTCCAACTTAAAGTCGATCTTAGTCTTTGTGAAATACTCCCCTTGTTAGTTATGTGCGTTGCAGAAAAACATAAACATGAATTCGGCCAACATTTTTGAGGCTGTGATCAGTTTAAAGAGTTGGGTTATGATAAGCATGACAAATAAATGTTGAGGGCATTTATTCTTTATTCTTTGAATGTGAGTTTGGAGGAATATCACAGGAGAAATGTCTTCTATACGCAATTACTTTTTAAATGCCATCGTATTCTTGTTCTTGTGCTTCATATTATTAAAGCACAAAGTCACCAAAATATCTTTATCACAGACATTTTTAAAGATAAATGACAATGTTTAATTAAAGATGATCAAACATGTAAATCCCAAACAAATGCATGACATATTGAAAACAGTATAGTTTGTAAATTTGTGAACTTTCACTACTGTTTAATGCACACTGAATGTGACATATTTATTGCAGGTCTTGTTAACGTTAGAAAAGAAGAAGTTTGAAATGGATGATCCAGATAGGATAATGGAGAATGGAATTCAATGGGTAAGTCTCATTCACCTGGTTTTCTGTCTTAACCCTATTTAGCCCGGGGGGGGGGGGGGGGGGAGCTTGAGAAGCCCCCCCCCCTCGACATTTTTCGCGATAATTTTTTAACGCAAGAAAATTTTGCACTGAAATTTTGTGACTTTTTTCTTTCGAGTCTTGCGCATCTTTTGAAAGAAATTTTTCGAAAATCGGACCTACCATTACAAAGTCACATGTCCTTTTGTCTTCGCATGTCAGCCCGAAAATCGCTCATTTTTGTGATTTGTGTACAAAACATATGGAAATCTCATTTTTCAAACAAACAGATAAAACATTGGTTATTTGGTCTTGTTGATAGTTTAAGGTGTTTATTTTGGGGTCAAAATAGTTGAATTATAGGTGAAAATGAAATAAAACAACAAAAACAATAAAATACATAAGTAAAAAAAACAAAGAAATACATAAGAAATTATCAAAACAATAGATAACATAAGGAATAACCCTGGTTTTTCAATTTTTTGTGTTGTATTATTATTCCAAATGGTCTAACAAATATATGCAGTGAGAAAGAATGCTTAATATGAATAATGTCTGATTTATGGGCAAAAATGTGAATTTTATGACCTTATTTGCATAAATTACCATAAATATGCAAATGGGTGAATTTTTCAAAAAATTGAAATTACCATAGTATTCTTTACACTTCACTTGACATGTATGCAAATTTTCGCGGCGATCGGGCGTTTCACGGCCGAGATCATAGGGGGGGGCCTGAGAAGCCCCCCCCCCCCGGCTATGCAGTTTCAAAATAGCCCGGGCTAAATAGGGTTAATGGTGATCTGACACAACAACAACAACAACAACAGAAACAACAACAGCAACAACAACAACAACAACAACAACAACAACAACTACAACATATTCTAGGGCAGCTACTTATATGAATATATTCTACTTGGCTTATTACAAAGTATCATGTTATTACCCCGGCTGTAGCTGAGCCACCATAATAAGGCACTGGAGCATTCAAGGAATTTCTTCCTACCGGTTACCCATTTTTCTACACCTGGGTGGAGAGTGCAGGCCTGATAATTACCCGATTTAAATCAGTTTCCTGATTTATTGGATTTTTTTTTTCCCCTGATTTTTTCCTGATTTATTTCTTTTTCTCCCCGATTTTTTTTCTTTTTCTTACTCAAAAGGGGAGAATATTGTTAGATGCCATTCCCCCCCCCCCCCCAATCCTCTTCTTTTTTTTTTTTTTTTTTACTCAAGGGGGGGGGGGGGGGGCGTGGTTGATGGAAAAAAAAAAGGTTTAGGGTTATTATACCTAAGTCACACCAACAAGACCGACCCCAGACAGACCCCAGACCTACATCAGGCCAAACTAGATGGAACTTCAACTGCGCGCAGTCGAAATGATGCCTCCGTCATAGAGCAATTTTACAAACAAAAACAGAAGAAATTTTTCATATTCAAGTTCAATTGTAATCCATTAACAGTTTCTCAGAATATCGTGATTACAAGCAATTTCTCATATACATATATGACCCTTTGATCTTTGACCTCATGACCCTAACATCTACTCAGTTCATTGGCTCTACAAGATGTCCCGAGTTAAATAGTAATCCATTTGTCAGTTCTAATGAGAATGCGTTTACGAGCTATTTTTGCATACATAATGAGCCGCATGACCTTTGACCTTGACCTTATGACCCCAAAATCTAATCAGTTCATCGGCTCTGCAAGTAACATACATGACCTAATTTTGGCAGGAATCCATCAATCGGTTCTTCAGATAACGCGATCACGAGCTGTTTTTGCATACATAATGAGCCCTGTGACCTTTGACCTTTAAACTCGTGACCCCAAAATCTAATCAGTTCATCAGCTCTGCAAGATACATACATGACCAAAGTTTGGCAGGAATCCATCAATCGGTTCTTCAGATAACGCGATCACGAGCTGTTTTTGCATACATAATGAGCCCTGTGACGTTTGACCTTTGAACTCGTGACCCCAAAATCTAATCAGTTCATCGGCTCTGCAAGATACATACATGACCAAAGTTTGGCAGGAATCCATCAATCGGTTCTTCAGATAACGCGATCACGAGAACGGGACGTACGGACGGACGGACGGACAACCCGAAAACATAATGCCTCCGGCTACTTCGTAACGGAGGCATAAAAATGCATTACATTACCCCCACAGGCAAAGAATCAGAGAGTGTAGGGTTGGTTTGGCATTGTAACTGGGATATGGTGATTAGGGTTTTAACTGGGTTGTAGGTGAGGTGTAGGGTTAAAATTAATTATAGAGTAAGGTTGAAGGTTGAAGTTAGGAGCTTGTTTAGTGTTGGAAATTGACTGCGGAGCAATTCTCGCTGGAGTGTACGTCGTACAAACTGTCTGTATATCTGTATAACAATTACAGGAAGTAAATGTACCTGTACTATTGGTTGATTCCCTAGAAATCTGCAATGTTGTGAGGGAAATGAAATGTAAAGAGTACAGAGACTTCTGGATTTCCTGAACTTACAGCTTCTGTTTCGGGTCATTGAGCTAAGATTTCATGGTAAAAGACACCATGCTCGTAATCAAATGCTAGTTCGACTAAGAAATTAATTAGAACATCATAGGAAAAAAAAGATTATGCAAGTGTAGAGGAAATGTATGCAGTACATCGACTTCTGTATTTCCTGTAATTACAGCTTCACTTTCGGGTCATTAAGCATCGATTCTACTGAATTGTAGACTTTGATCTTAATCAAATATAGTCATATTACATTTGTTTCGTCCTTGGTTCCTATTCTGTATAAGTGTCAAGTCTAAAGAAAGAAAAAAAAGTGCAATATATACCACCATAGAGCTGATGAAGTGATAATGAAACTATTTCTCATAACACAAAAAGATATAAATATGTATGTATGTATGTATGTATTCTTGTATTAAACCTAGGAGAATGACAAAATTCAGTCGTCACTGGGGGTATTGTACTGTCTTACATTTTTATGCCTTTTCTTTGTTCTTTCTTCCCCAGCTGTCAAGATTTGACAAGGAATTTAGCTGCTTCACAAAACAACTCTTAGAATATGATGTCACCTTTCAGCCAAGGTAAGAAAGTCCCATCCATTCATTTTTAATATAAAATTAAGTAGAAGTCATAAAAGTAAAAGCATTCACTTTTGATGACCTATTCTTTTTCTTGGACTGTAATCTAAGAGAATGCTTGAAGGAGAACAATGAATATTGTTGTTATCATGTGATGGTTCATGGCCAGCATTTGATACTTGTATTTTCCTTGTTTTATACTGCTGTTTTGCCCTGCCTATCACTTTTTCATTGATTAAAAAAAAAAATCTTGAAAACAGCCCTTGTAAATGAAAAATAGGCTCATATACATGTACCGGTATACCAAAGCCATTGTCAATGGTTTATTAAAGTGTGAATCTTGGAATACAGAAGTAGAGTGAATTTAGACTTGATATTAAAGAAAGGCATGATGCCTCAGAGTAGTGGTCTGGATTCAACAAGATGCACTAGTGCTCTTTGGTAGAAGTCTTCATTCTCAATACCACATCCCTCAGAGAGGTCTTAAAGCTGTACTTAGTCCTGCTTGCTTCCCTACAAAGCACACTTGCTTTCTTAGCAGTCAGGTGAAATAAGCCAATCAAATGGCCCCTCAAAAGAAGGTTAAATTTAACCCTCAATGTTAGGAGGAAAATGGATTCCTCTTATATGAACTGTTTTCCATTGAAGATTGCTTTGTACTGAACATATAGAAACATTACCGTAAACTTTTTTATGCACTGTGTATCTTTAACAAAATCTGAATGCATTTACGCCTTTAACATGTGTTTTTTTTTCCCTTCCAGCTATCCATACAGCGAGGATATCTCAGATGGCCACAGCTACATGAAGACCAGACCGCCTGCATGGTGTGACAGGGTCTTTATGTCACACTCAGCAAAGGCTCTCATATCGGTGAGCATTTCAACGATTGAAATTATATAAAGAGGAGGGCAAGTCCATGGTATTTGGTCATTAAACGTCCCAAACATTCCCCAGAGTAACAACAAAACAAAAGATAAAAAGATAAAAAGTCTAAACAAATCTGGCATCAACATTTCCTCATTATTTGGTCAGATTTAAGCTCTTGCTACTCTATCAACTTGATAGAATCATTGCATATATACCAAAATTGATGATGATTTTAGTAACATGTGGGACAAAATACAAGTACCTTGTACTTGGTGGGTTATACCGGATGGTCATAGTTACATGAAGACTAGACCACCTGCATGGTGTGACAGGGTCTTTATGTCACACTCAGCAAAGGGTCTCATATCGGTGAGCATTTCATTGTATTGACATTGATATAAAGTGACACCATTAGAAGATACCAATCACTTAATACACTTTGTGTACAGCTAGGATGTATAAAAATCAGCCTCAAAGTCTTGACCATGCTATATGTGGTTAAGAAGTAAGAAGAAAATAAAGAAGAACATGAAATCTCGTGAAACCTTCCAACAGGAACCCAAGTCGGGCTGGACTTTACCCGTCTTTCTGTGAATTAATGATTAGGAATTAAGATGAAAATAAAGAATAACATGAAATTTTGTGCATGGAACCCAAGTCTGCCTTTGGTTTGATGCACACCCTATTCTATGGGAGTGTTAACAGGTGTGTCCAGTAGTCTACCCACAAGTCATTTCTTCTTGAGAGTGAATTTAAAGAGAAGTTTGAATCCTGGGGAGAGTTGTTAGCATTTTTATTGTTATTATGCAAGTGTAGAAGAACATCAGAGAATTTTTTTCTCCCTGAAATGCATGGCTCTTCAATGCCTTCATATTCTAAATATGACATGAACAGCTTAAAAATGGGGACCACATTTTTATGCCGCATGTTTCATTTGTGTAGTTACATATACATCTTTCTGTGTACAGTGCTTGCTACTTTTACCAAGACTGGGCCAAATTTCTTATCATTTTATGATTCCAGAACCTTGCAGTACACACCAATACATATATGCTACATGATCAACCTTTTCTTTAAGCTTGCAATATCTCTTTATAGAAGCATACATGCCAACTGTTCAGATTAAAGAGGAACATTCCTCTTTTGGGGAGAAGATAATTATCATTTTAATGCAGGTGTTCCTCTTCCTGTACAAATTTGTCTGTAGTATTGAATAGGAGAGTTAGGATTGTTCCTCTTTTTTTTTTTAAATAGCATAATTTGTACAGATTTCTGATTTTCAAATGTTGGCATGTATGTAGAAGTAATATCTGAAGCTCATGAATGGTTAGGGAATACAGTACATCAACATGGTACCCTAACATACTAAGCAGAATGTTCTGGGGAATGGGACAGCAGAGGAGTGAATATGGTTCATTAAAATAAGTAGCTGAAGTAACTATTTGTTGAGGAGTTTAACATTTCTATAGGACCTCAACATTAAGGACATGCAGAAACTACTTTACTTCTAAGTTGTCGTGAAATTTCTCACCATTTTAGGGCAGAAATAAATTTGATTACTCTATCGATTCTTTCTATAATAGCTGTAAATTGTGGAGTAACTTTCACATGTAGAGATGGGGTGAAGTCTGTTTAGGTAATAGGCAAGCAAAAATTGTTCATCAATTTTCTCTTAGCCATTGAGGTACATGTATAATAACCTTTCATTTTCAAGATAAAAACTGCCATTTCTTACTTTTTGTTTATTTTGCTTTTTTTCAGGATGCAAACTCAATGCCATGCTACAACGTGATTGGTCAAGATGTGTGTATGGGGGACCATAAGGTAAGAGCTGCTCATATTCAATCCTCCAATAAAAGTAATAATATTAATGATTTTGTTTATCTAGGGAAGCCTCGGCATAATTGTTTTTTTCTGGGGGCCCTGTAATTATTATTTCCCCATCAATTGCCAGGTACCCATTCACACCTGGATAGCGAGTGCAAAATGCGGATTAAAGGGAAAGTCCACCCCCAAAATAAGTTTCTTTCGATAGAGGCAGAATAATAAGAAAATCAGGTGAGTGAAAGTTTGAGCAAATTCTGAATGAAAATAAGAAAGTTATGAATTATTGAAGTTGTGATCAATCAAATACAAATTGGCAACTCTGTGACTTATTGTACGAGCTCTCCTTCATTTGCTTTGTGCATAATATTCCATAAAATCATGTTTTCTTCGTTATTGATGACGGAATATATATTTGTTCCTTGCAGGGGGAGTATAGAAACATATTTGCAATTATTATATTTAGGGTGCATGTATGGTTGAAATTTTTCTTGAGGGAAAATGAAAATTTTAGATTTTTTTAGTACTGAGCAAATGGAAGTTGAGCTCGCATGATACGTCATAGAGTTGCCAATTTGTGTTTGATTGATCACAACTTCAAAAATCCTAACTTCCTTATTTTTAATCGGAATTTGCTCAAACTTTCACTGACTTGTTTCTCTCATTTTTCTACTCCTATTAAAACTAACTTAATTTCAGGGTGGACTTCCCCTTTAATGTCTTTGCTAAAAGACGTCTCAGGATATGGCACATAGAAGAAGAAAAGAAGAAAAGACGTCTGTGACAGACTGGGATTTAAACCCACCCTTGGATTGAGAGTCAAGTGTACAGTGTATGAACCACTATACCATGACACTTCGACTCTATTCAAAAGGAGAGGAGTTTTAAGAACATTGAATAGTACCTCCGTAATTTAATTCAGAACTCACTCAGAATTCACTCTTTTAAAAAGAAAAGAAATGTTCAGATTTTACTCAGTCTGTGGATGCTCATCAATTTTCCTTTTACTCTCATTTTTTTATACATACAAATATTTCAGAGATTACAATCGAGGGGATGTGATCAATTCATTATTTAAAAAGAAAAATGGAATGTCCTTATTTGAAAGAAAAGAATGGAATGTCCAGGTTTGACTTTAGAGCAACAAATATTTCAATGTTCATGAATTAAATTAAATTCAATTCAATTTATTTGTGTTTCCAACAAAACATTACAAATCAATTGTAAACATTTACAACAATTTAGGAATACATATTGGAAACAGAGGGGTCCACTAAAAAGCAATGCTTGTACAATTGCGGACCCCTCAAAAGATACTTAGGAATAATGAGTAATCAAAATAACACTGTATGGCAGAAAACTCTATGAAAGAAAAGAAATGTTCAGATTTTACTCAGTCTGTGGATGCTCATCAATTTTCCTTTTACTGTCATTTTTTTTATACATAAAAATATTTCAGAGATTACAATTGAGGGGATGTGATCAATTCATTATTTAAAAAGAAAAATGGAATGTCCTTATTTGAAAGAAAAGAATGGAATGTCCAGGTTTGACTTTAGAGCAACAAATATTTCAATGTTCATGAATTAAATTAAATTCAATTCAATTTATTTGTGTTTCCAACAAAACATTACAAATCAATTGTAAACATTTACAACAATTTAGGAATACATATTGGAAACAGAGGGGTCCACTAAAAAGCAATGCTTGTACAATTGCGGACCCCTCAAAAGATACTTAGGAATAATGAGTAATCAAAATAACACTGTATGGCAGAAAACTCTATGAAAGAAAAGAAATGTTCAGATTTTACTCAGTCTGTGGATGCTCATCAATTTTCCTTTTACTGTCATTTTTTTTATACATAAAAATATTTCAGAGATTACAATCGAGGGGATGTGATCAATTCATTATTTAAAAAGAAAAATGGAATGTCCTTATTTGAAAGAAAAGAATGGAATGTCCAGGTTTGACTTTAGAGCAACAAATATTTCAATGTTCATGAATTAAATTAAATTAAATTCAATTTATTTGTGTTTCCAACAAAACATTACAAATCAATTGTAAACATTTACAACAATTTAGGAATACATATTGGAAACAGAGGGGTCCACTAAAAAGCAATGCTTGTACAATTGCGGACCCCTCAAAAGATACTTAGGAATAATGAGTAATCAAAATAACACTGTATGGCAGAAAACTCTATGAAAGAAAACTCTATGGATGCTAATTTTTTTTCCCTTTTCCTCTCTTCTCTTTGCGTACCTTGCATTTTTTTCTCCTTCCTTCCATACCATCCTGCATCCATCGATCACTCACGTAACGACTGGATCATCTTCTTCTGCTTCTTGGTGGACCACAGCCAGTCTTCCTGTACTTCCCCCTGTCAAAGAGCGGTGCTAACATATCAGGTAATGGTCGTGCCAGGCGGCAATTGCGCCGTAAACGTTGTTGCGTGTTGCAATGACACCAGTCTTCCTACCACTCTACCACCATAACAGCAACAACAACTACTACCATCCCGCCTTCCACACCTCATTCCAGTCTCTCGTCTTCCTCTTGTTGCTCGGTGTTTTATATATTTGATATTGGTGTAGATGTATATTTGGTGTATGCTAGTGTTTTCCTGCCACGCCCTAACCACGCCCTCCCAACAGTCGTAACCACACCCCTTTGTTGCTGTCTTCCTCTTCCTTGTCTTCTTCGTCTTCACCTTCTTGGTCCGTTGCTTCAGTGCGTAAGTCACCTTCTAATTTTCTTTTTAATTCTGGGCCCGTTGCACAAAACTTACCATTGATGGTAACTTTGCCATCAATAGTAACTACCATGGTAACCTTGATTTTGATTGGCTGTTGAGCCCTGTTACCATGGTAGTTGCCATTGATGGCAAAGTTACCATCAATGGTAAGTTTTATGCAACGGGCCCTGGAGAGTAAACTTGAAACTTGCCGATAAGTAACTGAACAGATAGTTGTGCACGTTCATTCAGACTTCCGTCAACCATGTGCATTGACCTGATGATTAAAACCATTAGAGTATGAAATTAAACATGAAGTAAACGTCTCCCACCAGATCCAAAAGCAAAAAATTGAGTTTTTACTCAGAATTTTAAAAAATATGACAGTTTTCACATCTGTATATGGGAGGATGCAAAACTAATCATTGTGAGGTTGCTATTGCAGATAATCATCATCATACACCTGTATATAGCTCATATATAATTGGGTAGCTCTGAAGATAAATGCTGCCATGGACACTCGTTCAACTGCAGGCTGTTTAAAAACTATCACACTTTTGGCTTTAGTCATCTTACATTTTCATGAGCAAATTTAACTTTGGCATCATTTTTTTTATTCAGGGGCATTCCATTACCATGAAATTGCAAAGAAATATTTATTTACAAAGCTACTGAAAGAAATACTGAAATAGCCCCTTAATCCCTCTGAGTTATGTTGTTGTAAAGGCAAGATTCAAAGTTACTTTAACAGCTATATTGTTATACCTAAGTGTTTGGCATGAACTGCATGTGCTTTATAATTGTAATTACTATATTGGAATAATGTCAACTACATGTATTGTGTATCTGTGAATAATATTTTAACTGTGGTAAAAAAAAAATGTTAGTCCTCCTTTGGCTCTCAGATAATGATATTTTCTTTTACTTTTTATGCTTAGATGTTCTGTAATACGTATTAGTTTATTTCTTATTTTGTTTACTTTTGAAGTCAAGAAATCATAAATGATGTGATCCTTATTTAAAACATTGTGCTCAAACAAAGTCTCATAGTATACATGTACATATACATACTATACAGGGGCATTTTGTGAAAGGGAATATTTCCAATTTCCACTCTGCGGTCCATACTGATTCTGAAACTTCCTTCAGGACCTCATACTTCTCATATATAAATTTACATATACATTTGCTTTAATTATTCCATACAAAAAAAAAATCTTCCCGTGGAAATGGAATCTTAGGTATGATGGCGAATACGACATCACACGATAATGCAAGGGAATTTGTTTGGAGTTGAAAGATAAATACTGATGTTTGTACATGCGTGTATATGATATTTTTTTGGGGGGTGGGGGGTAATAATAGCTAGGATTGTTCAGTACTTCAAACATACACATTTGGTAAATTGGGAAGGGAATTAATGAAACGCCAAGGCAAAGTGAAAACATTTTAACAATGACAGATGGAGGTTGCATAAAGTACCTGCATGCAACAAAGACCCCTAAGCGTTTTCTCCTACATGTATCTGTGTGTGTACCGGTACTAAGTTTTTACAGAGTTGTGTAGTGAAATAAGCTTACAATGCCAATTTTATTTTTTGCTTTAATTTCTTCTGTGTGAATGAGTCTTATTAGAGAAAAAGCTACGGTAATTGTAAAGGAACATGATCAATATAAAATAGATGGTAGAAAAAAAGGAAAGGAGGTAACGAAAGAAAGAGAAAGCAAAAACAAAAACAAAGATATACCTTAGAAATATTCATAGCAGTTAAAGTGTGGGACAATTATACATGTCTATATGTGCCACATTGAACTGAACATAGGGAGTTCTGAGAAATGGAATGCCTCCCTCTTTTGACCCAAGTGCTTCATTTGTATGTGCATTTGATAGCTAAACAACTTCTTACCATACACTGATGTTACATTTAATGTTTTTATATCCCCCTGATGGCAATGTTTGTTGAAGCATACGAGAGAGAGACACGGTACTTGTTAAAGGAGAACAAAACAAAAAAACAAAAAAAATAGACTCCCAATGGAAATATTGCTTTTTAGAACCATTACATATAATTTCCAAAAACTGTACTTTTTGTATTACAAAAATCTAGAAGTACATTTACAGATACCGGTATGCAGACCAGCAAAATGTGAACAACGAAGACAATTCATAGTATTTTGAAATACAATAACAGTATTTACTCACACATGTAACAAAATGAATAGCTTTTACTTCATTACTCAAGACATCCAAAGTGTATTGCAAATAACATAACATTATTTAGGATCAATTAACAACTAAACTTATTCTACATTTTGCATTAATGCCCGGGAGGTCTTGGTATTTATTCATAATCCCATATACTCATTTTGCTATTTGTCATTCAAATAGTTATTTGCTGGTAGTATTACATGTATGCCTTAATTGTACTTATTGCAGGTATGTTTAACAACTAATACTTAAATGTTATTTGAGGTTTTTTGTAGTATTGGGTTCACTAGTCCTATATTTACAGGTGTACCACTCTATGTGAAGTGAAATCCTACATGTATGTACTTGTAAATGGAGTTCAATGATAACTAATTTGTGTAACTCTACTGAAAATTGGGAAGAATGATAAGTGATAAGAAAAGTTTTTTACTGTATATATACATGTATTCCCTTGAATTACCAGGTGCCCACTATTGTTACATCGTGTCGCATTATTTAAAAAGCACTTAGTGGAATGGGGTTTTATTGTTCTCAATAGAAATCTAGCGCACTCACACTGTAATCCCTGGAGAAACGGGAGTAGTACGAACAAATATTCAAACGTGGAAGATTGCAACAAGGAAGAAGTATGAACAGGTTTGTGTAAGCACCATGTCCCCTGTGGGTGTGTTTCAGGGCCTGCTTAAGCCGGTCTCCGAAAGCTCTGGGATCCTTAGACACCCTCTGTTGCAATCTGAACCATAAATGTGTTAAAGCAATTTCAAACAAATCTTATGACTATTATTTCAGAAATTCTTGTTGGTTAAGGTTGTAACTTTAAACATGTGACTGATTTTCAAAGCTGTCAATTTAAAATGCAAACCTGTTGCTTTTACATGTTAAAACCCCTTGTAGACCCCTCTGGTAGAAGATTAGTCCACTTTTTCCATAGCTGTACTTGCTAAAATTGTTTCACTGAGAGCAGTGATGACCCGCTTTGAAGCAGAATAGAACTTCTGACTTCAAATTTTTGTTCAGTGCTGTAGCTTTGATGGGGGGGGGGGGGGCAGGGGGAGCAAGGGGGCATTTCTCCTCCCCCTGTTGAATGGCAGTTTTTAAAAAAGGGAGAGGACACATGAACTTGAAAAGAAAGTGATAGTATAGGCGCATGGCACTCTTGGGTGCCCAAAATCAAAGCTGAACCCCCAAGATGTCAACATTTTCACATTTTGACTATAAAATCTGAATTCAGAGCACCCTCCAATTTTTTTAAAACCATGGGGTACTGATGATAGGACTCTACTAACACTCACCCACCCTATGATGTTTATACCCCCCCCCCCCTCCCTATTAATGGTAGGGCCCACATTACGCCATCCATATCGCGTCGGAAAGAAACTTTATCCTGTGAAATAACTGTGACTTTTTTGCATATGATACCAATTATGACAACATTTTGGAAGGCATTGCATAAAGGGATAGACTGTATGAAATTGAAGAGAAAAAAAAGAAAAAAATCCTCCTGTTTGAGAAAAGGCCCCAATCGGCCTCAAATCAAAGTTGCATGATGGTTCCTGACAAGCAACCTAATGGGTCATTTCTCCATTTTAAATGTTGTAAACAAACTGTAATTGGCAGTTTCAATTTTTACAAAACATTTGATTTATATATACAGTACCTCAATCTTAAAATTTTTTTTCATTTCTATTTGTATATTTAACCCTGAATACAATTTATTCCAAAACTTATGTTGTAGCTGATCATTAAATGTGCTGTTGTCTGTGAAAATGAGGTGTAGTTTTGTTGGAGAGCAGTTTGAGAATTTATTACGACAAGAACAAGGGCCATGCCCCCTTTAAGTTCCTGTTTTTGGAGAAAAGGGACATTTTGATGATAAGGATATACTGTCAAAGTGTCGTACAGGCATTGATTAGTGGTCATATGGAACAAAACTTTGATCTAGGGTGAAATAAAAAGAAAAAACTTCATTCCAAGCAAGTGCCTATTTCCTATTTATTTCATCCAAAGATGAAAAATGACTTGAAATGACCATTGAGTGATATACTGGTACAAGTGTTTTAGTATTTATTGACCACAAAATTATTTGTTGTTTGTCATTTATGTAGTACTGCAGATTTTTATAAAATGTCAAAATGCTTTTTTTTCTGATCTGGAGTCTATGTAATTGTAAAGTAATCACACCACATCACAAAGATCTGCATGCTGAGAAGGAAAAACCAATGGTTTCACAATGTTCTTTGTAAAGCACAAACACTATATCTCGTTTCTTTCTTTCCCCCCACCTAAACCCCGCCCCCTTTCAAATAGCACAGTAGAGCCAGACACTAAGCGGCAGCGACTCTTGTGAATGTCGGCACCCACAACTCTGTGTAAGTGTAAACGTGTCACTTTTTGAACCGTCACAATATCATTTGTCTACAATTCTGCTTGTTTTGTATTTGTATATAAATAAATATATGTTTAAATGCAATTTTTTCCCTTATACTAGGAGCCCATAATCGTAATGTTAAATGTGATTAGAAACTGATCGTAGCAATGGTGTGCTACAAGTAAAAAAAAAAAAAAGAGGTTTACCCGTGGTTGTATACAAAGGTTTGCTTCAAGTGAACATAAATATGCGTGACTTGGCTATTAAGACAGTATTTGATGACGAAGACAGATTTTAAAGTATTTTTCAGAAACTTTTAACACTTTGTGAAAAAGTGCGTAATGAACAAGATTATTTTAAGGATTTGTAGGATGTACCATGAAGGGGTGCCTAATATCACAGCAGGAGGTCGTTTTCTGTTCTT